ATTCGTCTTCAGTGCTGATCCTGCCCCTTGTTGTTTCTACTATGAGAAGGGCTATTGTCAAGTAATGTTTGTGTCATTGAGAATTTGCTAATCAAGATACTTTATCATGGCTCTGCATTTGGTTTTCTCCATTTTAAAACTATTTTAAAATTTATAAATCCAAGTCCGAACATTCAAAGTTTCTTTATGCATATTAATTATATAATTTATAATATCTGATTTGATATAGATCGGAATGAAAAATGGGGTTGATTGTTTTATTGGACATATTTTATATAGATTTTGGACAGAAAAATTTATTCTCATTGATTTTTATACGCCCACATTTTCATGTGGACGTATTATGCCGTCGCCCCTGTCCGGACGTCCGTCCACAATTTGTTTGTGGACACTCTACAGGTCACAATTCTTAACCGATTTTAACGAAACTTGAAATATAGGTTTATCTCCAAAAGATCTCGGCTGCTTTCGATATTGGCATGTATCAGATCGAAACTTCATGGATTATGGCCCCTATTTGTACGAAAAATCACGTTTATGGCTTGTGGACCCTATAGAGGTCACAATTTTTATCCGATTTTGTTGAATCTTGAAATGTAAGTTTTATAACCCAAAGATCTCAGTTCCTTTCGATATTCACGCATATCGGACCGTAACTTCCTGAATTATGGCCCCTGATTGTACGAAAAATCGTGTTTTTAGCTTGTGGACCCTATAGAGGTCATAATTTTTATCCGATTTAAAAAAACGTACTATTATATCACCGTTACACCATAACACCGTTCGTTCTCAAATAGCGTAAAAATATGGTATATCAAGGTTGTGGAACCTATATAGGTCACAATTTTTATCCGATTTTGTTGAAACTTGAAATGTAAGTTTATAACACAAAGATCTCAGTTAGCTTGTTCTCTATCCATCTCTCGAAAATGTGGGCGTATCCTGCCTGGCAGCCGCTGGTTTTGGATAATAATACTCGGCACCTTTGAGTTTGATCGCATATAAAACACTTCAATTTCTCTCATATGACAGTACATGTCTGTCATCAGTTGTTGCATGGAGATGCAATTTATCTCATATGACAGTAAATGTTTGTCATCAGTCGTGGCATGGAGATGCATTCCGATACATTGATATATTAATCAAACTTGTGTCAAATTTATGATTACTGAGTACTGACAGAATTGATAAGACTTTACAAACCTAAATATTTTGAAAATCTTTTTATTTGGTAGTTGACTAAAAATTGAAAAAGTCATATAATCTACAAGAGTACATGGCCATTCTGTGGATTGAGAATATCCTATTCTCTAACTGACTTGAATCATATTCAACATTGTTATAGGTTTCTTTTTAAAAGTCAAAAACATTGAACAAGATGAAATTCGAAGTCGAACTTAGAAGGTTGCAATGCTGATAGTGTTTATTTTTGTTATATACTAGTGGTTGACCCGGCGCTGCAAAGGTTGTGCCCGTTACTCCGAAACTGCAAGTGGTAGGCCATCTCTACCAGGCCTATGTTTTACTCCCCAGTCCGAGCTATCCCTATACACCAGATTTCAGCCTCGGGACAGCCCTAGTGTAGCCAACAACTCTCTTGAATAAATAGTCAAACAAATGACAGTCATAACTATTAGTATAAATATAGCATGTATTTCCAACCGAAGATGATTTTGGGTTTTTATAAATTACAACCAACTACCAATTGATATATCTGGCTAACTGACCAAATAACTGTAACGGACTATACAGGACATAAATACATGTAACCATACATATTCCGGTACATGAAAATGTGAAATACCATACAGTACTTACATATGTATGTAAAACTACATATCTGACAATTGTGTAAAAGAGCACAATTTTGCAATAAAATTCTAAAAGAGCACAATTTTGTAATAAAAATGCACAATTTTTGTATGTTTTGCTAGTAGTAAGTAGTATGTGTATTGATTGTGAAATTTTGTAATATTGGCATCATATACATATAAAATTTGATACTTAATAGATGATATGTGAAGAATCACACCAAAGCTGTAAATTTTGAATAATGTATGTAAAACTACATATCTGACAATTGTGTAAAAGAGCACAATTTTGCAATAAAATTCTAAAAGAGCACAATTTTGTAATAAAAATGCACAATTTTTGTATGTTTTGCTAGTAGTAAGTAGTATGTGTATTGATTGTGAAATTTTGTAATATTGGCATCATATACATATAAAATTTGATACTTAATAGATGATATGTGAAGAATCACACCAAAGCTGTAAATTTTGAATAAGGATTATTATAAACACTAAATTTCCCAGCTAACATGTGTTTAACAGCTGTTGTCCTACTTGTACATTTACACAGCTTCTAGTTCTACATGTACATCGATGTTTAACCGTTCAATTAAACACAATATAATCATTTTTTGTATTGATTTACATACCGTTCCTGAACAAACTACCATCTACCGGGGGAAAAAATTATCTCATAGCACACTGTATGGCATATGCCCGTCTTCATTGGCCCAGTTTGGAGCAGAATAGTAGGACGTTAAACCCCATTTCATTTCATTGCTTTAACCTGGTAATTTATTTGAGGATAATACATGCAACTTATAGTTGAATGTAAATTGTAGCAAAAAATATTCAGTTAGTTTTCAGTGAGTATTGTGATCAGTTTTTTACCATGTCAACAAATATACTAGATTTTTGAGTTCTTTAGATAATAAGTTAGAAGATTAAAACAAAAAAAACAGTAAATTAGAAATGTCTAATGTATTAAATTGTATTTGTAAAATTAGTAATCAAGCCTGGAAATAAGTCACCTGTGTTTCAGACATTGTCAAATTCTGGCTTTTACAAATACAATACATTAGATATTTATAATTTACTCTTTTTTTTGTGGCATGTAAGTAGTAGTTATTAGCACACTTTCCGAGGTGTATCGGTGAATATCAGGACAGTTTTGGTCGAGGGGCCCAGCCGAGGCGGCTCCCGACCAAAACTGTCCTGATATTCACCGATACACCGAGGAAAGGTGCTAATAAATTACTTACATCACATTTCTATCGAGTATTGTGAAGCAAAATGTGAAAAATAGTATTTATTATCGAGTCGTTTCAACCGAAAAGTGACAAATACTTTCTGTTCTTTCATTATTTATCCCTTTCTGAGCCTCACGTTACATTTCATGGCAGAATGATTTCGCAGTGGAGAGACGACCTGAGTAGTATTTACACGTGCATCTTGCTATGATACTCTGAGCGTAAAACAATCACGTGTTTGTTTAGACCACATCGTCAAAACAACTTGTCTATGGCGTAGAGGACTGCGATATTATTAAATGTAGTGTAAAGGAAATGCGAAACGTGGGTCATTCCTGGTGAAAGTATGCATCGGCGGATGGTTCTTCCGTTGAAATTTATTTGTAATAAAGTTTATGACTTTCTAGGCGTTTTTTTTTTTCATCCTGCTTATTTTCAATGCCTGTGAAGTGTCCAGCATGAGAACTACGCCTTCTATCATCACAATTAATTAAAATAATTATTCAATATTCTAATTTATATATTTTGCATATTAATATAAATCAAACCAAATTATGAAATAGATGCCAATTGGTATGTATAATAATTGATTTTTGTAATATGTTGTTATGTTAATTTAATGTCATTGTATATGTTTTTGAACTGCCATGTAGTTCCCCCCATTTTGTTTTGTTACTATGATTTCATGTACATTGGTTAGAGCCTTGTTATCAATTGTGATCTGGGTCGGACTAAACGTCCCCTCCTTATTGCTTGATAGATATCTAAAACGGTATAAAAGTATCCGTGTATCAGAAATGATCAGTACCCTTTCTGTACATTTCTGATACACGGATACTTTTAAGCATGTATTGCAATTAAACAGGACAGTTTTATCAAAGGTTGCCAGTGGCAACGAGTAGAAGTGGGATGTAAGCTAAAACACAGTGTTTCTTACTGATTAGTATTAGGTAACACTCAATGTAGCAATTCAATTTTAATTGACTAAATAGTAATCTTGAGATGACAGGTGTAAAACCAAATAATTAAATTCTAATGGCTTTCAGATTTCAAGTATCCCATTATCTTATGGTTATTTAAATTTAAAATCCAAAAAACTTGTTACATTTAAGCTTACAGTCATGCTGAATATTTTTCAAGTTATACAATGTTGACAGACAAATTATTTGGAATGATTAGGGATTTGATTAAATTACTTGGAAAGAACTATTTTTTTTTACTTCTTTTTTAAAAGTCGTACAGTTGCAACAGTTTTTGTAACCACCTACTCTGACTGGAAAAATTACTTTTATTTTAGATAGTAGAATACAAATTCACCTACAGGACAGTACATTTGTATTTCAAGTTGTTTAAAAATCTTGAGCAAGACATTGTGTTATATATTGATATAACACTCAGACTGATGCGCTCTTGCAGTACTAATATGTTATATAATGTATTGCTCCAGACCTTTAAACCACACTTATTTTTTTTTACAGTTTTACTGTTTAAAGTTGCTTTCCCAGAAAAGTATTTATCAGGTGGTTATTTCCAATAAAAGTATGGCAATTTTGGTATATATGGAAAGTAGAAACATTAAGTCTTACTAGAAAAATACTGGCTTCCCTGAACAACACCCATGGAGCTCATACAGGACAAAAATGTAAGGGTTTCCCTAATCGGCAACCAGACGATTAGGAATGTCTGCTCGAGTGACGTCAAAGTTTCTCTTTTAATCAAATTTTTATAGCAGAGGTATTCCCTCACAAATTCAATGTTTTGCAAAGGATTTGAAGTAAAATTTTGATAGATTAATTACATAGTTTGAATATGGTTTTAGTCCAAATATATCATCAAATCACCCAGTTTGTACACGGGAAAGAAATCTGTTTCTGCTGTAGCATTTGTGCTGTCTTTGTTTTGTTGTGCAGTTATCCTGCTCATGTCTGCTGATACTGCAAAATTTTATGTAGTCACTTACTTTAAAAATATCTGATTTCTGTTATTGACTGGCTGTTTCAAAACCAGTCTGCCAGGCCTGACAAACCTGTCTACCATAACATGTCATATATTTATTAGAAGTGTGATAAATGCTTCGTAATGTATATATTATATAGTTCAGTTTAATTTAACAGTTAGATGTATGTAAGTAATGCATAAACAGACATGTCTGCTTTGTATTCATTTCATTAAGAAATGAGCTGAAAGTCATGAATTGATATAAAAAACTGTAAAAGAACATTGGTGATAGGATGTATATCAACCTAGTATAATGTAAGTTTTAAAGTATATAAATGTCATGACATTAAAGTGTCTGGCCCAATATGATTTAGTGTTAAAATTCTACTCTGAATATTTTTAGAATAATAATATCATTATATATGTACCTATGACCTAAGGGCACTTTTTGAGCAATGTACTCAACATCAGTTACTGTCTCTGCTTGTTTTATATACTTAAATAGTTGAAAATCTGCTGTTTATTTTAGATTTTAATGTCCAACCCCTAGACTGCTATAAAAGTAGTTAAGCTATGAATATATCATGGTTCATTGACTGTTATAATACACCCATGTACGTGTACCAGTACCTGTGGATCAAATAGTGTGATATGACATATATTTTGTGTTTAGTGTATTATTAGTTAAGTTCTCCACAGATGTGAATCTATACAATTTGTGTTTAAAGTATATGAGGTGACATTAGTAACTACTAGTATATTTCGTGATCTTAAAACATAATTTGAATGGATGGGTATAGAAATAGTAAAAGAGATCTATATACATGTAGGACATCATGTGGATTTATCATTTTCAGATAATTTGATAAACTGATTTGTAAAGTATTGAATTGTGTTGATCTGGTGTTATTTTGATTAGTTATCTACATCACTACAATTAGATTTTTTATGTTGTTGTTTACTAATTTTATTTTCATTTCTGGCTTAAACTGTCGACAGTGGAACACAAAATCTATTAATCTCAACATTAGTGGACTAAAATTCTAAATGTAGAAGGATGCCCAATTCACGAGCAAATAGACAGGGTTACTAATATAAGCCTTATATTGCTTACATGTATGTATTATACATTGTGTGTAATTTATATGTTAATAAATACTGTTTAAATTACAAGAAAATCTGATTTGGTTTAGGTTAAGAAAAAATGTCAGTTTAATAAATTATGGTAGGTCAGGGTATTCAAATTTATGCAAGTTAATCATTATAAGTGTATTTATAATTTGTCTCTTTTTTTTTTACAGATTGATGATTGCTTCAAATTTCCTGTCTGGTGTTCTTCAGTGTCATATATGCATGTATTGAAGATAGGAATATGGCTAACAGGGTTATTTTCTTTGGAATGGCCAAGAATATATCTGGGTTTAGTTTTAATGTTCTAACATTAATAATGACGCTTTAATATTATAGCCTGAAAAGGCCGAAATAATTGAGCAAAACGTTCAGAATACAGAATTTTAAGATGGAATCAATAATAGTAAATGAGAAGCTGTCAGTAGTAGGTAGTATTGATAACGAGAGAACTAAACAGCTAACTCTTTTACAGATATTCCTCTTGAATAGTGTGGTGTGTGGAATAGAAATTTGTGCATGTGCTGGTTTTACCTATATTCCACCGTTACTCCTGAAAAATGGCTTTTCTGAAGAAAATATGAGTTTGATTTTAGGTTTTGGTCCTCTGTTGGCTTTGTTCTGTACTCCTGTTATAGGCCGTGCGAGTGACAAATGTCATTGTCCATATGGAAGACGACGTCCGTTTATTTTAGCCATATCAATAGTGCTTATATTCTCCCTCTATCTTATACCGTTTGGCGAAAGTTTTATATCTATGTTTATAGGTAAAAGTGATCTCAGTAAGCGCTTGGGTATACTTCTGATGACGATTGGGTCTGTCATGTTGGATTTTACTAGTCAGACATGTCTCACACCTTGTGAAGCTTTACTAAATGATGCATGTAAAAATACTGGTCAACAGGAAAGGGTTTTTTCAATATATTCATTGATGGTGAGTTCTGGAGGAATTATTGGTTATCTTTTATCTGCGATCAACTGGAGATCAAATAGCGTCGGACAATATTTTGGTGGAGAGGAGGCATCAGTATTCTCCATATTAATTATTATGTTTACGCTAATGTTGTCAGCAACTTTAATCGTAGCAGCTGAAAAACCTCTATTACGGTACCCAAAAACTAGTACTTCCAATGAACAGGACGGTCACTATGATGAACTGGTTAAAAGTTCCCAGAATGCAATCGCTTTAGAATCTGGTTATGAATCTAGCAGCAGTTCAAGATCTGTATCAGAAGAAAATCTGCATAATATACTTGTTACCAAGGAAACCAACTATTCGGTATCATATTCAAAAAGTGTGCGATCAATTCTACCACATAGTATCCGGAATTGTTTAACAGTAGTGACATCTAAAAGTAAAATTCTGTCTCATATATGTGCTTTAATACAAACTTTAGGTTCATCTGTTTATAATTTATTGCCTACAAATGTGCAACAGTTCTTAAATGTACCTGTGGTGTTGCGACACTTGGCTCTGGCCAATTTTTGTAGCTGGACAGCTGTGATGGGCTTCAATCTTTATTTTACGGATTTTGTGGGTCAGATAGTTTATCGTGGTAATCCGAATGCTCCTGAGGATTCAGAAGCTGGTAATTTATATGATGAAGGTGTTCGGATGGGTAGCTGGGGTCTGTTACTTCACTGTATCACTTCCGCTGTTTATTCTTTCTTCATTGAAAGATTGGTAGATAAATATGGAAGTAAAATGACTTACATGATGGGAATGACATCGTTCTGTTTTGCAATGACAGGAATGGTACTAGTACCAAATGTTTACATTGTAAATCTGATGGCAGCCATGACAGGTTTTGCCTTCGCCACATTGACAACGATACCATTTATACTTGTATCAAGATATCATGAAGAAAAAGAGGTAATATTAATTCATAATTTTCTTACGAACTATTTATTAAAAAGTTAAACTAATCTAATACTCTTATTAGTCTTAGTCAAAAGCTTAGTTTACATATAATGATTGTACATGTAGTCTTCAAAACACAAATACATGTACCGGTTCTAATTTGTTTCCATTTAATTTATATCAACATATTGAAGAATGTGCACAAAGATTTAGTATTGACCCTTTCATATTAATATGGTAAACATCATAGAATACCGGTAAATAGTATGTGTGACTTAGAAAGCAATTTCAAAGTCCTCTGTCACCTTTAGAAATAAAACTTCCCCTTGGGCAAATTGGTCATCTTCAATAGCCCAGTTGGTGCAGAAAAGTAGGTTGTTAAACTCTTTTTCATTTTCTGCACCAATTAGCAAATTGTAATTTTTATACGCCCCCATTTTTTCGTGGGGACGTATATTGTTGTCGCCCCAGTCCATCTGGAATTTGTTTGTGGACACTTACAGGTCACAATTCTTATCCAATTTTGACGAAACTTGGTTCCTTTTGATATTGGCATACCGGATCGAAACTTCATGGATTATGGCCCCTGATTGTACGAAAAATCACATTTTTAGCTTGTGGACACACTAAGTGGTGACAATTTTCATCTGATTTTGATGAAACTTGAAATGCATGTTTATAATCCAAAGATCTTGGTTCCTTTCGATATTTGCGCATATCAAATTGTAACTTCCTGAATTATTGCCACTGATTGTACAAAAAAATCATGTTTTTAGCTTGTGGTTCCTCTAAAGGTAACAATTTTTATCCGATTTAAAAAACTGTTTGAATATATATAACGTTACTCCTTAATGAAGATTGAGTTCGAATTTCGTGAAATCGAACCAAAACTGCCGGACAAAATGGCCGCCACTCGTATGCAAATAGTGTAAATATATGGTATATCAAGGTTGTGGACCCTCTAGAGGTCACAATTTTGATCCGATTTTGATGAAAGTTTAAATTTATGATTATATCACAAAGATCTTGGTTCCTTTTGATAATCGTGCATATCCGAACGTATTTTCCCGGATTATGACCCCTGATTGTTAGAAAAATTGCATTGTTAGCTTGTGGACCCGCTAGAAATCACAATTTGTATTCAATTTTAAAAGACGTTTAAATATATGACCGTTACACCCTATTGACGGTTGAGTTAAAAAATTGGACCGAAACTGCCTGACAAAATGGCCGCTCCTTGTAGCAAATAGTATAAGAGTATGTAATACCAAGGATGTGAACTTGTTGATGAAACTTAAAATATATCTTTTATTCTTTATATCCCAAATAACTCAGTCCATTTTGATATTCGTGCATTTCACACCATAAATTCTTGGATTATGGCCCCTGATTGTATGAAAAATCGCTTTTTATTTTTTTTATAGCTTGTTCTCTATCCATCTCTTGCAAAATGTACATGTATGTGCATAAGACTGAACATAGTGAACTGTACAATATACATGTACATGATTTGTAACTGCAGTGATTTTATTAATGTTATATAACTAATATTATATTATTTGTTTGTCTTTTCAGTTATATTTTTTTGATGTGATCACTACAACATCTTCATCAAATCATGGTATAGGAACTTATATTGCTACATTAGATAGTGCCTATTTTCTATCTCAAGTGATCCTAACAGCTTGTGTTGGCTATATCGTACATATAACAGGAACGGTAACAGCTTACATGGTGTCAGCAGGTTGTATGGGATTGTTTTCTGTTATATTTATTAATAAAATTGTGGTAACTAAACAAGAATTAGTAATCTTATGTAATGACAATAAAATAGATTTAAAGAATTGATTTAAAAAGAAACTACTTGTATATTCAACAGATTAAAGTTTTTTAAATTTATACCATAAATTTAAAAATCTATGTAAATTTAGCTTTAGATATGTACATTTATGAGAGCTTTAGAATAAAAAGGGAAGAAGCTCCTTCATACTCATCAACTTAGGGAGCCACTAAAACATATATCTTTAAACCACTTGTAAGAAAATTCTGATCGTTATAGAATGGCATGCTTGATATTTTTAGAAAGTAAACTGTAGATTAACTTGATTTTATTAATGGACTACCTCAGTTTTACTTAAACAAAAATCTACAATTTTAGTCTTTACTTTCAATGTTTTAAATACTGATATGGATATGCACAAATTATAGTTTATTCAAGGTTATCTAACAATACCAATTGGGTCATTTTATGATCAACACTTTTCTGAAGTGGTTTAAACATGTAGATGTATATTCATAAGCTAAAGACTGAAACAGAAAAAAAAAAGTCGAAAAAGAACGAGATAATCAAAGCCTGGTTTTGCTTACTAACATTAATTACGCCTAACTAGGTTACACCCTTGTACTTACATTCATCATCATTCAAGTGTAGTACATGTACAATATCAGCTTGAAATTATCAAAATAAGTGTCACACAACGTATCTTTAAATCAAGGTATTGGGTAAATATTGTGGGTTTTTTTCCAGTACTTTGAATAAATGTATTTAGGATCATCAGTTTCTTGGAAGATTAGCTTAAAGTTTTGGTGACCAAGGAACAAGTTATGATTTTTGATGAAATAAAATGTTGATTTAATTAGATCGATGTGTAGATTTGTTTAGTTTTGTCTACATTTAAACTTTTAGGCCCACAGACTGTCAGATTGAGTCACATAATCTTTCCAAATAAAAGTTTATGTATGTATGTAGTGTTTGTTCGATCAGTAATTGAAATTGGACATCAAATAATCCAATTCAACATTTTAAGTCAAGGAGGTTCAGCTCTTTTAAAATATACTTTAAATTCAAGCATTTACTTTTTAATAATAAGTTTAACTGTTATATTTATGCACTGCCATTGTTCACTAAATAACAACAAAACTTGGCCATACAAAGTATTATGTAAACATTCTGTATACATAATCTTTTAATATTACAGCAACGATTGATGTGAACACCTTTCTTCCCTTGTTTTTTAGTCAGTCGGTTGCACATTACTTAAAGCATTTATTTACATTTGGCTATAGGTTCATAAATTATTTATTTATCAGAAAACAAAGGATAATATTAAAAAACAATTTTTGTACAAACTTAAACTTTATCCATTAACAGGTATTTATAATCCTATATGTAATCAGTTCTTGGATATGCATTTAAACCTTGAAATTTGCTGAAAAGTGATTTTTTCAAAAGTTTGTATGGTCAAATAGATTTTTTTATGCATGTTAGTTACTTGTCTGAAACATCTCACTCTATTCACAACTTCTAATAACTATACGTTGACCGATGTCAAACTGGGTTAGAGTCAGAAATCTAGGCACTCTTTTGAGAGACGTCCATCCTTCAAAACTTTGGGAGAGATTGGATGCCTTGCATCCTCCTAAATCTATATTGCAATAGTATTCAGAAAGCTAAATCTTTTTTCAGTCAAATCGCGTCCAGGAAAATCTTGTCATGCCAAAAAAAACAATAAAAAAAAATTGTTGGTTTATTCATAAATGATATACATGGATTCCGCTTTCCAAATTTGAATTAGGATATGGATTGGACGGTGTGAAGTGGAAATAAAATTGTGCTAATCTATTGTTTTGGAGATATGGAATGGACATAAAATCCCTGATAAAATCGGAAATCCCAGAAAACAGTGGTAAGGATTTTCTTACTCTAGCCTAGGCCCGGTAGGCCGACATCAATACTGTATTAACATGCAGAGACTGGGGAAAGAGTCAGAATATTAAACATGAGTTAAATCTGCCTACAGGCCTGAAATGTTATCTAATTTATTAATTAGACATTAATTAACTTATCCAGACCATAATCAAATCTTGATGCCATCGCTAGCCTGCAATATTTACTGGATTTGAATACATTTTGTGATGGATGATTTAACGTCAAAATGGATAATCAGGACCGAATTCAGTAATGATGATCATGATCGGGCCTAAAATTTAATAGCTAATATCTCGGTTCAGAGTGGAGCAATTTGACTGAAATTTTCAGCATATTCTTTTTGCGGTATCTATTTTTTTATCTGTTATAGTGAGAACTCTCAGCTCTTTATCTAATCTCCCATAATGCCCCTTTAACTTAAGACTAGGTAATCACTAATCAGTAACATAAATGTACCTGTATTTGTCATTGATGTACATGTTTCAAACTGCAATCTACATCTTTATTTACACATTCAGTTTCATATTTTGCTTTTTATACGCCCCCATTTTCATGTGGACGTATATTGTCGTACCCCTGTCCGTCCACAATTTGTTTGTGGACACTCTACAGATCACAATTCTTATCTGATTTTGACGAAACTTGAAATATAGGATTATCTAAAAAAAATCATGGATTATAAGATTATAACCCCTGATTGTACGAAAAATCACGTTTTTAGCTTGTGGACACCCTAGAGCTCACAATTTTGATCTGATTTTTTTGAAACTTGATATGCATGTTTTAAATCCAAAAATCTTGGTCCCTTTCGATATTTGCGCATATAGGATCGTAACTTCCTGAATTATGTACCCTGATCGTGTTTTTAGCCTGTGGTGCCTTTAGGTCATAATTATCTGATTTAAAAAAACGTTCCAATATATCACCGTTACACAGTAATGTCAATTAAGTTCGTATTTAATGACAATCGGACCAAAACTGCCGGACCAAATGGCCGCCCCTTGTATGCAAATAATGTAAAATTATGTTATATCAAGGTTGTGAACCCTCTAGAGGTCACAATTTTGATCCAATTTTGATGAAACTTCAAATACATGTTTATAACCCAAAGATCTTGGTTCCTTATCGGATTGTAACTTCCTGAATTATGGCCCTTGATTGTACCAAAAATCACATTTTTAGCTTGTGGTCCCTCTAGAGGTAACAATTATTATCTGATTTAAAAAAACGTTCGAATATATCACCATTACACCGTATTGTTGGTTGAGTTCAAATTTTGTGAAAATCGTACCAATTTAAAAAAAACGTTTGAATATATCACTGTTACACCCTAATAAATGTTGAGTTCGAATTTTTTGATAATTGGACCAAAACTGCCAGACAAAATGGCAGCCCCTCCGATTTTAATAGAACTTGAAATTCATGTTTATAATCCAAAGATCTTGGTTCCTTTCGATATTCACACATATCAGATCGTAACTTCCTGAATTATGGCCCTTGATTGTACGAAAAATCACATTTTTAGCTTGTGGTCCCTTTAGAGGTCACAATTTGTATCCGATTTAAAAAAATGTTTGAATTTATCACCGTTACACCCTAATAATGGTTGAGTTCGAATTTCGTGAAAATCGGAACTAAAACTGCCGGACATTGTACGCAAATAATGTAAATATATGGTATATCAAGGTTGTGGACCCCCTGATTATTTTTTTTTTTTAGCTTGTGGGCGTATCTAGCCTGGCAACCGCTGGTCTAAATTTATATTCATTATAAATCAAAACCTTTCTTGATCAAAACATTAACATAGATACATGGACAATGTATATTTTATCTTCATTGTTGTGTTATTGTTCATAAAGTTTTGTGGGAATCTAACTAACATATATATATATATATGGTTGTAATTAGAATATCTGTTTTATTTTCTTATTGTTAGATTATATATTTGAATAGTGTTTTATTATAATTTCTATATTGGTTAAAGTATTGTATGTGCCATTATTTTATGACAGTTTTTATTATTTTTATTTCATTTTTTAATGGATAAGGTTGTATGATCACATGGTTGTTTGTTGCTACATGTATCTCTTGAGTACAAAATATAAATTGTCATACATGTTAGCCAGCTTATATTGAATTTTTCCATAATTGATTTAAATACATGTACATGTAGATGATTTTGTTTTTGTTAAGCGATTTTTTTTATACTATTCAAAAAAAGTAGGGGATATTTGATTTTTAAGTGTTATTAAAGTCACCTAATAAAACTGACGAAGAAACAAATGACAAAATGAAATGAAGTTCACATTCATCGATTTATTCCAAATGATCGTTAGACTAAGTAAGGCACAGACTGACCATTATAAGGGTAAAATGATACCCGGGGTCAAACAGCAAAGTTACCACAGCATCACAACCAAGTCAGTAACGGGTAAATCCTCCTCTGTTTGCCAAACAAGCATTGATCCGACGTGGCATACTCCTAATGAGACGTCTAAGGTCATTTTGGTCCAGATTGTCCCATTCCTGTTGCAACGCAGCAGCAAGTTCTTGGACATTGGCAGGACGTTGTTGACGTTGACGTTTCCTCTGTCCAAGCATGTCCCAGACATGCTCGATGGGGGAGAGGTCAGGACTCAGTGCTGGCCAAGGTAATGTGGTGATGTTCTGTTGTTGGAGGTAACCTGTAACGATCCTGGCCCTGTGACATCTTGCGTTGTCATCCTGGAAGATGAAACGGCGGCCATGACGTCGTGCGAACGGCACAACATGGACTGCCAAGATGTTGTCCCGGTAGTACTGGCCTGTAACACGCCCTGCAACAACATGTAAAGCCGTTCTTCCAGCAACAGTGATGCCTCCCCACACCATAACAGAACCACCTCCAAATCGATCATGTCTGATGACGTTAACGTCTTGGAAGCGCTCGTTTCGACGACGCCACACCCTCCTACATCTGTCCAAAAAATCAACAGTGAACCTTGACTCATCTGAAAACATCACATTGCTTCAGCGTCGATTATCCCAGTGTTGACGATCCCTACACCAACGACGTCTTGCCTGAATGTGATGATCTCTCAAACAAGGGATCACGCGAGGACGTCGGGCGCGAAAGTGACCCATATGCAGTCGATTCCGAATTGTCTGGCCACTCACTCTCACACCAGTGTCTGTTTGAAGACGAGCGCTGATCTGATTTGCTGTGATGACACGATTTCTCAAGGCCAAGGTACGGATAAATCGTTCCTGGGCTTGAGTTGTCGCCCTTGGTCGACCTGAGCGTGGTCTGTCCTGTACAGATTGTGTATCACGGTATCTGGACCATAGCCTGCTTATGACAGACTGAGAAACATTCATCGTCCGCGCCACAACCGCCTGTGTTGTGTCGATCTGTAGCATGCCAAGGGCACGTAACCTTTCATTTTCGGTAAGCCGACGCATATCAAAATTTGTTTTCTGGTCACTAAAACAATTAAACTGATGTTTCCACCCTGGAATTCAATGCCACAATGACTGTAACATTCAAAGTCAGAGTCGTGCAAATCTTGGGTTGGACCCCCATGATGATCCCAAGCATCACCTGCATTCCATGCGGTAGCTATTGGTGCGTTTGGGCGTCACATGTAACTGGAAATATTTCTTCTGTTAGGTTCTATAGTGACTTTTTTCGTAGTCATTTGCATATTTTAGTATTATGCCCCTAAAATCAAATATCCCCTCCTTTTTTTGAATAGTATATCTATAATAACTCATGAACAAAAAAGAATTTCTATGAGCAGCTAGATTATTACCAGACAGAATCATATAAATTCTTTAAATTACCATTGTCCTTCATCTTTCCTCAATTTCTTTTGATTGGATCATAGGGAAGAAAACTATCTGAATTGACCGGTTTTTTTTTTATTACAATTCACCTTTTTATATGCCCACATTGAAATGTGGTCGTATATTGTTGTAACCCCCATCCCTCGGTCTGTCCATCTGTTCGGCGTTCCTGCGTCCACAATTGCTTGTGTAAAATAATTATTCTATTAATTATTTTATATCAACTTATCTGAATATCAAATGCATCATTTTGACTTAGTCAAAATTGATCCCATCAAATGTCTGTATTTGGTTTGTGTTTCCTGTTTCTACTGATTGGAAGTTTTACAATTGCTTGTGGGCGCTCTACAGGTCATGAGACGAAGAAGTCTATTGTTTTTTTAGTGATTTCTGATAATTACTGCCAGAGTTATGGCCCTTGATCACTTTGAAAAATCTTGTGGACGCTCTAGAGGCTAAAGTTATTATCCCATTGACATTAAATTTATACAAACTGTTTAAGGTTATGAGATAAAGAAGCCTATTGATTTTCAGCAATTTCCGATAATTACTGCCAGAGTTATGGCCCTTGGTCACTTTGAAATATTCTGTGCATGCTCTAGAGACTAAAGTTAATATAAATTGTTCATGGCCATGAGACAAACAATCGAAACAAATTCTAATATTTTCTGATAATTACTTAATGGGTTATTACTCGTAATAAGATTTTCATGTGTTGTAAACAATCTCCTTACTGACAAAAGAAAATATATGCGACAATCCTTGTTGACTGCCAGGACGACATAGCTGTTTTTAGGCGTTGTTTTGTTGCCTGGCAACCTATCTTTACATTCTTGTGACACTGAAAATATTTTTAACTGAGATTGTTAATTTGACATATCCTATCACAGAGGTCTAGTTTCGTTCACATTTTTACAGCTAATGGTTGATTTTACTGCATGTGGTTATAAAATAAATTTATTATGTTTTTTGATAGTGTTCATTGGCCTTAGTTACTGTTTGTTTTTGTTATAGATTATGGGACCATATCAATACCACAAATGCAGGAGGCAAAATAAACTGTTTAATGATTTTGTTTGTTTCACTTAAGTTCTAAATAATTTTGTTAAGAATTGTTTTGAGGACCAAATTCAAAAATTTATATATCGAAATATTTTGACCGCATGTTTTTGTAGACATTGTCATGTCCTGCACTGTTAATTTGTTATTGCACTGTGGACACAGACACTTGTAAAATGTAAATTCTCCATTCAAAAATAACATTAGGCAGAGGCTTTTTATTGTTCCTAAAGTCTTATTATGTTCATAGTCATATATAGTAAAAATAATCAGATTCAGATACAAATAGTTTGTCTGAAATCACTTATGAGTAATAAATACTGAAAGATAAGAAACGTACCATCCCACTTCCTCTTACATATTCTCAGATATCAATTCCATTCAGTAAACAATTTTTTACGCACCTGATTTCTAGGATCATTGTGTTTTCAAACAAGATCATTTCTACGGAAGGGGGGTTGGATAGCTGAATGGTTAGCGTGCGCGCGCTGTATCATACAGTCTGTCATTGAGTCGACTGGCGTGGTTTCGAATCCCAGGTTGTACGTGGCAATGAGTAGGGTCACCTGTCCAACCTCGTGGGTTTTCTCTGGGTCCTCCGGTTTCCTCCCACTGCTAAAGACCCCTACGCGCAAGCGAATTATGTGAATAAAATTAAACCATATGTTAGTCCCGAAATGACCTAGTTTGTGTCAAGTGGACGTTAAACCCCATTTCTCTCTCTCTCTCTCATTTCTACGGAAACAGTATTAGTGAAAAGAAGTAGGAATTCCAACTATTAAGCACAGTAGTATTTGTTTTATTTGACGAGATGTATATTTACAAATTCTGATTTCTGTAAATTTACACCAAAGAAAAAAAATCCTAACACGATCTCATGTCATTTCATACATGTAGGTGAACCATCATTTGTGAAAAAAATGGGACAATCAGTGGTTTTCCAAAAATGGAGCCATAATGAGAAAATAATAGTTGTACGATATCCAGCTGATACAGGAAAATACCAATTATGTCAAAACGTGTAATGATTTTTTTCTCAATTCTAGTAAACTATTAAAAACATGTTATTTTAACAAATGTTTTTATGATAAATGACCTGGTAGGTCAAATATAGTTATGTTGTTTAGCTTCCATCTAAGGAAGTTTCCTTTTATTTAACTTGGTGAATATCTTTGTGCCTATTTTTGTTAGACATATTTTTGTTATCCATTGAACATGTAACAAAACAGAGTCTTCTGCCTCATAACATTAATGTGACCTGAAGTCAACATAAATATTCATATTTGTGATCCCTCTAGAGGTAACAATTTTTATCCAATTTCAAAAAACGTTTGAATATATACTGTTTCACCCTAATGATAGTTGAGTTAGAATTTCGTGAAAATTGGACCAAAACTGCAGGACAAAATGGAGGCCCCTCCTACCCTAATAGAGGTCAATTTTTATCCAATTTCAAAAAATGTTTGAATATATACTGTTTCACCCTAATGATGGTTAAGTTAGAATTTCGTGAAAATTGGACCAAAACTGCAGGACAAAATGGACGCCCCTCGTACCCTAATAGAGGTCACAATTTTCACCTGATTTTGATGAAACTTGAAATGCATGTTTATAACCCATTATATTCGTGCATATTGGATCGTAACTTCCTGAATTATGGCCCCTTATTGTAAGAAAAATCGTGTTTTTAGCTTGTCCTTCTAGAGGTCACAATTATTATCTGATTTAAAAAAAAACGTTCGAATATATCACCATTACACCATATTGTTGGTTGAGGTCAAATTTTGTGAAAATCGAACCAAAATTGTCGGACAAAATGGTCGCCCCTTGTATGCAAATAGTGCAAAAATGATGCTATATCAAGGGGTTGTGGACCTCCTAGAGCTCAAGATTTTGATCTGATTTTGATGAAACTTGAAATGCATGTTTATAACCCAAAGATCTTGGTTCCTTTCAATATTCACACATATCGATTCGTAACTTCCTGAGTTATGGCTCTTGATTGTACAAAATATCACATTTTGAGCTTGTGGTCCCTATAGAGGTCACAATTTTTATCCGATTTAAAAAGAAATGTGTGAATATATCACAGTTATACACTAATGATGGTTGAGTTCGAATTTTGTGAAAATCGGACTAAAACTGACGGTCATAATAGTGTAAAAATATGGTACATCAAGGTTGTGGACCCTCTAGAGGCCACAGTTTTTATCCGAATTGGATGAAACTTTAAATATTTGTTTTTATCGTAAAGATCTTGGTTCCTTTTGATAATCACACATATCCGAACGTAACTTCCTGGATTATGGCCCCTGATTGGTCACAATTTTTTTTCCAATTTTAAAAATCGTTAATATATATCACCATTCCATCATAATGAAGGTGGAATTCGGATTTTGGGAAACTCGAATTGAAACTGCCCGACAAAATGGCTGCTCTTTGTACGCAAATTGTGTATAAGTATGTAATACAAAGGTTAGGGACCCACATGAGGTCACAATTTTTATCTGATTTTGATGAAACTAAAAACATATCTTAGTCCCTTTAGATATTTGCGCATTTCAGACCATCACTTTCTGGATGTCCTTTAACTGTTTTACATTTTTGGGCTTTCTCATAAACTGCTTGATGGATTTGAACCAAATTGGGTAGATATTTTGCCTAATTGGCACTTATTTAGATATCTTCAAATTAAATGGAAAGTTGTTGGTAGGGTAATATGAAAGGAGCAAAATGTTTTACTTTTAATTATATGGTGGATTTCAGCAAAATTTGATACACACAGGGAGTGCTTATTCTTGAACTTATAGTATCTCTAACATTGGCATTAGTTATGTTCTTAATATTGATATATTGTTAACCACCTTACTTAAACTATTCTTAAATGAATTATTACATAAGTTACTGTCAAAAAGAACCTTTTAAGACTTTATTATTAAGAATACTTGACTTGATTTGGATGAAATAGTTTTTAAACTTTAACATTAAAAATCAAAATTGTCGTCTTTATGGAGCTTTTGAAATAATCATATACATGAATAAAATGATTTTAATATTGTTTTATTATGAATCATGAATCTATTTTACAATATTACTTATAAAAGATTATTGAAAAAAAACAGATATTTTATAAGGTCAAAGTTTATGTAAATATTTTTTTTAGAATACAGACCAACAACTTATATATTTTGTTAGATATTGTTATTATTAAAGATACTTTCCCAGAAAAGTATTTATCCGGTGGTTATTTCCAATAAAAGTATGGCAATTTTGGTATGTATGGAAAGTAAAAATGTCCAATCTTACTAGAAAAATACTGGATTCCCTTAAAAACACCCATGGAACGCATACAGCACAAAAATGTAAGGATTTCCCTAATCGGCAACCTGATGATTAGTAATGACTGCTTGTGCCATGTCAAAGGTAGCACACGAAGATTGAGTGCTTGATGTATATGTTAATAAACTTGATGAAGGGTTAAACGTACAACACTTTCTGAGATAAAAACCATGGAAAAAGATGTGGGCAGTGGATAATCCGAGAATTTAATTAGGCTTCAATATTTATGATAAATGGACAGCAATTAGAGACAACAACGTCTTGTGTATGCAATGAATTCTCCTCTGGCTTTGCACCCGTTGCTAGGTAATGCGTCAGCTAAGTCATGTGACACAAACATGACTTCTTTTAATAGATTTTTTAAAGTAAGGTTTATTCCCTCACGAAAATAGTGAACACTTTAATATTAAAAGTATACTTCTGGAGTATAATCTACTTACCAATATAGCTCATGTAAGGGTACCATGAAACCTGGAAGTGTTAGCCATGGTCTGTCAGGTAGTTTTATACATGATAAATCAGAGATATATTATTTTTTGATTTATCTCTGTATTTTGTTTTTTAATGTTAAAAATATGATATTTTTTAAACAAAAGTTTGTTACAGGTATTTTGAGCTTTTATTATATTTTTAATATACGTATGTATAACTAATCAAATGCATATGAAAGTCAAGGTTTTAATTTATCATTTTATTATTATTTTTCCTCCCCAAACCAAATATAGTCTATTTAAGTTTCTATTCAAAATGACTACTTTTTTAAAAAAAAATGTCTGTTAGAAGTATCTATTGACTGCCTCAGCAGCAATGCAGTAAATTTGAACCAACCTAAAAGTATAAATATTCCAAATGGAAACAGTATTTGTTAAAGATGCATTATGTTAGGGCTAAATCTAACAATTGAGGTCTTTTTCTAGCTTTAAATGTTACATGTATATGAATTATTATATAGATATTTTATTCACATGATAAGCCTGTAAACGATTGGATATTAAGTGGATAAGACCATCCTCTTAATTTAATTGGTTAACATTAAAATGGAAAATCAAGACATTTATTATTGAAGAAATGACAATCGAGACCAGCTATTCTTGTCAAAACATTCATAACTAAGCTCAGAATAGAGTAATTTAACTGAAATTTGTTATATATATACTTTTTTCATTATCTATTTTTAAATTATTATAGCCAGAACAGTCAGCTCTTTATCTAAATCTTACGTAATGCACCTTTAATTAAAACATACATTAATAGTATTTAGATTGTGTTCAGTTTTCTCTATATAATATGTAGGTTATACTGGGTGTGTGTAACAACTTTTAATATGTTATAAAATATAAATGGTGCAGATGATGCAAAGATAATTTAATTTCCAGATTGTAGAAACATTTTGAGCTTTTAGGTTTACCGACTACATATTCATTATTGAGTTTTTGATGCTAGTTGGTATGAATTGCAACACAAGCACCATTAATAAGGATGAACCCTTTTCCCGGTCTCTCCAGTTCACTGTGTCATTAAAGGCAGAGTTTGGGCACAGAGTGGTTTGGGTATAAAATTTAACAATCAAGCATGACTTTGCATATATAAAATGTTTAATAATCAGAGGTCAAAAAAACAAAATAATAAAGATACAAAATATTTCTGTTGGGGAGACATGACTGAATTAACTCATATACCAGTACATGTACTTACTATTGCTTATTGTTTTTAGAATTTGCATATCCTAATATTTAGTTAGATATTTTGTTATTTATTTATTAATTGTAATGAAACCCCATTTACGAATATTTACTGTTCTCATACCCCCATCACCCCATCAAGTCTACTGTTGAGTTCAAGAATGTAATAATTTCAATTCATCTAGGCTAGCATTAAAACATATTGCCAAAATATATATATAGACAAGACACCCAGTACATATAGGCCTTAAGAACATTTATGTATTATTAGAATATATTTTATGTAGACTAATATTTTAAATGGCATGTAAGGGTATTTTAATATTAAATGAAATATTACACCAAGTCAGTCTATTTACATGGATTGCCTAGTAAATTATGTTGTATTTCATGTATTTCAATTGATCTGGGTTGTATGTAAATAACTGTAAATTGTAATATAAAGAATTTTATATCATTTGGTGCTCTTTATGTAAATATTGGTAATAAAGAAAATATATTTAAAGATATTTTATTTAACAAAAAAAAAAGTTTGTGTTATTTCGTGTTTGATCACTAACAAATCTACAATTGAAAATACTTTGTAAGGTAGGCTTCAGTGCTTCAGTCAACAAGAGTTTGATTATTGAATAGATATTTCTGTGGGAAAGAGAACAAATGAAATGTTTATGATATTAATGAACACAATACTCTTACTGTATTACATCCCACGTAGATTTATACAATATAACTGTACATGTATATAACGACATTTATTCAGGGTCACATTTTCAACAGGATATCCACCGGGTAAGAGCCAGTTTTACTAGGATCCTTTTATGTCATTTCAAATATTACATACTCCAAATCGACATTGCCACAGTACATATACTGTCATATTACACTTCGACCCTTGCAAAATTGTGGTACCAATTTCACTGGAGGTACCAATAATTTTCCGTTTTGTCCAATGCAAGCAGACTGAAATGGCATTTCACCTCCATTCAACATTTACCACATCATGTTGGGACTAGAATGGTATTTTTTCACTCAAAACGATTGATTGTGCGCAGGAAGTGGAAGGAAATTAACAAAGAAATTAGGCATTTAACCAGGGGCGGATCCAGGAATTTTTGCAGAAGGGGGTTTGCCAGATTCCTGGGACAATGTATGTTTTGGGGGGTAGAGTAAGGGTTAGGTACGATAACATTGTGATTTAATTTCATTGATGCAAAGCATTAATTGTGATATCACATATGTCTACAATGTTTATCATTATCACGCACTTTGAATACCCATCCCATCCCATCCCACCCCACCATCTGATGATAAAGGATCAAGAACACAACTGTGACACTTTTGTCATAATTTTTTTGTGGCTGAGCAGGGGGGCTTCTGAGCTTCATTCAGTTGTCAGAGAAAGAGATGTGGTTTAACATCCACTTGACACAAACCAGGCCATTTCGGGACTAACATTACAATCTAATGCGAGACCATTCACCTCCCCTCCCCGCCCCTCTCCCGTTTTGTAGAAATATATCCTTTGTGCTGAAAAATATAAAACAGTTGTAGTTGTACCTTCCAGTTAGGTGGTAATTAATCCATGTGCTGTAACTCGTCATAGCTGTGATTTTTGTCCCCCGCCTTTCGAAGAAAGCAGGGGACTATTAAAATGGGTTCGTCCGTCTGTCTGTCTGTCCGTCTGTCTGTCCGTCTGTCCGTCCGTCTGTCTGTCCGTCTGTCTGTCCGTCACACTTTTTGGGACACAATAACTCTCTTCCTAATTGAGCTAGAATGTTCAAACTTGGTGTATGTGTTTATTAGGTCAATGCCTTGATGGAGTTCGAAGATGAGCATTTTCCGCTTAGGGTAAGCAGAGATAAGCAATTTGATTGGTTGATGCTTTGGGATACGATAACTCTCTTCCTAATTGGGCTAGAATGTTCAAACTTGGTGTATGTGTTGATTAGGTCAATGCCTTGATGGAGTTCGAAGATGAGCATTTTCCGCTTAGGGTAAGCAGAGATAAGCAATTTGATTGGTTGATGCTTTGGGACACGATAACTTTTAATTGAGCTAGAATGTTCAAACTTGGTGTATGTGTTTATTAGGTCAATGCCTTGATGGAGTTCGAAGATGAGCATTTTCCGCTTAGGGTAAGCAGAGATAAGCAATTTGATTGGTTGATACTTTGGGGCACGATAACTCTCTTCCTAATTGAGCTAGAATGTTCAAACTTGGTGTATGTGTTGATTAGGTCAATGCCTTGATGGAGTTCGAAGATGAGCATTTTCCGCTTAGGGTAAGCAGAGATAAGCAATTTGATTGGTTGAACTGTTTGATTGTTCAATACTTTGTAAAAGATAATTTGTGATAAATTTATATGTGTCCTCTAATTATTTTCCTATTTCGGCGGGGGACATCAGCCTCACTGTTGGCTTGTTTGATTCGTGACAAAAGTAGAAAGAAAATGTAGACAGGTATTAATTTTTATGCCCATACCTGTTACCATATTTTAAGATGTTGGGAATTAATGAAGTAAAAATACTATTTTCTATAAAAGTAATATTTAATTCACATAAATATTATACATCATAGATAAAAATTATCATTTCACTGTCCATGGCAGTATTCCTGAAAGATAATGAATAGAAGCACTTTGACTCAAGTCTGGATGACAATGACACATTCTATATATCAAAAAAAAATAACAAAAGAACTCTCAATAACAAAGGAAAAATGTTACCGTAATAAAGTAATTCAACATGCCAATCTGAATTTAATAGCCAATTTTATTTTTATCTGAATTTAAAGAGGTCTAGACATTTTAAGGCTTATATACTCAGTACACTGGCTTCCTATTAAAAGGGCGTTGTGCTCTATTTCTCGAACCCTAATATAGATGCAAATGGGTATAAGAGCCATATAAAGTGACTTGCATTCAATTTTTTAAAATTATATTTTAATCACTAATCAGTTATGTTCGGTTAAATTCATGAACAGTCCATTCTAGAGCAGTTTTTAAACAATTATTTTCTCGTTTTTAAATCTGCCGTTCTTAATGTCTTTTGCATTGTCTTGTGTGATAGAAACCATAGAATACACAATTTGACAGATTTTAAAATGTTAATTTTTCTTAAATATTGGATAGAAGGATCCCATATTTTCACAGCAAGTTAAAAACATCAATATTGATTGAAATGGACCAAAATTAAATTCCAATTCATGTTTTTAATTTCGAATATTAAAGATACATGAAATGATGAGTTACAAGTTTAGCTCTTTTAACTTTAAATATATCATTGTAATAAGGTTAAATTCTTTTCTTTCAATGCATATACAATCAGTAATGGTTTTCAATGAATAATGTAAGGTACAATGTAACATTAATGCAATGCAGTTTTAATGCCAATGAGCATGGGACACAGCTTTTTAAATTTAATCTATACCCTAGATGCCTTTTACTCCATTATTGTCTATAATCATAATTGTCTTTCTGCAAATATATCTCAATAGCTTTTGTTGAATCGTGACCATGGTTTTAAAAGAAATCATTAATTGTAAATAAAACAATTTATTGAATTTTAATGGGTAAAAATAGAAAGATAAATTCATCAAAGAATGAATGTAAAACATTCCAGTTCAAATAACATTTAATACAACATATCGAGCAATTTTACCTTAAAAAAAAATATATGAAGGGCTGCAAAATTTTGCCCAAATATTTTATGACGATTTTCCAAAGAATCACTGATATTTTTTCCCTTTGAATCAAGGTACTTTTTGTACCTATTATTATAACCATTTGTCCCAACAAATATCTGACAGTAAACATTTACATTGGGTCTAAGATAAACAATAAACAAACAAACAAAAATATCCATACTTAACATTGACATATTAACAATATACATAATAAAAAAAGAAGCACAAAAGGATCATATTAACACATGCATTTTAGATGATGATGATGTAATGGTTTCATAATACATAAAACTAAATTTACATAGACATGTTCTTTTAAAGAATCTTTTTGTTTGTCATAGAAAAAAATTGTCTGTGTAAATTAAGCTTAAACTAGACCATGTTTCATTTTGATAATACCATGTCATATCTACAGAACTAACACAGTTGTAAGGGACAACAATCACAGGTTTATTATACACAAGCATGACGTTTCGATAAGTATTCTCTTATCGTTATCAAGCACAATGACATTTGGTATGTGTGTGAAATAGCTTTATTTAACCCTCCTCTTCCACAGAAGTGATATAACAGACAAGGCAGTTGTTGTTTGTTGTTTATTAAACTGGAAGGTGTGTATATATATATATATAGATATATATGAATGTACAGTGTGAAGCCATACTTAATTAATGTGTGAAGTGATTAGAGGGGTACATACATTAAACAATCATATTTAACAACAATGAACTTATATGACAAGGATATAGATTAACCTGAAGCCATTAATTATAATATGTAGTACATTATGATTAGAAGAGTTACATATTTAAGAAGTGTATAAACAACTAAGAATTTAGAAAGACACATGATTAAAAAGGATTAGGTTCATATGAAACCATAATAACAAGAGACAACAAGGCATAATTACACTAAAATAACCTCCTTGGGGGATAAAACGAAGTGTGAACATTAAATTAATAAGTAAATTATCACTTCAGTGGGAATAGATGTTAGATAAAGCTTTTTCACACACTAAATGATGTCATTGTGCTTGATAACCATAAGAGAATACTTATCAAAACGTCATGCTTGTGTATAATAAACCAGTGATTGTTGTTCTATATAACTGTGTTAGTTCTGTAATGTTTCTAATAGCTAAATGCCACTAAAAAAAAAATGTTGTCCCACTATATAAGACAATCGCACAAGGCTAAAAATTTGATTCTGCGTTGAGATAAAATAAGGCAAATGTACAATTCTTTGGCAATCACTAGATGTATAATCTTTCGATTTTCATGAAAAAATGCTTTATGATATGAATATAATTTTGAAAGCTGAATGACGAATAAATAAATATAAAGTGAAGTCCACTAAAAAAGATGTCAAAATCTTGCAAATAAATAAATGCATTATCTTATTCATTCAGTAATAAATAAACAGTAAATTCTACTGTTGCATTTATTGTGCTGTAAGCGACATTCGTATAATGAACTGATAACAAATATTACTTCAGATTGTGTTCTTTTGCAGTTTATTGAATTCTTATTTATATAATTTAGCAAGGCACACATGATAGAGATCTCACACTCAATAAAATATCTGCTTCATTTAAATTAAATATACATTTTGCTTAATATTTTATACAGCTATCAAAGTATTAATGAGATCTAACAACAATTTTCTCATTTGACAACCCATGTATTAGTTGTAGAGGTAATTGGAGTTTTTTGAGAAGGGAGAGAATAGCAGTGTTGAAGTATTATAACACTGTCAGTACTCAAGAGATGTATGCAAGATTTCAACAAACAGGCAATGGTTTCACAAAGGAGGAAATTTGCAATGTTTTAACCTTGCAACAATGGCCATAAACTCAAAATAAATGGAAATTCAGAAGAAACACTACATATATTTATTTTCTTCCCTATCTCACCCAATAAATTAAGATGTCTTGTTTTCAAAACCTGACAAGCAATCTTTTAAAATCTCACTTGAATAATATTTAATCCATATCATTCCCCATCTACATTAGGTGTACATATATAATTACTAGGTTTGATGAAGATGTAGCAGTATTGTTAATGTGTGTTCACTTTATGAAATAATAGAAGTTGATCAATATATTCTAGGAATACTATGATATAAACTATAAGTATTAGTAATAAACTTTGAGAAGTACATTCTCGTTACACAAGTTTTACACAAATATTTAGACAGGGAGCTCAGTTTTTGGTTCAAGATGGATTGAGCTAGAATTTACTGAAGTCATTATCACGTCACAACCTTCAAGTGTTCATTATCAAGCTGTGACTCAATTTCAACTAAAAACATATTATACATACAAAAAATGTGAGCATCTGTTCATGTTCTCTGTTGCAAAAGTTTAATACTGCATATTTTGTCTAATTAAAATTTAGACTTTGAAGAAAATAGAGAATTAATAAGGAATTTGCTTGCAAGATCATTGAGAGAGGTGGTTTTTGCCCGGGCATTCCCATCTGACTTTTGTAACTCAAAAATAAATCGATAATTAAAAGTAATCATTGGCTGTATTATATGTGTATAGATTTATTTCAATCAGATAATAACTTATTGACTGTACAGACAGACAGGGGTGACAACAATATAGTATATACAAACACATTTTAATGTGGGCGTATAAAAATAAAAATCGCAGTTTCGGCTGCAGCTATTGATGGTATTTTGATTGTTACATCAATAAAGCTCTAATTTTAATCAAATATCCAGCGTGGTTTCTCCTTGTCAGTGGTGCAGGATGGAGGGCCTGACAAGGACAGATGTCTAGTTGTTTGGATGGGGCCAAAAAACTGAGGTCCTGTGTACACATTGGCATGCACGTAAAAATCCCTTGACAGTTGGAATTCAATATAAGAGTAGGCCATAGCACTGCTGTATGAACAAAATTTCCCTCATAGCACACTGTAAGCATATGCCCGTCTTCATTAGCCCAGTCGCAGCAGAACATTAAACCCGATTTCATTTCATTTAATCAAATAGGTTAATAAAATGGTGAGAATTGTATTTGTAATAATTTGACAGGTATTAAACACCAAGAGGTTTTGTTTGACTTGCTATTTTTGAGTCACAGCTTGTAGAGAACAAGGGCAAATAACCATCAATTTATAACATATCGTTATAATAATAATAAGGCAATTAACAATATTAAGAATCCTAGGAATAATAAATATATCTATAATCTTTTATACAAATAATTACAACAAGCTTGCACATTATAAACCTTTTTATAGAATTGTTGGCAGTTGAAGAGGTTGAAGAGGTCATAGTTCTTTTCATCTGTAGCACAGAACACTAGTCGTACATACTTGGACACATTCACAATTTTTTTTATCACACTTTTTTCACGTCTTTAGAAAAAAAACCAACCACATTTTAAATTAAAATAACACTTACAGCCAGTAGAATTCTATATTCAGATTCAAACAAACAATTCTCTTCTTTATATATGAATATTAGTACACATTAAAATTTCACGCTGTTTGAAAAGACTTGATAAATTTGTTCAAATTGTCCACATTTTGTTTTGTTTGTTTATTACTCTCTGCTAATTCCTTGTTGCATTTCATTTTTTCCTATAAATATACAATAAAAGTTTATATTTATATCAGGATTAAATTAATCAAAATTAAATACAAGCAATTTTGTGGTCTAAGGGGAGACAACACTATAAATAAAAGATAACTTCTCATCATCTAGTCCGGCATTACTATTATGGATGAACCTGGAAATTGTATACAAAGTTTTTTTTATGATTGATTTTAGTAGCCTAGGGTGTCCTCTTTCAGACTCTGCCTGGTGAACCTGGGTCACCCATGAGCATTTTGAGAATTTCAAGATGGCGTCCAAGACGGCCGCCATTTCAAATAATCCCCTATTTTGTCTAGGATGATAATTTTGTAGTCTAACCGTATGTTTTTGGGGCCAAGGAATACACTGAAATCTTTCATTGTGTTGTGGGTGATTAGATCATAGATGATACTAAAATCCAAAATGCCAGACAATATGGCCCTTTAACTCCATAGCGGCAGTTGGGCCAATTACTTCACCAAACCAAACTATATCTAAAGTCAAAGGTGACCAAGATTCTCCCGGCAGATTCTGAAAGAGAACACCATAGGCTACGAAAATCAATCATACAAAAAACTTTGCATAAAATTTCCAGGTTCACTCGAAATATTAGGTTTGGCGACCGGACTAATGCTCCTGAAAACTTCAAACAAAAGTCATCTAAAAAAGAATTAAATTCAATGTTAACGATAGGTTGCCAGGCAACGAAACATACGCCCACAGCAGCTAACTCGTCCGGGCAGTCAACAAGAGTCGTCACATATTTTTACTTTTTTCGGTAATGAAACATTTATAATACATTAAAATCTGATTAGGAGTAACAACTCATTAAGTAATTATCAGAAAACCATTAGAATTTGTTTGGTTTTTATAAAGTTTTGCCCCATGCTAACGTTTAGTATAGGAAACTTTTAACATCATGGATTTAGCTGTTCAAGTCATAAAAATTCATTGAAAATCAATATACTTGTTTGTCTCAAGACCTTACACTCTGTGTATGAATCTGAAGTCAATCGGATGATAACTTTAGCTTCTAGAGGGTCACAAGGTTTTTAAAAGTGATCAAGGGCCATAACTTTGGCAGTAATTATCGGAAATCGTTGTAAATCAATATGATTCTTCGTCTCATGACCTCAAACACTCTGTATCAATTTAAAGTCAATCGGATATTAACTTTAGCCTCTAGAGCATTTACAAGATTTTTTGAAGTGATCAAGGGCCATAACTCTGGCAGTAATTATTGAAAATCACTGAAAATGAATAAACTTCTTCGTCTCATGACCTTAAACACTGTGTATAAATTTAAACTCAATCGGATATTAACTTTGACCTCTAGAGCGTTCATAAGATTTTTTGAAGTGATCAAGGGCCATAACTCTGGAACTAATTATCGGAAATCGCTGAAAATCAATAGGCTTCTTCATCTCATGACCTTAAACACTGTGTATAAATTTAGAGTCAATCGGATATTAACTCTGACCTCTAGAGCGTCCACAAGAGTTTTTGAAGCGATCAAGGGCCATAACTCTGGCAGTAATTATCAGAAATCGCTGAAAATCAATAGGATTCTTCGTCTCATGACCTTAAACACTGTGTATAAATTTAAAGTCAATCGGATATTAACTTTAGCCTCTAGAGCGTCCACAATCCGGACCGACAGACCGACAGACGGACGGACGGGGGTGACGACAATATCAGACCACATTTCAATGTAGGCGTATAAAAATGTCTGTTACAAAATGGGATAAAGAGAAATATCAAACTCTAATTTACATACCGTCAAATTTTCAGTCAATTCTTTGGAGCGAGCTTCTAAAGATGATTTTTCACTTATTAACTCAGTACTCTTTTTCTGTAATTTTCTTTTCTCATCTTCTTTAACTAAATTATGAGTAAAAGAATATAAAAAGAATTGATGGGTGTTCAACATCTAGTCAACAAATTAAAGTCTCTGATCATGTTTTGGGTGATTTTGAATCTCTTCGAAACTACAATATTGTGAAAGCTTAATCTCTAACCAGTGGTTGCCATGCAAGATATGCCCACATTTTGCAAGAGATGGATAGAGAACAAGCTAAAAACAAAAGTGATTTTTCGAAAATCAGGGGCCACAATCCAGAAAGTTATGGTCTGAAATGCGCAAATATCAAAAGGGACCAAGATTTCTGAACTCAACCAAAACTACAGTGTAACGGTGATATATTCGAACCATTTTTTAAATCGTATAATAATTGTGACCTCTAGAGGGACTACAAACTAAAAACGCGATTTTGCGTACAATCAGGGACCATAATCCAGGAAGTTACGATCCAATATGCGCGAATATAGAAAGGAACCAAGATCTTTGGGTTATAAACATGCATTTCAAATTTCTTCAAAATTGGGTAAAATATTTTGACCTCTAGAGTGTCCACAAGCTAAAAATGTGATTTTTCGTATGATCAGGGGCCATAATAAATGAAGTTATGGTCTGATACATGCCATTATTGAATGGAACCAATATCTTTGGGAGATAGACCTATATTTCAAGTTTCGTCAAAATCGGATAAAAATTGTGACCTGTAGAGTGTCCACAAACAAATTTATAAAGATATGATGAATTGAAATTTTGCAATATTCAGCATCCTCTGCGGACGATAAGAACTTCTTTTGGATCCGGGAGATTATCTACTGTTGATATTTCAGGTTTCTTAATTAAATGTTAAATAATCGATTTGACTACATTTTAGGGTGAATTAAGCACAGAAAAATTAGATATTATCTAAAATATGCAAGATCAGGACCGGCCAATATAATGTGGGCCAAATTGAACTAAGAGAGGACTAGAAATCTATAAACAACAGTTCCATCTTCACGTTAACAACATGTTTATGTTTTCATAAAACCTGAACTATGATAGGACAAAAAAGTAAATAATTTAACTGTACATGTGTATAATAGGTAACCCTCTTTTGATATAACTACATTTGTTAACTGCCTTTTTCTCTTGAGATAAATCAAATAAAATATTTGGATAGTTCAAGATATCTAACCTGTTTTTGTAGCAATGTAAGAGTTTACTACAGCCATTGATTCGGCACCATTCCATGTTAAACTATTACCATTTGTCTGAAAAAAATACAAAACATGTGTAAATCAACAAATAGTAATTATACTAAAGGTTAGGCCAAATTTCGGAAACAACCACATTTATAATATTAATATTGTTTTTCAAAATCCCAGAAAAAGAAAATTTGGAATTAAAGTCAAGAGTGTAAAAATAATTTCACTCAAATCAATTAATCCACAAGTCTGGATTTGGTGGGTTTTTTTTTTTGAATTTCAATATGATCAAGTTTAATCTAATGTGAGTTTTTGTACGATTTGCTACTATTACACACAAATTGAAATTGATTAGCAAAATCGCCCTATTAATGTTTTTGGAATGGTCATCAGTAGAATTAATCTTTGTCTTTCTCTTTCCATTGGAAAGTTTAAGAATATGTAAATGAAATACCTGACAAGGTGAACAGCACCAGTAACCTGTTGGTACAGATGTTAATGGAGGATCAAGGCACGCCATATGGAAGACTTTATAACAACTATTACACAATAAAACTTGACCATCTCTACCACATACAGCACATAAATATTCAGTTTCTTCACTCTAATATGTAGCAGAATAAAGATTAATATTACTTCGAATTTCAATAAACTTCTTGGTATTGGAGAAATATTCCTTCGATCATAAAATTAGAACATCAAACAAAACTTTTTCTGATTTGAAAGTGCATTTCTAATGACAAGGAAAAAAAAATTATAGACACAAATAGCACAATAAATTTATAATGTTTATTATTAACCAGCGGCTGCCAGGCAGGATACGCCCACACTTTGAAAGAGATGGATAGAGAACACGCTAAAAACAAACATGATTTTTGTACAATCAGGGGCAATAATACAGAAAGTTATGGTCTGAAATGCGCAAATATCAAAAGGGACTGAGATCTTTATGATATAAAGATATGTTTTAAGTTTCATCAGAATCGGATAAAAATTGTGACCTCTAGAGGGTCCACAACCTCCTTTACACAATTTGTGTACAAAGAGCGGCCATTTTGTCGGGTAGTTCCATTTCGATTTTCCCGAAATTCGAATTCAACCTTCATTATGGTGGAATGATTTTTCATACAATCAGGGGCCATAACCCATGAAGTCACGGTTCAATACATGCCAATATTGAAAGGAACCAAGATCTTAGGGAGATAAACCTATATTTCAAGTTTCGTTGAAATCGGATAAAAATGGTGACCTGTAGAGTGTCCACAAACAATTGAGGACGGACAGACAGGGGTGACAACAATATACGTCCACATGAAAATGTTGGCGTATAAAAATAGTCAAGCACTATTTGAATATCAGTGTGTGCTACAGTAGAACATTACATAGTAACCACTCATACATTAGCCCTTATTCACTCGATATCATATGTTTTAGACATAAATATATCTTTCTCTGTAGTTTGAATATATTTTGCAAGTGAACTGTTTATATTTAACTGTTGAAGTAATACTAATATACCTTTAAAAGCTAAACAAACAATGCTGCATTACATTTGACAAACTTACAATTTTATGTTTCAAGCAACAGTTGACGTTACATTGAATCAAGATGTAGAATAACCTTTGTATATTACGCATTTAAGGTGATCAAGAACGATTGAAATTTACAAGTTTAAAATATCAAACATATTTCACATAGCAAGACTCCAAGTTTCCAAATTCTTTGTGAAATTTCCTGTGTTTGGCAATAAATTAAATGTAAGATAGAAATGAAATAACATCAGTCAACACTTTAATGAATAAATTCAAACATACATACTGAAATAGAGTAATATTTGAACTTGTAGTTGTAGTATTAGAAATGTATACATTTATCCGGATATATTCATTTACCTCAATAACTCCTGGTAAATAATCACTTTTAAAAACTTTCTGTACTGTTGGTGTATTTGGTGTGCTAGGTCGACTGTTATTTGGTGATGGACCATGTTTTGGTGGACGACCTGCAAATATGAAATAGGTAAAAATTGTAAATTCACAAAACTAAGAGCTAAAATTTGTACGAGGATTTCAAACTTTAGCTGATAAAAAGGCTGAATTCTTAAAAACACTTTAGTTTTTGCAAACAAGACCTCAAAACCGATTCTAAATATTTACCTCTTCCTCTTTTTACACCTGGTTGTAAATTATTTAACATATAACCAGCCAGTCTGTGTTTCTTCTGCAAAAACAAAATATAAATTTGCACTCTTTGAATTCCAACTGCCAATAGTTCTTTTTTGTGCATACTAATGTCTACACAGGATTACTTCGTTTTATCTGAAAAACTAGGCACACTTTCTTGACAAGTCAGAAAAAAGAGAGAGAGAGAAAGAGCGAGAGAGAGAGAGATGGGGATTAACGTCAGTGCGACACAAACTGTGTCATTTTGAGACTAACAAGGCTATAATTGGTTTGCAGTTTACAAGCGTGAAAACTTTGAATTTTTTGAACCGATCAGTGAACACGATCTTAAACATATTATTTGACAGTCTAAACCTACGTCATGTGGTTTGGATCCCATTCTACCTTCAAGTATTGGATGTTTTTCTTCCTGTAGTAAAGAAACCAACAATTGATACGGAAGTTCTAAAAAAAACTACCGACCATTTTCAAATTTGCCCTTTTTCTCCCAGATCCTTGAAAAGGTCGTCAGATTGCAACTTGTGAACTACCTAGAACGATGCAACCTATGGGATAAATTCCAGTCTGTGCACCAAGTTTCTCAAAGCACAGAAACTGCTCTCAACTATGTATTAGAAACAGCTAAGCGATCTGTTGACAATGGTGACATGTCAATGTTAGTGCCTTTCACACGATTGACCATGGGAAGCTTCTTCTACATCATCTTGAGTGTGATTATGGAATCAGTTCAGTTGCCCTTAATTGGTGCTCCACATATTTGTCTGGAGGGTCACAAGCTGTTGTAATCAAAAAGGCTGTCTCAACCCTAATGACTCATGTGGTGTGCCTCAAGGGTCTGCTCTTGGACCAATACTGTTTTGTCTCAACACGAAACCCCTTCTCACAAATCTCCAACTCTAAACTCTCCACATTGGCTTAGAATTCAGGAACGGATCACATTTAACATTTCAAACTGTGTCAAAAATGGCTCCACCCTATCTACAGGGTATTATTCACCCATATGTCAGGTCTCTGCGTTCTGCTGACCAATGTCTGCTTAAGACACCCAAATACAAATTAAAAACATTTGGTGCCAGGTTTGCAACGCTTTGGAAATCCTTGCCCCTAAAACTAAAGTCTGCTGAAACATTAACTTCATTTAAATCAAATCTCATGAACTATCTTTTCACACATTATCTTTAAATATGACACTATCACGTATGTTTTGTGTTATGGTGTGCTTGGTGTGTGGTCAGCGCTTAGATAGAGCATTTCCCTAAATAGGGATATCGTGATGTGGATTTTAGCGCATTATAAGACTCTTTACTATTATTGATCAAATTAATTTGTTTAATTACATATACACTTACCTCTGGTTCAAAATGATAGCTAAATTGTGGATTTGCTGTGGATCGTCTCTTTCGTTCTGTTCTTTTGGATTGTAATTCTTAGATTAAAAAAAAAAATAATAATTAAGTACTTGTTACCAAATTATTGCAATAAAGGATTTAATCATTAATGAGATTTATCCTAATGATCACGTTTTTAAACTATGCAAGTTTTGAAAGCATTCACTGATCACTTTTCTCCCTAAAGTGTCTACAAGGTTTACTACCTTAAAAAATAATTGCGGAAATGTGGTGACTTTGACAGGGTTTACAATGTATTCAGGGAAGGGGCAATAACTGCAGAAATGGGAAAATTGTTTGATAAGGTTCATCCTTATAATTGTAAGTATGGAAGTTTCATTCATCATCCAGTCTCAGACTGATTCTCTATATAAGATGGACAGATCACATCTCATTCTGGAACAATGGGGAATTGGGGATCCACAAGGCACTAGACCACAGGTGAATCCATCAAGGACGTCAAATGATGACGTGGAGAAGAAACCGGTGCTCTGAATTAAAGACCATTTAATACATCTCACAGGGTAAAACAAAGAAATTAGCTTTGAGCTGTAATTACTTGAAATCTACCACGAAGGTGCAATATTACACTGAGAACTGCATGGACTAAAGAAATGAAATGAAATGGGGTTTAACGTCCTACGCTTCTGCACCTAACCTGGGTGAATTGAAGACGGGCATACGCCATACAGTGTGCTATGAGGGAAATTTTGCCCGGACAGCGGCACTACGGCCTACTCTTATATCGAATTCCAACTGCCCAGGGATCTTTTACGTGCACACCTATGTGTACACAGGACCTCGGTTTTTCGTCTCATCCGAACGACTAGGCAGCTGTCCTTGTCAGGCCCTCCGTTCTGCATCACTGACAAGGGGGAAACCACGCCGGAAAATCGAGATGAACTTTCTCGGCCAATGCAGGGATCGAACACCCGACCTCCAGGCTAGCGAGCCAGCGCCTTACCCACTAAAGAAGAATAACTTATATTTAAAATTCATCAGTATAACTTTTTCCTGACTAATTTATAATATCTGAATGTATGCCAGACACAGATAAATACATACATTAATATTTAATTTGAATCTAAAACTAATGAATATGCTTTTAACTTACACCAAATTACTTCAAAAGCATGCTGTTATTCAAACCTTGCCAGCTGGTAACAATCTGAAAATTTGTCTTACCTTTTAATGTTTCTGGTGTGACAAGATCTAAAGCTGCCATAAACTTAAGTTTCTGTATAAGAAAAGCAAAAATATTTTCTTTACTTTATTCAATTATGAGCTGGTGATTAATTAGATGTAAATAAATTTTGTTGGTGAATTTATCCGACTGATTCACCTCCTAGCAAAAAATTTTGAGGAGAAGCCTTATACAGCAGTTTTCATTAATGCACCGTTAAATCATTAGACATCCTTTTAATCACATTGATTTCATAATTCATACATTTTTCAAAGAGTAGTTTCTTGTAAGTAATATCTAAATTCTTCAATAATTTTTGCTGGATTTCTGATAGTATAATAATACAGTATGTTGCTATACTAGCACCATATATTATATAGAATGCTTAATATCAAAGTCGACATGACAATGTAATTACATTAGGATCTCCCATCATTTATCATATTACGTCTGCCAATTCAAATCATGTCTACACATTAGACCGTGTTGAATTGATTCCTTGTTTCACCTGCCACCACTCTAGCAATCCTGTGTGGTAGTGTGGTAAACACAACACAAAGTAGGTTTCAAAATATAAAGTGTGAGGGTTGTGTACCTTTTTTAACAATCTACTTCTTGTTCAGAATAAAAACAAAGATAATATCTAATTGAATAAATTTAATAACAACCAACATTTGGTAACAGATGGCTTCTTCTTTAATTTTTTAAAATAACCATATTTTGATATTTTCAACATTCTTGTATTACAATGGAAAAAATTTGAATCGCTTGGAGTTTGTTGTTAGTTTTGACAACAAAATTTTTGTGACAAGTCGGACTGTTTATGTCAGGTAATAAATCTCTAGTGCTACTAAACAGGAATAAATTCACTTGCTGAGTTGTAGATTGTTTCGATAATATTAATCAACGTGAAAGTCCAGTCTAGATAGATAAATTCAAGTACTTTATTGATCTTCAAGGATATAATAGTGGTCCTGGCATCGCTAGCCATTTTGTAAGGCGTGCGTAATTAGTACAAAGATATAATTGGACAATACATGAATAATAATGACGTGTGATAATTTTAGTCAATAAAAAAATTGATTATACAGGTTCGCGGTTGAATATCAGCAACTGTCTTACCGTTTATAATATACTCTCCCATTAGCCGAAATGACCGCTACACGTGCCAATCAAATACAGTGTTACTTATTCTAGGGTATGTGGGCCCCTACATGTGTATTATCGACATCTTTAGTTCGTAACAAGGAGTGAACAATGAGAAATGACTCGTTTGGTAGAATTTTATTTAGATGTCATTGACGTAATCTTTTCAAATATTTTTTTGTGTTAAAAGGTAAGCACACGATTTTCGGTGTCCTCGACCTTAGTGCGGTGGGCGAGGAGAAACAAGAAATCAATTCAACACAGCCTTATAATAAAAAAACAAGACATGTTCTGCGTGTCATATCTAACCTGCTTCTCCTCAGATGATATATGTTTTTTCTCAACTGTTTTCTTTACATCTTTTATATCACAGTCTGATGGTCGACATTGCGAGTTGTTATCTTGTATTTTGACTTGTCTGTTAAGACATGAACCTCCTCTACTCTACAAAATAAATTAGATCATTTCAGAAATGTGTCAACTGTTTAGTAAACTTAATTTTTCATCCATCCCAACAGTGTCACACTCTTCCATCCTGCACCACTGACAAGGGGAAAGTATGCAGGAAAATCCAAAATAAATTTCTTTACTGAGACTGTGGCTATAATTTGACTACAACTACTATTAGTCTATACACAAGCATGATTTTGAGTTTTCTCAAAAATAATTGAAAAAAATTGTCAAGCCGAGGGGGTGTGAAGGCAGGACGCCGCACTCATGTGGCTTAACTAGGGGGGCCCGGGGTGCATACTGGGGGCACTTTTTGGTTAAAAATGGAGTAGCAGTATACTTAAGTGGTACATCAAAAGCCAGAGATGTCAAAGAAAAAAAGCAACAATTGTTATTGGACAATTATTATTGTAGTCTGGATCGTGTAGGTCTGATTATTTAATTATACAGGACAATAAGGGACAAGAGACTTAATAATGATGTAAACTATGTTTACTTTTAACATCGGGTTCGAGGAGAAGGCCTGAGTTTTTTATCAACTTACGACTCTTCTCCTGCTCCCTCTCAAGACTTGGCCAAAATGTATTACCCCAGCCCCCCTCCCAACAATTTTAACTGTAATAGCGGTAATCCGCTAAAAAATGGAAAAAAATCATGCCTGTCTATATAAGGGGTTCCCAACCTTTCTTTTATGCTCCACACTCTTACAAAATGTATGATCAATGTTTGTTTGAACCCCCCCCCCCCCCCTGCCCAAAAAGTAACATAAGATCAACCTATAGATTTTGAATCACATACATTATTACTGTTGAACAAATTGAACTTAACTAAGCTTTTAAAAAGCTTGATACAATCTTCTATTTTTATATCATAATCAGGACTTGAAACAATTGCCATTTTTACAATGGTCGTTCTTCAGATTTTAATTGACATATCAAACCTACCTGTAAAATCGATGGTTTAGTTGTAGTACTAATAGAATATTGTGGAACACGGATTAAAGGTGATGTGCCACGATTTACAGGAACATTCAACACATTATTATTATTAGCACTGACATGGCGTAAAAGAGAATTGTCTACAACTTGAAATTTAGTTTTAAGATCATTCGCCAAACACATGGGTGCTGATACAGGCAAAGCTAAAGTTGTTGATTTCTGAAATTCAAAATCATAGTGTTGTTCGTATTAAGAGAGGATGACAATTTTAAATCATCACAGACATTAGTGAGGTTTGTCCATTTTCTACGAAGGAATCGGGAAAAGTTTGTGGTTAAAAAACAAAGTACGACATTACTATTAGTGAGGTTCCGTAGGCAGTATGAACTACAAAGTGTTTTTGTGCTGACAGCATCACAACGTGTGATGTCAGTGACATAAACGGTGTTCGGTTCGTCCATTTTCTACAAAATAATCGGGAAAAGTTTGTGGTTAAAAAAACGAAGTACGAAATCATGATTTTCTCTCCGATTTGTGGATGAAATTCGTATTTTTGCGGTTTTATAGAAAGCTTGAACATTCACGGTTCAGTAGAAGGTTTATCAGCGTCAAAGTGGTCGGCAATTGTTCTGATTTGGGGCAAATTTTCGGGTTGTGAAACTTTTTTTTCAGCAGTTAGCGATAAGATCAAATCATCTCGAATTTGATAAAAAATAAAAAAAACACATTGCCATGAGCTTCTTGAGGAATAAAATTTGATTTGATTTGATATTTTTTATTTAACCAAACTAACAGTGTTATTCCTTGTTTCAGGTGAACAACCGTGGATGTGGAACTAAAGATTGTACTTCAGACTTCGAATTTGGTGGAAACGGAAATCTGTCAAAAACGAAGTACGAAGCTGTGTTCGTAGTTCGTACTGATTGTGGAACCTCTCTATTGTGTTTCATAAATAGGTTTTTGAACACAGCCATAATAAAAATCTGAGAAAAATATTAGGACATAAAAATTACAGGACTAAAAATGAAATTTCAGTTTTTCTTAGTCAAATTTTTATTTTCTTGGAAAAAAGCAATCTGGTTTTACCGTACCTGTAAATGTGCTGTTGGTATGGTAACAAAACTAACAGGAGTACCAGTAGTTAATAAAGTTGGAGTCTGTGATGTTAATGGTACTGTTTGAATTTGTGGTGCTATAGACACATACTGTTGTGTACCAGGTACTGGTTTTGTGATAGGAAATGATTGTGGTTGCTTCTGTACTATTTCTTTCCGCAAATTCTGCACAACATGTTTCTAAAAAGATATGAAACATAAATGTTAAAAAACAGAATTTTTTATTAAACATACGTTATGCAAGAGCTAAATCTGCCTATTGCAGGTCTTTCTTTAGGCCTGAAATGTTATCTAAATTATTAATTAGACATTAATTAACTTATCCAGACCATAATCAGTTCTTGATATCATCGCTAGTCTGTGATATTTACTGGATTTGAATCCAATCTGCGGCTCAACGCTAATTGATGATTAAATCCAAAAATGGATAATTGAGACTATTTTTTTTATCGTACCGACTTTAGTAATGGATGATCGAGGCTAGGCCTAAAATTCAAAGGCTAATATCTTGGTTCAAATTTTCAGCAAATTCCCTTTACATTATCTAGTTTTTAACTATTATAGTGAGAACTGCCAGCTCTTTATCTAATCTCCCATAATTAATCAATCATAATGCCCCATTAAGAAAAACTAAATAAAATTTTAAAAAATGCCAGAATTTATTTTTTGATATTTTTTTACAATGTTCAGTGTATTTCTAAATGATGTGAAAAATTACTAAAATAACTAATGGTACATTAACTTGTAAATAATAAAATAAAATGTTTGATAGAATTATAGTACGGTAGGCCTACCAGTACTTATAATTATAGTTGCAATGACAGTGAGTTCAATTATAAATAAAAGGAATCAAATAATATAAATCCTAAAGCAAAATCCTAGCATCCACATCATTATTTAAATGCTGTATTTCCCAAATGCCAAGAACTCCAACTCTAGAAACTTAAAAATCAATATAACAGGCTGGTGCCATTAACATAGTAGGTCATAGAGAACTTTGCTACTTCCATTCTCAGTGTGACAGCTACTCAATACTCACTTGTCTTTCACTCAAATTCATTATTTCCATTTGCAGTTCTCTTAATTTATTTCTCATCATTTGATTCTGTAAAATGAAAAGTAAATTTGTTACATATAGCTCACAAATCTGAGAATTAGACAGAGAAAATGGCCGCATGAAAAGTTTCAGCAAACAAAAATCAATACAACAGTAAGGAATCGTGTCCCGAGTGATGCACAAACTGAAACAATTATCATACCTTGGGATCACTGTTCAGTTTCTCTACCAAAGTCTGAAATGGAAAAAAAAAACACACATACAAAATAAAAGTGGGGATAAGAGTTGATTTATAATATAGTATTCACGTCATCACTTAATCAAAAGAATTAGTAGCAAAACCAAGAAGTCCCATTTCGACATGCCGATCCATGACATGTCAATTTTATCTGCGACCTGTCGCATCCTTCGTGGCACTCTGACAGTTGTCCTTTAATCCAAATGCTTAATAAATGTTTCAACAATTAAAAAAGAGAACGGTCACAGTATACATCACGATAGAACGTATATAATACAGAATATAAACCATTCTCCAATATTCTGAACTTTGTATTAGAAAGTTACAATAAACGAGTAGGCAGCATTCTCTGGATAATCGATTTTACTGGGGTGTACAAAAATAGGCCGAGAAAGTTTAATATCACAATACCTGGTGGTTTTTGATAGCGACTTTAAGTTTGGTCTGAATTGCATCGAGGTCCACTTGAGACATCTTTAATTGGTCAGGTAAAATAAAAGCCAGTCTTGTGTACTATCCAATGTTTTTTAATGGTACATTCACAGGCCAATCATCACAGAATATTGTAGGCTAAGCGATGCTTGTGAAGTACAAAAACATAACAGGACCTTAATAATTTCTTACGCCAACATTGGACAAATAAACACTCACGTAAATTGCAATAAACTACGAATTTTGAAATATATGTATTCGAAATGAAATAAAAAATTTGGAGAAACACAAATATAGGTAAAACAGACTTTGTTGTGATGGATTTCAGAACTACCTTTAATTAGGCGCCGATTTATATGTGTAAATCGGCTACTATCGATGGAAGTGGCCCGGATGTAAAAACAAATTATTTAAAGTTCAAAAGAAAATAAATATCTCGAAAAGGACTATGACATTTATAATTAGACTAATATGGTCAGATATACACGCATACAATAGTTCTAGACAGTGGTGAGATCCACAGAAATTATTTTTGTTTAAATACCATCATTCGAAATTTGGGAATATTTTAAAGTACCTTTGCGCATGAACACAAATTCAGTGATTTTATGGAAAATGGCGGCCCCCATAAGTGCATGACTTAAAGAATTTATTTTCGGTAATACTGAAACAAATGCTTAACCGTTACTATAACTTGTCGTTATTATACCGTAGAATGAATTGTGTGACATTTGATTATCTGTACAGAAGTTAAAGTCAAACTTAACATTATGATTTAACCCGAAAACCACCATCCCCGCGACTTCACTGGTCCCTTACGCGTTAGCCTAGTGCCACGGCCAGTTTATTTGTGCCCGTGGCTTGTGGGTTCTACTATGACATGTAACTTGCAATGATATTTGATCAATACAGTGTACATGAGAGAAATTTTGTCTGATCAGTGGCACTTCTACAACCAATTCTTATTTCTACTCGAGGGTTTTTTCCATGCACGGCAATGTTTACACAGGACTAAGGTTTTCCGTCTCATCCAAATGATTAGTTACTGTTCCTCTACTAGTAGGTACTAGTCAGGTTTTCTGACCTACAACAATGACCAGGGGAATCCACATCGAAAAATCCTGAGAAACTTCCTCAGAAGTGAACCTCAGACCTACCGGTTTAGTTAGCCAGTGCCTTACTCACAGAGCGAAGTGAGCAAAAGATGGTGAAGGGTTTAAGTGCAGGGCCGTAACAAAAATTTTGAATTCACTAGTAGGGTGACCCACCATAAATAAATATCTCCATATATCTCGACAATTACGCCACAATATTTATATATATGCCAAGCCTCAAATCAGTTTCACACAATTATAGTCACTAAATAAACGATCATGTTGTACTTAATAAGCTATGACCATTAATCATCTATAAATAATAGACTGAAAACTGGTTCCAAGTGTCGTCCATAACATCCAGACACTTTTGAGTAAAAGATAGGTTACGTGCCCTTGTTTTGAAATTAGTCTCGCTTAACCAGTCTATCGACCATTCTACGTCTGATTGACAGGTCGGGATGATCAAGACTACTTTTTTACGAAACATAACAGAAAGCTAGAACAAGAAATTGAATTTAGAAATAAGCACGTTAGGTAGCTCAACAATCGTTTTAAGAACCTTGTAAAAGTAAAATGAAACTATTGCTAGTATCATGTTCCTGTCTAACCCGAGTGATTCAGAGATATTATTTGTACTAAACCAAAAGATGCCGCTCTTAACGGTACAGTTAATGATAAAGCGATTTAAAAAATGAAACGAACGTAATTTCTAAATCTGCTGTAATAAACCAAGAAGCTTAATTTCACTGCTATTCAAAATCGTCAACAATAATTTTTTTACGGCTGTAATAGTTGATAGATTTGTAGAAAATTGCACGTGCAGTATCATACTGTCAGAAAGTTGGTCTCGCTACGGCGAATGTGCACGCTTCAGTGGTAGTCTCGAACTATCAGCGGTGGACTTTATTTCTGTAGAGTACATGGGCCACCCTACCACTAGCCCAAGGCTAGTACTAGTCTACTGTTAGACACTAATCCCGGCATTAATTTCAACTAGTCCATAGTTGGACAAGGTACAAGATTTAATCTTCAATATTTGGGTATATGTTTCGTTCCCTTACCTATCTTTTTTGATATAGATCGTAGACTTGTCTGCCAAATAATTAAGGATGTATACCGCTACTTGGTTAACCGGCCACGGTTTGGTTGCACTGGTGAAACGGTTAGAAAAATTACAAACCGATATTCGTTTTCATATTATATCTGACCGTCAAACCCAGGAATGGTAGCCACCACAGCATTGATTTCTTTCACATAAATACTTCAGGTGGCACTTTTCATTTGTAATATATCACATGAAATTAATTGTTTTACAGTATTTATTAACCTGGTAACTCTATAAACAGTGTCCAAATGAAACAAATCAGTTTGATGTGCTGATATAATATTAAAATAGACAGGATAGTAAAATTGTTTATATTATCACTCAAGCTGATGCTGTGTGCCCATAGGGTCAAAGTTGACGACATACGGGTCACTGGTACCATTCAGCATAGCCTGTGTGTAGTGATCACATGTAGTAAATTCTTTGGAAATACCTGACATGTTAAATAATCAAAATTATTTTGTATTTAAAAATACAAAGGTATGCTTTCAAATATTTATGTCAAAACTAATCTTATAAAGTATGAGCGAGGCTTTTTTTTTAAAATCAAGCTTATTTCGGATGGTTTATACATGACCTGTCAAAGCGTGCAAGATGGAGAAATGAAATGTGATGAATGAATGAATAGAAGAGGTACAAAACATGTCCAATCCGCTCAAAGTAGAAAGTCCGTTGTTATGACTGAGTTTTCCTTGGAATTGGAAAAATAAATATGGGATGTTTTACAGTTTATTTATCTATATCGTCACTAGTTTAATTCACAAACCAGTGAAAGGGCACTAGCCCAGGACTAGTACGGCTAAATAGATCACTAGCCCGTAAGTTATTTTTGGTAGCCCCGGGGGCGGGCTAGTGGATTTTTACAACCCTGATTTAAGGCCATGAGGAACATACGTGTAGTGACTTTTGACAATGAAAATACATTTAATAAAGAGGAATATACAGTCCTTCATGTTTATAAAATTGTGCGGGAGCCATAAAAAAACTCCTGATACCTTGAATATATGCAGTTTAAAAGTAAACAAAAACTGAAAGTAGTTTATTAATCTTAATATTTAGGAGAGTGATTTAGCTAATTTGCAGGAGTCTTTAATGACTCCTTCGAAGGAAAGCCGACATGCGTCGACAGGAGAAGGAGCGAAAGCTCCCCTTAAACGTGAAGGACTGAATATAATAATATAGTAGCTGAAAGTCTTTTGGCTTTATAGTTTACTATCAGAATGCCCGGCTTGCTCGGGGGTCATAACCCCGAAACCGGAAGTGGTAAACTAACGCCACCTGACCTATGTTACTCCCCGGTCCGAGCTTCCCCTATACCCCAAATTTCAGACTCGGGGCAGACCTAGTGTTGCCGCCAAACCTGAAAAGTCTGGGGGTCATACCCCCGAAACCGGAAGTGGTAGACTAACGCCACCTGGCCTATGTTACTCCCCGGTCCGAGCTACCCCTATACCCCAAATTTCAGACGCCAACCCCAAACAGACAGACAAACAAACGACAGTCACAAATATTAGTATAGATTAATTAATATTATTCCTAGAAGTTCTATACACAGTAGGCCCACATGTATCTTAAAGATGCATTGTGTAGGATATAGAAAAAGCTGACTGTTCTCCCTAAAATAGTTTAAAAATATTAGATAAAAAAAAATGAATATGAAAATATAAAAATCCCCGCTCAACAGTAGTACAAACAGATTTAAGTTGCAACAAGAAGTGGTTTATTCTTCATAACGTTTCAGGTGATACAACCGCTGGTTCAAATGATACAATTAATAAATCCTGTTTCGCCTTTATATATATATATATATACACAATAGTAGTGATGTCACCGAATTTAAAAATTTATACGATGTCCAAATAATGATTTTTTAAAAACAGAAGATTATTGAAATTAACAGTGTAAAAGGATTAGATTGGACTATAAATAATAATAATAGAACAAATTATAGAATTTTTTAAAAGTTAATTGTATGAAAAATGATAAATAAATTGTGATATGAAATTAAATATTTTCATAAATTTAGTTGAATAAAGATTGGTAAAAAATATTTTGAATGGAATAGTACACATGTGGTAAAAAATTCATTGCAGCGGCGTTTTCTTCATTGTGCGGTTTATCCAAGGTTTATCGTGTAGGAAATTTCTATTGGATAAGAGAAATTAATATTCTAGATTACCAAGTACTTGTACCATTGCCACGATAATAAACGAGGTCTTGATTTTCATTCTTCAAATTGTTTGTTTCCGTGAGTGGCAGTAATATTATGGATTGTCTAATCCACTCAATATCTAAGCCATCCGATGGTTTAGAGAGTTGATTATGGCCTTGTCATGTGAATAAATGTCTATAGAAAAAATTATCTGTTGAAGCCAGACACAAGACTAATAGGCAGAGTTAGCTCTTGCATAATGCCTTTTACTGTGGTAATAAATTCAATTCTCTCACTTTTGACAAGACAATAATATGTATCTACATATGTATTATACATGGTGGGCTATTCCATGTCAAGTGAACAAAATTCTCAGAAAGTTGTAAAGTTAAAAAATTATATGTTATAATACTTGCAACATTATACAAAACTGCAAAGTTATATGACTCGAGCATTAATATTGACTGAGATATGACTTTTTGAATAGGGGTACCCTTTCCGATGTTTTGAAACTACTATTTTTATATGCCCACATTTTCATGTGAACGTATATTGTTTTCACCCCTATCCGACTGTCACACATTTGTTTGTAGACACTGTAGAGGTCACAATTTTTATCTGATTTCAACAAAACTTGAAATGTAGGTTTATCTCCCTAAGATCTCGCTTCCTTTCGATATTGGCATGTATTGGACTGTAACTTCATGGATTAGGGCCCTCAATTGTACGAAAAATCACGTTTTTAGCTTGTGGACCCAATAGAGGTCACAATTTTTATATGCCAACATTTTCATGTGGACGTATATTGTCGTCGCCCCTGTCCGGACGTCCGTCTACAATTGTTTGTGGGCACTCTACACGTTACAATTCTTTTCCGATTTTGACAAAACTTGAAATATAGGTTTATCTTCAAAAGATCTCGGTTGCTTTAGATATTGGCATGTATTGAACCGAAACTTCATGGGTTATGGCCCCTGATTGAACGAAAAATCACGTTTTTAGCTTGTGGACCCTATAGAGGTCACAATTTTTATACGCCCACATTTTCATGTGGACGTATAGGTTTATCTCCAAAAGATCTTGGTTGCTTTCGATATTGGCATGTATCGGACCGAAACTTCATGAATGAATTATGGCCCCTGATTGTACGAAAAATCACGTTTTTAGCTTGTGGACCCTATAGAGGTCATAATTTTTATCCGATTTAAAAAAACGTTTTAGTATATCACCATTACACCCTAATGATGGTTGAGCTCATATTTCGTGAAAATTGGCCTAAAACTGACAGACAAATGGCCGCCCCTAGTTCTCAAATATCGTAGAAATATTGTATATCAAGGTTGTGGACCCTCTAGAGGTCACAATTTTCTTCTGATTTTGATGAAACTTGAAATGTAAGTTTATAACACAAAGATCTCTGATGCTTTCGATATTCACGCATATCGGACCGTAACTTCCTGAATTATGGCCCCTGATAGTACAAAAAAATCGTGTTTTTAGCTTGTGGACCCTATAGCGGTCATAATTTTTATCCGATTTAAAAAAACGTTTTAGTTAGTATATCACTAGTATATTAAAAAAACGTTCAAACATATCACTGTTACACCGTAATTTTGGTTGAGTTCGAATTTCGTGAAAATCGGACCATAACTGCCAGACAAAATGGCCGCCCCTCGTACACAATTAGTGTAAACATCTGATATATCAAAGTTGTGGACCCTCTAGAGGTCACAATTTTGATCTGATTTTGATGGAACTTGAAATGCATGTTTATAACCCAAAGATCTTGGTTCCTTTCGATATTCGGGGATATCGGATGGTAACTTCCTGAATTATGGCCCCTGATTGTATGAAAAATCATGTTTTTAGCTTGTTGTAGAAGTCACAATTTTTATCTGATTTAAAAAAAACATGTGAATATATTACCATTACACACTAAGATCTTGGTTCCTTTTGATAATCGCGTATATACGAACGTAACTGCCTGGATTATGGCTCCTGATTGTTCGAAAAATCGCATTTTTAGCTTGCGGATTCTCTAGAGGTCACAATTTTTTTTCCGATTTTAAAAACTGTTTAAATATTTCACCATTCCACCATAATGAAGGTTGAATTCGAATTTCAGGAAAATCGAAATGAAACTGCCCGACAAAATGGCCGCTCTTTGTACGCAAATTGTGTAAAAGTATGCAATACGAAGGTTGTCGACCCTCTACAGGTCACAATTTTTATCTGATTCTCATGAAACTTAAAACATATCTTTATATCCCAAAGATCTCAGTCCCTTTTGATATTTGCGCATTTAAGACCATAACTTTCTGGATTATTGCCCCTGATTGTAAAAAAAATCCCGTTTGTTTTTGTCCCCTGCCTTTCGAAGAAAGCAGGGGACTATTAAAATGGGTTCGTCCGTCTGTCTGTCCGTCTGTCTGTCCGTCTGTCTGTCCGTCACACTTTTTGGGACACAATAACTCTCTTCCTAATTGAGCTAGAATGTTCAAACTTGGTGTATGTGTTTATTAGGTCAATGCCTTGATGGAGTTCGAAGATGAGCATTTTCCGCTTAGGGTAAGCAGAGATAAGCAATTTGATTGGTTGATGCTTTGGGACACGATAACTCTCTTCCTAATTGGGCTAGAATGTTCAAACTTGGTGTATGTGTTGATTAGGTCAATGCCTTGATGGAGTTCGAAGATGAGCATTTTCCGCTTAGGGTAAGCAGAGATAAGCAATTTGATTGGTTGATGCTTTGGGACACGATAACTTTTAATTGAGCTAGAATGTTCAAACTTGGTGTATGTGTTTATTAGGTCAATGCCTTGATGGAGTTCGAAGATGAGCATTTTGCGCTTAGGGTAAGCAGAGATAAGCAATTTGATTGGTTGATACTTTGGGGCACGATAACTCTCTTCCTAATTGAGCTAGAATGTTCAAACTTGGTGTATGTGTTGATTAGGTCAATGCCTTGATGGAGTTCGAAGATGAGCATTTTCCGCTTAGGGTAAGCAGAGATAAGCAATTTGATTGGTTGATGCTTTGGGACACGATAACTTTAGTTCTAATTAAGTGAGATTGATGAAACTTGGTGTATAGTTTCATTACAGTAATACCTTGACTAAGTTTGATAATGAGCATTTTCTGCTCAGGGTAAGCAGAGCGATACGCAATTTGATTGGTCGAGACTTTGGAAAACAATAACTCTCCTACTTTGATTGTTAGACTATAAGTAAAGATATACTGTTTGATTGTTCAATACTTTGTAAAAGATAATTTGTGATAAATTTATATGTGTCCTCTAATTATTTTCCTATTTCGGCGGGGGACATCAGCCTCACTGTTGGCTTGTTTAGCTTGTTCTCTATCCATCTCTTGCAAAATGTGGGCGTATCCTGCCTGGCAGCCGATGGTTTTACTTAATATCAAAAACATAGAAAATTCATTATTTGACATGGAATGACTCTGATACATAATTTACTAACACTGTGTCACCAGATTGAGAATTTTGTATATTATTTTTTTTTTCTGTAGGAATACAGGATTTTTGTGATTTAGTCGAAGGTCACTGCAGGTTCATTTTATAAGAATGGCAAAGAGAAATGCTACTAGTGAATTAACTGATAGAAACTGGGATCATGAGGATGAACCTGAAGAGGTAATAGAATAGAATAGATAAGACTATAGTTTAAATTTTGAATTATTAAATACATTGTTACCACAATAAAGCCTGGCTTTAAAATACAACAGTCAGTCTTTACATGTTAAGCTTATATCTAGAATTCAAATTGCTTATGAAAAACTTGAAATTGTGTTTATGATCATGACTGACAAGTGTATTTATATATTTTATTGATTGATTTAAGGCAGGAATATTTACCCAGGCCAGTAAAGATATCTTGAAACATCGACAGATGAAGAAGGCAAAGAGAAGAAATCCTAATGAAACGGTTGGTATTGAGTCTGGTATAGATAGGGGGGGCCAGCGAATGGTTAACGCGTGTGCATTGCATCATAAGGTTTGTCATTGAGTCAAGTGGCGTGGTTTCGATTCCCGCTTGCAGCCTGTCCAACCTCGTAGGTTTTCTCCAGGTCCTCCGGTTGTCAAACTTTGTCAAGCACTTGAGCAATTGTGATTCATCTTGTTTCAAGTTGGTAGTTGTGAAATAAGGTGGATTGATATTGGAAATGTGAACTTGGACTATTCTAGAGACAATACTATATATAAGATTAATTTTACCCATGAATGTGAAAAAAAAAAATAAAAAAATTCATAGTTATTTTCTTTATTTTTTTTTTAAAAAAAGGCGACCATTTTCGACAAAAAGTATTTATAATGGTGACCTTTTTTTATACACCCACATTTTCATGTGGACGTATATTGTCGTTGCCCCTGTCCGTGTATCCGTTCACAATTTGTTTGTGGACACTCTTCAAGTCTCAATTTTTATCTGATTTTGACGAAACGTTAAACCCCATTTCATTTCCGATTTTGACGAAACTTGGAATATAGGTGTATCTCCCAAAGATCTTGATTCCTTTCGAAATTGGCATGTATCGGACTGTAACTTCCTGGATTATGGCCCCTGATTGTTCGAAAAATCACATTTTTAGCTTGTGGACCCTCTAGAAGTCACGTTTGGATTCAATTTTAAAAAAACATTTAAATATATCACCGTTACACTTCAATGAAGGTTGAGTTTGGATTTCATACAAATCCAATTGAAACTAACAGACAAAATGGCCGCTCCTTGTACGCAAATATTTAGTGCTATCAGACTTCTTTTCTTGTTGATTTTTATCTGATTTTAAAAACTGTTTAAAATTCGGGAAAATCAAAACACAACTGCCTGACAAAATGGCCACCCTTTGTACGCAAATTGTGTAAAAGTATGTAATACAAAGGTTGTAGACCCTCTAGGGGTCACAATTTTTATCCGATTTTGATGAAACTTAATATATATCTTTATATCCCAAAGATCTCAGTCCCTTGCGTTATTTGCACATTTCAGACCATAACTTTCTTGATTATGGCCCCTGATTGTACGAAAAATCGCTTTTATTGTTTTTAGCTTGTTCTCTATCCATCTCTTGCAAAATGTGGGCATATCCTGCCTTCTAGCCGCTGGTTTCTTGTGAATATAATACCAGGTTCTAAATACCTTGACTAGTCCAAATGTTGTATTTAAAAAAAATGAGAACAATTAACCTGCCTTATTGTAAAGTGTCTCCTGCTAAGAATGTTTAGGTATTTATTTTGACAGAAAATTTAACATGGGTAATCATATATCATCTTATCTGTAAATCAACAAATTTTCAGCTGTATAAAATTGGCCGGATATTATAAGAAACTTCATTGACAATTAAACCTGTAAAATGCTTGTGAATACTCTTGTTACATCTCGTTTGGACTACTGTAATTCCCTTCTATGCAATCTTCCTGCTAATAAGTTGTCTCTCCTCCAGAAAATTCAGAATAAAGCAGCACAAATCATTACCAGAACTAAACCTACTGATCACATTACTCCAGTTTTACATGATCTACACTGGCTTTCTATATCACACTGTATCACTTTCAAAATACTTACTTGCTCTACATTACATTCAGATAATTCGCCAGATTACCTTAAGTCCCCTTTAAAATACAGATGTGACGTCATCCTTTGATGTTGGCATACCATTATTTCAATGTGCCAAGCATATATTATTTATGCTAGTTGAAATTTTGGACCCGCATGACGTATTTCATTGCAAAGCATGTGCGAGTGCCTGTATTTTAAGTTTTTTAATGGTCTCAAGCTTAATACATTGCGTAGTCCCTCGTGCTGTTTCAATATATTACTTAATGTCTCGCTCTCAAACGTTAAACCACACATATACTCCATCCTGTACACTCCGGTCTCAACCACTTGTTTACATCTTTTATCCTTCCACATCTTATGGTAAACGCTCTTTTTTCTACGCTTCTCCTTTTCTGTTGAATACCTTACCTCATGTGTTTGACACCATTTAGCTGATGTGCCATAAATCTCCATTTCATTTCATTTCTCAGTATTAAACTATCTGATAGCATTGTAAGTTTTAAGTGCAATTTAAAAACACACCTTTTGACTACTATTGCTTTTAATACATTGTTATTCCTGGTAAGACAAACGTTTTAACTAGTGAGTAGACAAATGTCTTAATTACTGAGATAGTAAGAAGAAAATACACAACGTGAAAAGGAAGCCAAAGAAGAGAATTACAAATACTAGACAATCAAAAGCCGTTCCAAAATATGTAGTAAGAAAAGAGTACATGGGTCATACGCAGGATGTGGCAACCCACTTTCCACGGCTGACAAAAGACCCAGCATTAATTGTTACTCTCTACTTGATATTATGCTTATTGGAAATAAATATGACAAAAACATTTCTCTTTAACAGGCTTCAGGTGGAGCATTTTCTGGATTCAGTGGTTTCGGTGCTAAAATAAACCCACCAAAGTCAAGTCCGGTGAGCAGTAATATGTTCACTACTACAGCCATCCCTGCTGTTACGTATGGTTCTACAGCTTTTTCTAATACACAAACCACTTCTGTTGAATCCAGTAAAACAGGAAACAAACCTTTGAAAGGAAACAACAAAGCGGATTCTTCTTACTACAGTTCTTTAAAAAGTTTGAATAGATCCCTGTTATCTTGGCTACAGAAACATGTGGAACGTGATCCGTACTGTATTTTAACTCCTATATTTGATGACTATCAAAAACATTTAGTAGAAATTCAAAAGAACAATAATAACAAAGAAAATAAAGACACAGAAAAAGATGCTGATGACAGTGATCCTGAGATTAGTATCAACCCTCGTTTTAGAAAAGAAGACTCTCCTAAAAAAGGTATGAGAATTCTGATTCCATTTGATAAATGTGCCATTATGTGTGTGTGTTTTTTTTTTAAGAAATTCCCAGGAATTTTCTAATTCACATTTTGGAATATAAAATGTACATACATGTACGGGTATTACATCTTTATGATTTTCATTTAATTTGCTGAAAGCCATTGGTCGTCATTTTCATTTTACAGACAAAACTCTGTATCTGATTTTTGCTGGTTTAATCCACTTTAAAATGCACTCAGACTGATTATTTAGCATTTTAACAAATCAAAATAATCTCCTGGTTTTGATGCAATCAGATGAAACACTGACTTGTTTATATCATCTACAGAGGATGCCCAGTGTTAACAAATTTTCAATTCATCGCATCTTAAAAATTCCAGATGATCAGAAAGTTCAATATTTGGTCCAAAATAAATGATGAATTAACATCAATGACTCAGATTCCTGGATACAAATTCATGGACTTAAATCTGTCCTTGGAATAAACATGTGATAGTATGTAAATGAAGTGTGTAAAGTGTCATAATCATTTTCCCCATTTGGTTTTGAACTTTTTGTTCCCCTCCTTTCGAAGAAAGCAGGGGACTATGAAAATGGGTCTGTCTGTCTGTCCGCCTGTCTGTCCGTCACACTTTTTGGGACACAATAACTCTCCATTAGGTCAATGCCTTGATGGAGTTCGAAGATGAGCATTTTCTGCTTAGGGTAAGCAGAGATAAGCAATTTGATTGGTGGATGCTTTGTGACACAATAACTTTAGTTCTAATTAAGTGAGAGTGATGAAATGTATAATTAGCATTTTCTGGTCAGGGTAAGCAGAGCGATAAGCAATTTGATTTGGCCGAGACTTTGGAACACAATAACTTACCTTCTAATTGAGCTAGAAAGTTCAAACTTGGTGTAGGTGTTTATTAGAGCAATGGCTTGATGGGATTCGAAGATGAGCATTGTCTGCTTAGGGTAAGCAGAGATAAGCAATTTGATTGGTTGATACTTTGGGACACGATAACATTAGTTCTAGTTGAGAGTGAGGACACGTGGTCTATAGTTTTATCACATCAATACCTCAACTAAGTTCAATAGTGAGCCTTTTCTGCTCAGGGTAAGCAGAGTGATAAGCACTTGATTGGTCGATACTTTGGAATGCAATAACTCATCTTCTAATTGAGGTAGAACTTGGTGTAGGCGTTCATTAGGTGAATGCCTTGATGAAGTTCGATGATAAACATTGTCAGCTTACAGTAAGCAGAGATAAGCAGTCTGATTGGTTGATGCTTTGGGGCATGATAGATAACTTTGGTTTTAATTAAATGAGAGTGACGGAACTCCAAGTATAGATTCATTATATCATTACTTTGACTAAGTTTGATGATGAGAATTTTCTGCTTAGGCTAAGGAGCGATAAGCAATTTGATTGGTCAAGACTTTGGAACATAGCAACTCTGCTTTTAATTAAGGTAGAATGCTTAAACTTGATGTAGATTTTCATTTGACTGAGTTCAATGATTAACATTTTGAGCTAAAGCTAAGCTGAGCTAAGCAATTTCATTGGTCGATGCTTTGGGAGAAGATAACTTGATGAAACATAGTGTATACTTGATAATCAGTTTGATTGCTTGATACTTTTGAAAAAAATAAATGTGCGATAAATTAATATGTGTCATCTATTTACTTTGGGATTTCGGTGGGGGACATCAGCCTCACTGTTGGCTTGTTTTTTTAAGTTTTGACTTTTAGTGCAGTACATGATAAAAGAAAATCCTGTCGTATTTGAGTTATAAGAGCTGGCTAAAAAGTTCAAAGCCTGAAAAGGATAGATCAATTGGGTTAAAACTAACTTTTGCCATCAACAAATTAAATATACAATCATTGAATGAATCATAGACATAAGAACTGCAACTGTAATATTATTATTGTCTTCATACCAGACCATCTTGTGAACTCACACATTGAAATCAGCAGAAATTGACAAAACTGGCTATAGAGCAGTCATCAAGTATCTGCAACTGAGAGGACTAACCCCAATACAGATACGTGCGGACATGGAATGATGCTCCATCCTTTTCCACTTTAACAAAGTGGGCTGTGGAATATAAGTGTGGCAGAGAGAGCCATGACAATGTCCCTTGTCCTGGAAGGCCATTCAACAACAACCATTCAAGAAAGCATTACCACGTCCGGGTGCATGACATGGTGATGCTGATCGACGATTGACCACTCTTCATATTGCCAATGTTGTGGGCATCTCTTTGAGCACATTATCGCTAGTGAGTTAGGAATGACAAAAGTTTCTGCAAGATGGGTGCCAAAGCTCTTGACTGTGGATCAGAAACGGTTAGATTCCTGACATCCTGTGACAATCTGCTCCGTTTTGAAGCAAATCCTGATAATTTTTTAACCAGATTTGTTACCATGGATAAGACCTGGATTCATCACTTTCAACCAGAATCCAAAATTTAGTCTAAACAATGGAAGCATCCAGATTCGCCAGACACCCCCCAAAAAAAAGCCAAGTCAGTTCCTTCTGCTCTACTGGAAAGGTGATTCCAAGTGATTTCTGCTGATTGACTATCTTGAAAAAGGCCAGACTATCAATGGAATTTATTATGCTGACCTAGGGAGACAGTTGCATAAGGCTATCAAAGCTAAGCGACGGGGAAGGCTCACAAAAGGCATCCTGTTCCACCAAGACAATGCTCTAATGATTGCCATGTCAGCGATCCATGATTGTGGCTTCAAACTTATTGGCCATCCACTTTACTCACCCAATTTGACCCTGTCCGATTTCCATCTGTTTCCAAAAATAAAAAAGAAACTAGCCTAGTAATGATAACGTCATGTCAGCTGTGAATGACTTTTTTGGTGTGGCAGAAGAAAATGTTCTTCCTGAACAGCATCCAGGCCTTGCAACTTCGTTGGCAAAAGTGTGTACTGGTACACCTCAAAGGGGACTATTATGTAGAAAAATAAATGGAAACTATTGACTTAATACAGGTCTTTCACAGATAGGCCTAGAATTTTTCAGCCAGCCCTCATAAATCAACAATTTTCATCTTCATACAATCTTATGAATATTAACTTGGATACACACCGTAAATGATTTGCAAAAGCCTTTTCTATTTACTGGTAAATGGCTATTCATCAGTCAGCTAAATGGCTATTCATCAGTCAGCGAGGTTGAAAAGCGGAGAAATACACAAGGTTATCAAAGTTCATTTATATTGCCAACTCACATTTTTGGATTTTAACTATACATTTATTTATTACAGATAGTACATTTGGGGGTTTTACTAAAACATCAATAAGTGGTTTTACATTTCCATCTGCTAATACCTCTACTGACAAGAGTATAACAAGCTCGGGTTTTGGTAGCTCAGGCTTTTCTTTCGCAGTAAAGCAAGCCACAAACCCAACTGTGACAACTGCAAAAACAGGTAAAAATCTCTATACTTTTTTATTCCACATGGATTGTTTTGAAATTGATATATGTTGTTTACATTAGTGAGATCAAGAAGCCTATTTAATTTCAATGATTTCCGTTAATGTCTTCTGGAGATATGGCCCATGTTTCACTTTATTGCATCTATTGCATCTTGTGAACGCTCTAACGACAACAATTATCATCCAATCTGTATGATATTTATGTACATCCCCAATATTAGTGAAACGAAGAATCCTATTGAATTTCAGCAATTTACGTCTAGAGTAATGGCCCTTGTTTCACTTTGTCGAACCCTGTGAACGCTCTAACAACAAGTTACCATCCGATCTGTATATTTATATGCATTATTTAAATTAGTGAAACGAAGAAGCCTATGGAATTTGAGCAATTTCTATTAAATATGTCTTAGAGTTATGGCCATTGTTTCACTTTGTAGAACACTGTGAACGCTCTAACGACAAAAGTTATCTTCCCATCTGTATGAAATTTATACACATTATGTAAATTAGTGAAATAAAGAAGCATATTGAATTTGTCAGCAATTTCCAATAATTACTTCTCGAGTTGTTTAACATTGTTGAACCTTGTGAACCCACGAATGATGAAAGGTATTATCCAATCTGTATAAAATTTATATGCATCATTTAAATTAGTGAAACGAAGAAGCCGATTGATTTTCAGAAATTTCCAATAATTACTTCTCGAGTTACGGAGGGGGTCATGGTGGCTAAGTGGGTAAAACGCTGGCTCGCTTGCCTGGGGGTTGTGTGTTCGATCCCTGCGTGGTTCCCCCTTGTAAGTGAGGCAGGACGGAGGGTCTGACAAGGACAGCTGTCTAGTCGTCCGGATGGGACGAAAAACGGGTCCGGTGTACACATTGGCGTGCACTTAAAAGATCCCTGACAGTTGAAATTCGATATAAAAGTAGGCTGTAGTGCCACTGTCCGAGCAAAATTTCCCTCATAGCACACTGTATGGCATATACCTGTCTTCAATAGACCAGTTCGGAGCAGAACAGTAGAATGTTAAACCCCATTTCATTTCATTTTATTTTCGAGTTACAGACCTTATTTTACTTTGTTGAACAATGTAAACGCTCAAATGACAAGTCATCATCCAATCTGTATGAAATTTATATGCATTATTTAAATTAGTAAAATGAAAAAGGCTGTCGAATTTCAACAACTTTTATATATTACTTCCAGAGTTATGGCCTTTGTTTCAGTTTGTAGGACCTTGTGAACCCTCAAAGGACGAAAAGTATAATCTGATTTGTATGATATTGTCTAGTACATGTCCCCCATTACCTACAAAAGCTTAGATATGCGACGACCCTTGTTGACTGCTCGGACGATTTAGTTGCTGTGGGCGTATGTTTCGTTGACTGGTAACCTATCTTTAACATTAACATTCCTATCTTTTCTTTTCCAGCCATGAAACTTCGTTTGTTTCATGTTCTGTTATTACTGTCTGGCTAGAATCTCACCTATGTAGATATTAATAATATGTGTTGAACAAGTTTATTAACATCATTTTTATTACATGCCCACATGTGGACACAATTTGTTTGTGGCCACTAGACAGGTCACAATTTTTATCTGATTTTGATGAAACTTGAAATGTAGGTTTATATCCCAAGGATCTCGATTCCTTTCGATATTGGCATGTATCGAATCGTACCTTCACGGATTATGGCCCCAGTTTGTACGAAAAATCATGGTTTAGCTTGTGGACACCCGGGAGGTCACAATTTTTATCTGATTTTGATGAAACTTGATATGCATGTTTATTACCCAAATATCTTGGTTCCTTGCTATATTCCCGCATATTGGACCATAACTTCTTGGATTATGGCCCCTGGTTGTACGGAAAATCACGTTTTTCTTGTTCTGTATCCATCTCTTGCAAAATGTGGGCGTATCTTGCCTTGCAACCGCTGTTTTTTTTATGATTTTAGATGAAGAAGAAGAGTATGTTCCTCCAAAAGTTGAAACTCAGGAAATAAATGAAGAAGGGTCAGTTTACACAAAAAGGTAATAATAAAGGAAATAGGAGTTGCTCCATTCATTATAATGAATAAAAAATTGCATTGATGTGCTAAAGATATACGGTCAGTTAGCATTGTAGAAAGGGTGGCGTTCCAAGAGTATTTGATTATAAAATTCTGTGCATGGTTACAATGGGCAATATACACAGACAAAATGTGAACATAAAAAATGTGAAGTATAAAAAGGGGGTTTATGTCCAGTTGACATATTTCACCAACAATAAATGAACTATCAACAAATTGAGTGAAATGTATTTGAGAATTGAATGACTTTGATAAAAAAAAAAAATCATTCATCTAATCTAAACACATTTTCTATTGTTGCTAAGTTAACAAATTCTGAGCACCCCTATGATCAATTATATCCTCTGAAAATATATATATATAATTTAATGATTTTCTTCACAAAAAAGGTATAGATATACATGTAATAGAATACACAATCTAGGTTGGCATAACTAATTAGGTTATTAAACCAACATGTTTACAGAATATAGGAATTGGTATTCAAATAGTTCGGCAACAAACAAACCTGAGAAAAGATTAAAACATATTTCCCGTTCCTAGAAATTAAATGAACTATGTGATGTATATTTGTTAAGATTTTGTAGAAATAATGTTATCTTCTTTTTGTTATTTTTTAGATGTAAACTATTTTATCAGAAAGATGGTAATTGGAAAGATCGGGGTGTAGGTAATTTACATATAAAACAACTGGATGATGGAAAATCTCAGGTTATTGTTCGAGCTGATACAAATTTAGGTATTTATTTACATCATATTTTTCCTGCTAATAAGTGTAAGCTTTAGTAAACTGAATGTGCGTAAAAATATTTCTGTCAGTAAACCATGTTATCTTTCATATCAGATCAATGATCTGTCATATTAACATTAGAAATCTATGAGTGGTGAGTAGCTGTCTCAGATTTCTCTCACAAAGCGACTAGTTTCGTAAAGTTCGAACTCATCAGGCTTAAGTGAAATTGTGCGGATGTTCCTATTATATAGTCATCAGGGACCGGGACACAAAATAAGTCTCGGATGGACCTGTGCAGTGCTGTATCACCGGAGCAACTGCTTCCGTTTAATGGAGAACAGAGAGACGGCTAAAGAGCTGGTCTTATAAAATGCCTATTTGCATTATTTATTAGGTTGATTGCCTCCTGCTATATATTTCAGACATTACATAATTATAAAAGGAGAGTTAACTGAAAATGAATATATCACCGTTGCACAGTAATGTTGGTTGAGTTTGAATTTCATGAAAATCAGACCAAAACTGCCGGACAAAATGGCCAACCCTTGTACGCAATTAGTGCAAAAATGATGCTATATCAAGGTTATCTAGAGTTCGCAATCTTTATTCGATTTTAATGAAACTTGAAATACATGTTTATAACCCAAAGATCTTGGTTCCTTTCAATGTTCGGGCATATCAGACTGTAACGTCCTGAATTATAGTCCTTGATTGTACGAAAAATCGTATTTTTAGCTTGAGGTCCCTCTAGAGGTCACAATTATTATCCGATTTAAAATAACATTTGAATATATCACCTTTACCCCCTAAGGATGGTTGAGTTCGAATTTCGTGAAACTCGGACTAGAACTGACAGACAAAATGGTCGGCCCTCGTACTCAAATAGCGTAAAAATATGGTATATCAAGGTTGTGAACCCTCTAGAGGTGACAATTTTCTTCTAATATTGATGAAACTTGAAATGTAAGTTTAAAAGCCAAAGATCTTGGTTCCTTTCGATATTTGCGCATATCGGATCGTAACTTCCTGAATTATGGCCCCTGATTGTACGAAAATCGCTTTTTGTTTAGCTTGTTCTCTATCCATCTGTTGCAAAATGTGGGGGTATCCTGCCTGGCAGCCACTGGTTTCTAAACTTGTTCTCTATCTATCTCTTGCAAAATGTGGGCGTATCTTGCCTGGCAACCGCTGGTATCAAATTGGTTCAACAATACAATTAACCATTTGAAAGAAACAGTCTGGTTAATAGAGACTGTAAAAAATCTGTACTACCAAGAAAGTCGTCAAAAGTAGGGTCAGCCAGAGATCACATTAGCTTGGCAAATGTGATCCTAGGCTTTATTATCTTATCAGAAAGCTGGGCGTGTATGGAATAATGGTGAGATATGCTGCAGTTTCCAATCTAAACTGACCAAAAAAAAAATTTATCTGCCTAACCTTGTTACTTTGCTCTGGTTTTCTCCAACTGCTAATTAAGTAGCCATGTGTTTTTGAAAAAAAGGAATTACAGGGATTGTCCCAAAATGTCCAAGTTAAATCCCATTTCTCTCCTTCTAATAATACTCTGCTTTGTTTTACGAGATTTTGATGTGATCTAGATTTATTTAATCAACATTACTTTCTGTTTTCAGGAAATATCTTACTCAATATAATGTTATCATCTGCTATACCCACAAAACGACAAGGAAAGAACAATATATTTATAGTTTGTATACCTAACCCTCCAATAGATCCAAAAGACACCAGTAACACACCAACACCTATGCTAATCCGGGTTAAAACCAGTGAAGATGCAGATGAAATGTTACAGAAATTAGAAGAAAATAAACATTGATTTTTAGTGTTCCCTTATCTTCCAATAACATATTATTCTACTCTGATAACCTGTGACAAAATGAACAAAGAATTTTCTATGGAAATGGACTAAATTATATTAAACAATTCAGTATAATCTTTATTTTTTAAAAAATCTGCACAATCAGAAAAGATTTCAAATTGTAAAATATAAATTCTGTTTTGGAAATATGAAATTGGATTGTAAATAAAATATTTTAACTATGTATTTGTTGATGCTTTAAATGTTTAATGTTTTTGCTCAACCAAAACTTTCATATTGTAAAACAGTAATCCCTTATTTCAAGAACATTAAATTTGAAGAAGAGATATCAGAGGTTTTATTAATTTAAATAAGAGGGTCACTTAAAGATACGTTCCCAGAAAAGTATTTATCAGGTTGTTATTTCCAATAAAAGTATGGCAATTTTGGTATATATGGAAAGTCGAAATATCCAATCTTACTAGAAGAATACTGGATTACCTGAAAAACACTTATGGAGCACATACAGGACAAAAATGTATGGGTTTCCCTAATCAGCAGCCCGGCGATTAGGAATGTCTGCTCGCGTGACGTCAAAGGTTGCACGCGGAGATTGAGTGCTTGATATACATGTTGATAAACTTTATGAAGAGTTAGACGTACAACACTTGCTGAGATAAAAAATCATGGAAAAAGACGTGGGCAGTGGATAATCCGAGAATTTAATTAGTCTTTGATATTTATGATAAATGGATAGCGATTGTCTTGTGTATGCAATGAATTCTTTGCACCCGTTGCTAGGTAGTTCGTCAGCTAAGTCAAGGGACACAAATGACCTCGTTTAATAGATTTTTTTATAGCAGAGGTATTCCCTAGCGTAAACAGTGTTTTGAGAAGGATTTGAAGAAAAAATTTGATAGATTAATTAGTTTGAATATGTTATTAGTCCAAATACATCATCAAATCACCCAGTTTGTACATGTGAACGTATCTTTAACTGCTCTGAGCGTGATTTTAGCACCATCGGTATCCCTTGCAAACTACAGGGCCTGGTTCCTAGAAAATTCTGATGCACGTTCTTGTGCTTAGATTTTAAGTAGACTTTGCATTTAAGTAAACTTACCTTATTTTGTGTTCCCACAAAATTCTTAAGAACATTCTTGTGCTTAGATTGTATGTAGACTTCGGGTTAAGCACAAGCACGGCCTTATGTGTTCCAAGAAAATACTTAAGCACAACTTTGTTCTTAAACATTGTCAATCTATAAAGCAAAAATCCCAAGCAAGGTATACGGCTTGCTTACCAACCTTAAGTTTCTTCTTCAAACAAGGTGACTGACCGTAGAGGTATTTCCTACATCTTTTGATACCAAAGAGACAATTGAAAAACAGAGAAAATCCTTTGGAAACATATTCTTGAGAAGAATGCTATAGTTAGAAAATTTCACTTCTACCCTGAAACCATTTTATTTATTTGCCAATTAGTAAACAACACAAACATGGGCTACTTTAAGATCAGGCGATCTCACAATTTTTCCATCTGTTTGCATGTGCTTGCGTTTTGTTTTTTTTTAGCTTGTGGTGCATTTTATATGTGTATAGGGGACATCTCAAATGCATCTAAATCGGAGGATTACGGTGGCTAAGTGGGTAAGACATTGGCTCGCTAGCCTGGAGGTCGGGTGTTTGATCCCTGCATTTGCCGAGAAAGTTCATCCAAAATTTCCGGCTTGGTTATCCCTCGTCAGTGATGCAGGATGGAGGACCTGACAAGGACAGCTGTCTAGTCGTTCGGATGGTACGAAAAACCAAGCTCCCGTGTACACATTGGCGTGCACAAAAAAGATCCCTTGACAGTTGGAATTCGATATAAGAGTAGGCCGTAGTACCGCTGTCCGGGCAAAATTTCCCTCATAGCACACTGTATTAGCCCAGTTCGGAGCAGAACAGTAGGACGTTAAACCCCATTTCATTTCTGGATCTAAATCAACCATTTGCCAGGAAGTTAATGTCATTGATCTATTTATAACACTGTGCAACCGACCAATTTATGATGTAATTCGCATACCAAAGTTAGAGAGCACCCTAGTCTCAGTTTACCAGTCACAATATGCTTTGAATCATTCTTGACTTATGCTAACATAAGAATGGTCATGCGAATTTTCAAGAGACGGTATTTTATAAAGTTTCTTACATTAAGAATTTTCTAGGAATCGGGGGCCCTGTCTTGTTGAATCTCTAATAGATGTATGCTGCTCACTTGTGTAACTAGTCTGTCATCATCTGTATTTGCCGTGAACCAAATGAATGGGCCTTCTGACTGAATCCAAGCCAAGCTAAATTATTGGGAGCGGGGTTGTCATGTGGTCTTAAAGATACGTAATGTAAGATTTAGATAAAGAGCTGGCCTTCTTGCTATAATAGGTCAAAATAGATCATGCAAAATGAATATATTGAATATTTCCTTCAAATTACTTTATTCTGAGCAAAGTTATCAATGTTTGTAGTTTAGTCAAGATGTGTGCATTGATTGTTTTGTACCCACCAATCTGGTTGTTTGAGACTTAACCCCGCTTCTCCTTTTTTGAATTAAATCATTAAATGGCCGATCCGTTCTAATCTACTTAAAATCGGAGCCATCTGATGGCCTAGAGAGTTGCTTATGGTCTTGTCATGTTAATAAATATCTAATTAATAATTTATATAACATATAAGGCCTAAATAAAGACCTGCAATAGGCAGATTTAGCTCTTTAATAATGCCTCTCTAATGCATTCTCTTTAAATCATTGTTATCAATGCAAGTCATGGGTTTAATCCAAACATTGGACATAAGTTTGTGGGTATTCTTCTAGTGCTCTGAAGACCTGTGTGAGCAAAAACTATATTGAACTGAAAATATACAACAGGCCTATGTTCGTTCAAAAATGACATGTTATTATAGACAGATTTTCAGGCTTTGGGGCAGATTCTTTTCACATTATTAGGCCTGAGACTACTGATTTAAGAAAATAGAAACAGTCTATGTAGAATTCATAACAACATTTGGAATCTCTATTAATTAATTAGTTAATATCATTGATTTTTTTGAATATCATTAGAATATAATTACTATCTTTTGAAATGCAGATAAACATGAGTTGATGGTTATGCTCAGATGTGCAGTTGGTAATTTTCATAGGGTTATGGTACAACATCCAATTTTTATATTTTACAACTTCCATACTAAATATCACACAAGCTTTGGAGCAAAGCTTTTCTACTTGTTGCTCATTCTGTTGTTGCAGAAAACTTCTGTAAAAGTAAGACCCCAACGAGGTGTTCATTTAATATATACAAATTTGTGGTCTGTATCCATGTGTGTCGACACATGCCTCTAGGGGGCGCTAATTCCAATGTGTCAGCCCCCATGAACGTCAACATGGATTTAGAACAGTTGATATTGGAATTGTTTGCTGTGGAAGGTATCAAGTTTGGCAACTACACCCTAAAAAGTGGAATCGAAGCTCCAGTTTATGTAGACTTACGCGTTGTGATTTCATATCCAAAACTTATGGTATAGTTTTTAATACAAATTATGTATCTGTAACCACACAGTTGTAAACTAGGTCAAACTGAAACTCCTCGTTCTCTTTTTGCTCTGCATGACTGCGGTTCACTGTATCTTGTAGGCCACATGCTATAGTTAGCTATGAATGGAGAACTTTGTTTATCCCTAACCAACTTGTTTTTCTTATTCGAAAGTGCGGCTTGTTGGAGGTATACAGACAACTCATCCCAAATACAACTCATCTCAAGACAACTCATCCGAATAGAAGACAACTCATCCCCAGTTAGAAGACAACTCATCCCAACTTTAAAACATGGGTCAAGAAGTGGGCTATAGACATAACAACCCTAAACCATAACGGCCCAAAAATTTGGTCATAACAGCCAAAAAATTTAGTCGAAACGGCCAAATAAATTGGTCAAAACGGTCAAACAATTTGGTCAAAACGGCCAAAAAAACAAAACATTTTTTACATATAGGAAATGATATTTATTAACAAAAATATTGCGTTATAGATAATATAAATACATACATTACATAAACATTAATTTAATACATTAAAACAAAAGCCCATTACATATAGATATCACATTGTATATCTCCTTTACACTACTGGACCATGAACTCTGGTACATATCCCTAGCAGCATCGACACACTTTGTACTCGTTCCACGAATTGAAAATTTCATCTTGTCTTTCTGTTCTATTTTTTATCAAATACCTGCGAAGTTTCCCCTCAAACATCAGAGCAGATTGGAGTGGCATAAGTAAATTTGGCTGATCTTCTTCTAAAATTTTATTCGCTACTTCTTCAAATATTACCCTGGCTGGTCTGAATGGCCATGTCTTTTACCTTTATTTGATATAAATATAAATGGTTAATGTTTATCTTATATTACCTAATCAGATCAGAGGGTGTGAAGTACCTAATTAGGGATTATCCAATCAGTTGATTAATTAGTACTCACCTCTTTCCTTTGACTTACAGCATGTAATTTGCCGGTTGGCTTGGGTGGTTATGGGCTATTTTTCCACTGACAAGGACACATGGTTTGTATCAATCTGATTAAAATACAGATCTATATTTCGTTTCGTTTTTTTAAACTTTCGATGGCCTACACTACATGAAGATCTGACAAGTTATAGCGATAGGTCACGTCAGGGGTCAAAAGACCGATGTAATACAATATCATTTGGGATCTAAATTTCAATATTGTATTCTTAATTTATATTTTATTTGTAACTCAATTTTAGACATATATTAAGTGACAGATTAATTGTAAGATTTAATCTATATCAGGTGTAGGTTGTTGAAATAATATTATGTAAGATTTAATGGATTGTACAAACATGTATACTCGGAGTGTCTATATGGTATAAGATTCAGGCTTAACACGTATTGACACCTTTTGTCTTGAGCTAGGATGTGTGAATCTTAATAATTACTTTTCATTGTTCTGATTACGAATGGTATTATTAACTATGGCGTGCCTTAACCGATATAAAAAGCCTAGTTTACAAGCAGGCAGGCAAAGTACAAAGGAGGGACAAGAGAGACCCGTAGAGGCTGAGAGGTCTCCCGGACCTCGGGAGAGGGTCTACCCTCGACACCGGGCAGAGGGGTCCTGTGAGGCCGTGATTCATGAATATGTGGTTATATCACACCGACTTAATGACCCTATGACGTCAGACATTTGATTAACCAATCAGCATTGATGTTACTAGTGGATTACCCACAGTTCCGTGAAAAACATGCCTAAAGCTCGCCGTAACAGACCGTTTCATTGGCTAATAGCTCACATCATTCAGAACACGAGTTAAATAACAACTCTTTCAGATCCAAGTGTAGTAAAGACAAGTAAAACAAAATTGTGAACTATAAAAACGAAACGAAATAGGATCTGTGTTTTAACCAGATTGGGTTTGTATAATAGTAGCACCACATTGTTTTGTTGTCCTGTCTCTCAGTTGAAGAGTTCTTGACATATGTATATCCATTTTCATCTATTAATTTATTTTTTCCTTTGTGTGACCCACTATATACCACTGTAAACTCTAGTACAGTTGTACCTCAACTTGATTCACACACCATACATATTCTGGTGAAGCCAAGGTGGTGTAGTTATTCCTGAATTTAATGTTAATATATCTCTTCTCACGACAGTGATTTTTTAAGTGTGCTTTAAATTGACGTTTTAACATACAAGGACCTTTTATTTTGTGTGTTAACCAATTTTAAGGGGACTTTTGATTTTCACGGACATTTGTATTGTATGTTTTTACCAATTTTCAACCAATTAAGTGTAAATAATTTAATTAAATCAACCTGTCCATAATATCATAAATATCTAATGTATTGGACGTTAAATCTTTAAGAAACAACAACAAACAACAACAATATTTGCTCAGATATATTGTTTTTCATTAAATTAAAAATGTTTGGCCGTTATGACCAAATTTTTTGGCCGTTATAACCAAACTGTTTGGCCGTTATGACTAAAGTAGGGCCGTTTTGACCAAATCTGTTTTTGGCCGTAAAATCGCTGTCGTGAGAAGAGAGGGCACTGCAGGTCATATTCTCCCTTTGTCATAATAAAAGAACAGGTTAAAACAGGAGGTCCATCTGACTGATATTGGCGTCATCAGTGCGGATAGAAAAAAATGATAAATAAAATACAATATTTGTTGTGGTATATTTATTTGTGATCTTCATAACTTGGTCCGAGTGGTCTTCATATCTTGATCCATGTATTAAACCAAACAAAACTATTTTGCAATGAGTGTTTCTGTTTTATACGACCACATTGAAGAAGCCTATTGATTTTCAACGATTTCCAATAATTACTGCCAGAGTTATGGCCCTTGATCACCTCAAAAAATCTTGTGGATGCTCTAGAGGCCAAAGTTAATATCCGATTGACTTTAAATTTATACACAGTGTTTAAGGTCATGAGACGAAGAAGTCTATTCATTTTCAGCAATTTTCGATAATTACTGCCAGAGTAATGGCCCTTGATCATCTAAAAAAATCTTGTGGATGCTCTAAAGGCTGAAGTTAATATCCGATTGACTTTAAATTTATACAGTGTTTGAGGTCATGAGATGAAGAATCCTTTTGATTTTCAACGATTTCCGATAATTACCGCCAAAGTTATGGCCCTTGATCACTTTGAAAAATCTTGTGACGCTCTAGAGGCTAAAGTTATCATCTGATTGACTTCAGATTGATACACAGAGTTTAAGATCTTGAGATGAACAAGTATATTGATTTTCAATGAATTTTTATGACTTGAACAGCTAAATCCATGATATTAAAGTTTTGTATACTAAATGTTAGCATGGGGCAGAACTTTATAAAAACCAAACAAATTCAAATGGTTTTCTGATAATTACTTCATGAGTTGTTGCTCTTAGTCAGATCTTAGTGTATTATAAATGTTTCATTACTGAAAAATGTAAAAATGTGCGACAACACTTGTTGACTGCCCGGGCGATTTAGCTGCTGTGGGCGTATGTTTCGTTGCCTGGCAACCTATCTTTTTTTAAGTTGGGATTAGTTGTCTTTTATCTTGAGATGAGTTGTCTCTGAGATGAGTTGTCTTCTAATTTGGGATGAGTTGTCTTAAATTGGGATGAGTTGTCTTGGGATGAGTTGTCTTTGGGATGAGATGTCAGGCTATCTTGTTGGAAATGAATTTTACAATAACACTAAATTAAACTTCTGATCTAAACGATTAACAGTTAAAACTACTCAGCCTCAAAACTTAATTAGATTTAAAGGAGCTAAATCGCTAATATTTGGGACCTAGAAATTGACACAAATGGGTCACAATGCATATAATAATGTAATATGGATGTATATAAACTGATTTACATTCAATCATTTCCGTTTTTAGTATTTACTCTTAATTTCAAATCAGTTATGTTCGGTGAAATATGCCAAAAGTCTCAATCGAATGGCAATCTCTAGCGTCTGGTTATTCCAGTCTACAAGGATAGTATTTATTGCGCATGCTCTCCAGATAAGAATATGGCATCACCGTTTGCCATGACTTGTGGAATATGTTTAGTCTCGTTTTTCGAGTCCCTTGTTATGGTACATGATTCGTGGTAAAATGTTTATTTTGTCTTAAATATTGGATATCAGAAGCCCATCTTTTCCCGGTAAGATCACAACATCAATGTTGATTTAAATTGCCAAATAATTTGTGTTTTCAATGCAGACTTTGAATGAATGATATTGAGTTAAAAAGCAAATGAAAAGTTAGCACATGTAAATATTGACTACAGTACCTTACATGACATTTCGATCCCTTTACACTTCAACATTTCGAACTTAAGTACCGTGGGTGACATTTCGGACTCGGGAAGGTGGTATTTTAGACTCAGGGGGGTTATGTTGTAAGGAAAGGTTGAACACAAACGTCAATTCAGTTTATAATATCACACTTTTATTTGATAACATAATATTTAAAAAAAAAACAACAACATAGTATTGGAGCTTTTAGGTATGACATATTTTCGGTATCTATTTTTAATTCTGGAAGACTGGTCTTATCCTTCGAGTATCTTAACATGGTAAATGCAAAGGAAAACAATGTTTTTAGTAATTTTCTCATTATAGAAAATGTATTCTTAAATGTCACTCTTGTTATAAATTGTATGTAGCATTTGTAACAATTTACCGGTTTCAAATCATATCTAAATGATATTTTTTTGTTGTTTTAATGACAATAAACTATGCTGTAGCTTGTGACAATGGAGATTAACTGACTGGATTAAAATTTCGCAGAGTGCTGAAAGCTGAGCCAAGACGATCTATGTGGTTACAAACATAGATGTATTATTTGAATTAGTGAAACGAAGAAACCTAAGCAATTTCCGTTAATTATGTCTTGTGTTATGGCCCTTGTTTTACTTTGTGAATGTTAAACGCTGTGAATGCTCTAAGGACAACAGTTATCATCCGATCTGTATGAAATTTATCTGCATTATTTAAATTAGTGCAACGAAGAAGTGTATTGATTTTCAGCAATTTCCATCACTTGCTTCTGGAGTTATGGCCCTTGTTCTACTTTGTAGAACATTGTGAACCCTTGAATGACAAAAGTCATCATCTGATCTATATGAAATTTGTATGCATTATTTAAATTAGTAAAACGAAAATGGCTGTGAAATTTCAACAATTTCTGTCTACTACTTCCAGAGTTATGGCCCTTGTTTCAGTTTGTAGCACCTTGTGAACCCTCAAAGGATGAAAATTATAATCTGATCTGTATGAAATTGTATTGTAAATGCCCCCCCTTACCCACACAAGATTAAATATGTGACAATCCTTGTTGACCACTCTGACGCTTTAGCTGCTGTGGGTGTATGTTTCGTTGCCTGACAACATATCTTTAGCATAAACATTTCTATCTTTTGTTTTCAAGCCATGTTGTTTCTGTTATTCGTATTCCATCAATAGGAAATTTTATAAAAATGGCTCAATTTTCGCGCTGTGTGCCAAACAACTATTTTATCATTAGTTAGAGCTGTCTAAACCTGGGAAAATTTACAGTAGCTATTGGCTAACAGCATGCATGCATGAAGGCAAACAATCTCATTTGCATATTGCATACTTTATAGTAATATTGGCTGGAATTAATTTTAGATTGATAAGCTCAACAAGTTTAACGACCAACATGTAGTACCATGTATAGTGTACAGTAGGGCAGACAATATATCAACCTTGCACGTACTGTTCAGACGACTGTTGAATGTAAATAGGATAAAACTTTTATATCTTTTGTGTTAATTGTCCTGCAATTAATAGATAACACCTGTTTGGTCGTAAAATATGTAGAAACTGGGGCACCAGAGTAAATAATAGTGGATTAGAGAGGTGACCTGTGGACTGCTTCCCTGAACAGACTGAAACCGTCTGAAACTACTGTGCCGGAGTCATGTGAATGGCTGAACCAACTGTATGATCGTATATTAATTCTTGGGGGTGCCACAGGTATTCAAGTGATCCTTGACTGTTTAAATTTGAGATGGAGTATTTAAGTAGCTGGAAACTCCACTGACATTGCACACATAACCATTAAAATAAAATTTATCATGTTTGTCCTAATAATTTTGCTGACAAGATATTAAATCCCATTCCATTTGCTAAGTTGAAGTAGGATAATTGACATTGTATTTCTGTTTTTTTGCAGGTTGAGGTATCAAATTTCTTATGGGAATCTGCAAAGAAAGCAAAAGGCTCATTCAAAACTATTTGTGGTGTTCCTTATACTGCACTACCACTGGCTACAGTGAGAACCACTTTTATTATCATTCCAACTAAAATTATTATCATCCTATAAATGCAGAGGTGGGGTAAATAAACAAAAGCCTTACCTCATTACCTGTTTTTAAGAGGGCTTTTTTTCTGAAATGTCCTATCTTGGGATGCTGTAATGGTCCACTTAACACATTGACGACTTCAATTATCTTACTGCATTCATATTCATTACTTTTTGTGGAAATTTGCAATTTCAAGTAGAACATATAACTAGTTTAGTTTATAGATGATGTGATTGCTACACTACAAATGTCAAGTGTTAAATATGGATGATTATATATCTTACAGTGTATATCAGTAAAAGAAAATATACCAATGTTAATAAGACGTAAAGAAGCTAAAGGTTATGGAACTAAGAAGTTAATTGAAGGTATATTTAATGAAGGAGATGGATGTTTGATTATAGAAGATGTTTGCACCAGTGGGTCAAGTGTACTTGATACAGTTCAGGTAATATTTAGGTGATCATCTGTAGCTAAATGGGATGCACATCGCTTACCTTTTGACGAATTTTGGGTTACAAGTATATTTGTCCTAAAAAATCATCTTATTTTTTTTTTTAATTCCACAAAACTTAAATGCGAAAACTTTGCTGTTTTTATACGCCCACTTTTTCACGTGGACGTATATTGTCGTCGCCCCTGTTCGTCAACAATTTGTTTTTCGGACACCCTACAGGTCAAAATTCTTATCCAATTTTGACAACACTTAGTATAGGTTTATCTCCCAAAGATCTTGGTTCCTTTCGATATTGGCTTGTATCGAACCATAACTTCATGGATTATGGCCCCTGATTGTAACTTGAAATATATCTTTATAACCCAAAGATCTTGGTTCCTGTCGATATTCGCGCATATCAGATCGTAATTTCCTGAATTATGGCCCTTTATTGTACGAAAAAATTTTTTTTTTGTTTAGCTTGTTTCCATCCATCACTTGCAAAATGTGGGCGTATCTGCCTGGCAGCCACTGGTTTGATGAAACTTAAAATATATGTTTATATCCCAGAGATTAAGATTCCTTTTGGAAAAATTGCATTTTTTTTTTTGTCCCCCGCCTTTCGAAGAAAGCAGGGGACTATTAAAATGGGTTCGTCTGTCTGTCTGTCCGTCCGTCTGTCTGTCCGTCACACTTTTTGGGACACAATAACTCTTCTTCTAATTGACCTAGAATGTTCAAACTTGCTGTAGGTGTTTATTAGGTCCATGCCTTGATGGAGTTCGAAGATGAGCATTTTCTGCTTAGGGTAAGCAGAGATAAGCAATTTGATTGGTTTGTGCTTTGGGACACGATAACTTTAGTTCTAATTAAGTGAGAGTGATGAAACTTGGTGTATAGTTTCATTACACCAATACCTTGACTAAGTTCGATAATGAGCATCTTCTGCTCAGGGTAAGCAGAGCGATAAGCAATTTGATTGGTCGAGACTTTGGAACACAATAACTCTCCATCTGATTGAGCTAAAATGTTAAAACTTGGTGTAGGTGTTTATTAGGTCAAAGCCTTGATGGAGTGCGAAGATGAGCATTTTCTGCTTAGGGTAAGCAGAGATAAGCAATTTGATTGGTTGATGCTTTGGGACACGATAACTTTAGTTCTAATTAAGTGAGAGTGATGAAACTTGGTGTATAGTTTCATTACATCAATACCTTGACTAAGTTCGATAATGAGCATTTTCTGCTCAGGGTAAGCAGAGCGATAAGCAATTTGATTGGCTGAGACTTTGGAACACAATAACTCTCCTTCTAATTGAGCTAAAATGTTCAAACTTGGTGTAGGTGTTTATTAGGTCAATGCCTTGATAGAGTGCGAAGATAAGCATTTTCTGCTTATGGTAAGTAGAGATAAGCAATTTGATTGGTTGATGCTTTGGGACACGATAACTTTAGTTCTAATTAAGTGAGAGTGATGAAACTTGGTGTATAGTTTCATTACATCAATACCTTGACTAAGTTCGATGATGAGAATTGTCTGCTTAGGCTAAGGAACAATAAGCATTTTGATTGGTCAAGACATTGGAACATAACTTCTAATTGAGGTAGAATGGTTAAACTTGATGTAGATGTTCATTAGGTGAATGTCTTTTCTGAGTTCAATGATTAACATTTTGATCTAAAGCTAAGCAGAGATAAGCAATTTTCTTGGTCGATGCTTTGGGACAAGATAACTTTGATTCTATCTGATAGAGAGTGATGAAACTTAGTGTATAGTTGATAATCAGTTTGATTGCTCGATACTTTTGAAAAAAATAGATGTACCATTAATTAATATGTGTCATCTATTTATTTGGGGATTTCGGCGGGGGACATCAGCCTCACTGTTGGCTTGTTTTAGCTTGTTTTCTGTCCATCTCTTGCAAAATGTGGGCATATCTTGCATAGCAACCGCTTATTTGGCTATGAAGTTTTTCTTGGTTTGTTTTAGTATTTTTTTTTTCTTAAAATAGATATTATTGTGTATGTATACTAACTTGAAGCTAAGTAAATATATGAGCCATTTTCTCTAATAGATGCCCCCCCCACACACACACACACACACACACACACGCACACACACACACACCAATTTAAGAGTTTGAATTTCTAAATATGTATTATTTTTCTGATATATATTGAATTTATAGGCATTAAATAGTGTTGGTATAGCAGTTACAGATGCTGTAGTATTATTGGATAGAGAACAAGGTGCTGAAGATATGTTAAAATATGAAAATATTACATTGCACAGGTTAGTGTGTAGTTATAGTTATATCTAGATTCTAACCTATGGAAATACTAATTATCTGATAATACTTTGCATCTGGTTAATAGAGATTTGTAAATGTATAACAATCATTGTAAAAATAAATTGGAGAGATTTCGATTTGACAGTTTTTACGTATTTTTGAAACAGGTTTCAAAGTGTGTTGGTTCTGTTATGCGTATTCTACGCAAAATTTTACTCTAGAAAAGATGTGTCTGGTTTTGTGCCCATTTGATGGACCCTCCCCCCCCCCCCCCGCGCTGAGCCTCCGGTCGATCAATGTAATGGTCAATGTCACACTATTTCAAGCTCCTGTTTCTACCAGGAGTTCACCACAGCATGTGCTAACAACCTGCATAGTGTTTCAAATGTTATTTACAACACGTCCAGTTATGTACAAATTAGGACATTATGGTATATAGTAATCATAACCACTAATGAATACATCATAATGTTAAGATAAGATAAGATTTTATTGTATCATTGCATCCAGCAAATACAGCATACACAGTTTAAACAAAAGTTGATTATACAATTATTATAACATAACATCTGGGCTGATCATTTATGAATGTACAATGTGATATAATAAGTCTATAAGCATGACAGAAATAGATTTTTGTGTTAATGGAATGGATGCTGCATTATTATATTATACACATTTCTTTGAAGCATTTTGTTCAAGTGGAATTAATTTGTTTTTTATAGTATTTGTAAATTATCACATGTAATAGAGATTCTAGAGAAGCATGGGAAAATTGACAGTGATATGGTTTCTAAAGTAAAGACATTCATCACAGAAAATAGATTTAAACCTCCATCAAGTATTGATCAACTACCCAAAAAGGTAGGATAGATTGATTGATTAAGTTTTGATGATTGTAAACATTTGTTACATTTTCTGTGGGCACCTCCCCAGAATGATGACAACATACAACTTCTACCTAACTGCTAAACAAAACAGATGATTTGTTTTTCTGTTTACAGTATGACCACATTGTACATGGTCTGTGATCTAGACCAAAGATCAAATCCAAAGAAAGGTCTCTAGTTTGCTTATATAATTACAATTCTTTCAGAAGAACATTCATTCCTCTTCCACAGAATGACCGATGCTTTAATTAAGATGAGTAAAGGGGTTGATTTGCCCTACATTTTACACAGGTAAAAACACAAGTACGATTCTTTTTATCAATCTGATATACACAACAAATCACATTTCAGCTGGCTTACTGATCTTACTGCAAAACCACCGAACATGCCCTGATAATTAAACTAACAGACTTTAAGTGTAGATGTAAATGACGGCATGGGCAACAAGATTATATAGAGAAGAATCACTGGATATTGTTTTATGCTCTTTGTGTTTGTGATCTTTATTTTGATTGTGAATAGACACTCGGTGTGACCGACAACCAATTTCTAAATCTGAACCAACTTGATGTTTAACTTAGAGAAATAAGAGCTTTAGGTTAATTCCTGTGATTCTGAAATAAATTAATGGTGCAAAATTTAAGAAAGTTGTTGATTAAGAATTTTTGGTTGACTTAAGGGGGGAGGCTATCCAAAATTGTTTATTCTGAAATGTTAAAGCTATTGAATTGAAAATAGTACAAGTAGTTAGGAAATGTAATAAACAAGGGAAAACTAGCATTAAAAAAAGTTGTTGCCAGGATAACACATTTTTGGGGAAAAAATTATGAATGGTGTACCTACGTTTTTCAAACTTTTTCCCCAAAAATGTGTTACCCTGGCAACAACTGTTTTTTCTTTTTTTTTAATTTTAGTTTTCCCTTGTTTATTACATTTCCTAACTACTTGTGCCATCTTCAATTCACTAGCTTTAGAATTTCAGAAAGCATTTTTCGGGTAGCCTCATCCCTTAACTGGGAATAATTTTGCCATCACTGTTAATCTTTTTGCTTTCACTAGTTGTTTATTTTTTTTTTGGTGGGGGGGCCTGATTTTTCCTGACTGTTTTGCCGCAATTTGGGAGGTTAGTTGCGCCTCCTTTAGGAATGTAGAATGTGGTCATACTGTGTAACCATGGAACTGACAGTCATTTCTGTTCATTGACTTCTTCGGTTTGGGTGCAAAATAAAAATGTTGATTTGATATGTGAATTTGTTTTGCAAGATAGATTTTTTTACATTTAAACTTTACCTTCTTAGATTAAAGCAATTTAAGTTATCATATATTATAGGTGTTAACATATGGTGAAAGAAGTGAATTATGTACTCATCCAGTTACTAAAGAATTGTTTAAAATAATGCATGAGAAAGAAACAAACCTCGTAGTATCAGCTGATTTAAAAACAACCAAAGAAGTTCTACAGGTACCGTAATTAAAAGTTATTATCATTTATACTTAGTTTTGAGTTTTGATATGCCCACATTGAAATGTGGTTGTATGTTGTCGTTGTTCGTTGATCCTGTGTCCACAATTGCTTGTTTACGCTCTAGAGGTTAAAGTTAATATCCAGTTGACTTTAAATTTATACACAGTGGTTAAGGTCACGAGACAAAGGTGCCTCTTTATTTCCAACGATTTCTGATAGTTACTGCCAGAGTTATGGACACTCTAAAGGGCAAAGTTAATATCCGATTGACTTTAAATTTATACACAGTGTTTAATTGTTTAAGGTCATAAGACGAAGAATCATATTGATTTTCAACTATTTCTGATAATTACTGCCAAAGTTATTGCCCTTGACCTCTTTGAAAATCTTTTAGAAACTCTAGAAGCTACAGTTAATATCCGATTAAATTTATACACGGTGTTTAAGGTCATGAGACGAAGAATCCTATTCATTTTCAACGATTTCCAGTAATTACTGCTAGAGCTATGGCCCGTGATCACTTGTGGCCACTCTAGAGGCTAAAGTTGATATAAATTGTTTAAAGTCACTAGACAAACAATTGAAACAAATTCTAATGATTTCTGATAATTACTAAATGAGTTGTTACTCGTAGTCAGAATTTCATATATTGTAAATGTTCTCATTACTGACTAAAGAAAAAATATGTGACAACCCTTGTTGACCATCTGGATGACTTAGCTGCTGTGGACGTATGTTTCATTGCCTGGAAACCTATCTTTATAATTGTATTCAGCAGACATTATCCCACCATTTCTTTAAAAATAATACTGGTTCACAAAAATGTTATTTTTGTAATGAACATTAGTGATGTCAGTTGAGATGCTTAAGCTTTTGGTTTATCAAGGTAACTCTGTTGAATGTATTATGCATTTTTTCAGGTATTAAAGAAAATAGGTCCATATATTTGTATGGCTAAAACTCACATTGATATCATAGAAGACTACAATCCAGAATTTGTTACACAGCTGTGTGAAATTGCCAAAAAACACAATTTTCTTCTTTTTGAAGATAGGTAGGTTACCAAGAAACAGGTTAATGCTTGAAATTTGCTATGAAGACAAAAGCTGCTACTGTGAACACTATAATCATGTTAGAATTCAAAAGTAAAACCAAAATTCATTTGCTATCTCCTCAGATGAGAAGTGGCATTAGGGTCATTCCATGTCAAGTGGACCAAATTCTCAGAAAATTATGAACGACAAAAGAACTTTCACTTCAAAATTTTTTCAGCCAGTCAATTTTAGACATATTTTGTTTTCCTCCAATTAACAAATAAATCTTTTTACAAAGCATATGACGTACACAGACTTTTACTTTTGAGACTCTGTTCAAATCGGTATAGTCCCTTTAAATGCCAAAACTTAACAGAAATGCATAAAATTTGATGTTTTTTATATGATCACATTTCATACATACACAGATAGCCCCTTTAAATGCCAAAACTTTTTTATACGTCCACATGGACTTCAGGGGGTTGGATGGCCAAATGGTTAGCACATGCGCGCTGTATCATACAGTCTGTTATTGAGTCAACTGGCATGGTTTTGCTTCCCTGGTTGTACGTGACAAAGAGTAGGGTCGCCTGTCCAACCTCGTGGGTTTTCTCCGGGACCTCCGGTTTCCTCCCACTGCTAAAGACCCCTACGCGCAAGCTAAATATTGATATAAAATTGAACCATATGTTAGTCCCAAAATGACCTAGTTTGTGTCGAGTGGACGTTAAACCCCATCTCTCTCTCATGTGGACGTATATTATCATTGCCCTGTCTGTCTGTTCGTCCGACCATCTGTCCGTTCACATTTTGTTTGTGGCCACTCTACAGGTCACAATTTTTATCCAATTTTAACGAAACTTGAAATATAGGTGTATTTCCCAAAGATCTCAATTCCTTTCAAAATTGGCATGTATAGGACCGTCACTTCATGAATTATCGTCCTGATTGTACAAAAAAATCACGTTTTACGCTTGTGGACACTCTAGAGGTCACAATTATTATACAATTTAAAAAAAAAACGTTTGAATATATCACCGTTATATCGTAATGTTGGTTTAGTTAGAATTTCAGGAAAATCGGACCGTAACATCCTGGATTATAGCCCCTGATTGTACGAAAAATCACGTTTTTAGCTTGTTTACCTGCTAGAGGTCACAATTTTTATCCGATTTTAAAAACTGTTTAAACATACATTATGCAAGAGCTAAATCTGCCTATTGCAGGTCTTTCTTTAGGCCTGAAATGTTATCTAAATTATTAATTAGACATTAATTACCATAATCAACTCCCGATGGCATCACTAGCCTGCGATATTTACCGGATTAGAACCCAGTCTCCTGCTTCTGATAAGAGTGGTTCATGCACAGAACAAAAATCCAATAAACAAGCTATATTTGGGGCTTATTTTAACAAATATGATAGGACTTACGGTTAAAATCATTATTTATGAACATTTAAACCATTGCTAAGTTGGATTTTTGTGTGATTTAACCATTTGAATGGGCCTTTCTAATATGTGGAAAAGTTGACCGCCCAAGTGGCGTTACAGCGGTAGAATTTTTTCATCAAAAAGAGTTGTTTCTTGGTCACATCAAAGTTTCAGATTTTGCTCTGAAAAACGAATTCTTAATTTCCGCAGTCAGGATTCTTAGGTTTTTTTTATGATGGTAGAATTAACGAATGAATTTAACATTTGCAGGCGTGCGCAACCTTTAGTTAGAGAGAGAGAGAAAGAGATTATCAGTTTTTATCAGTTACCTTTTGGCTGATTTTTTTTAATGTTTACATGCAATAGTTAAAACTTTCTAATAAGGGGGAATTTCGTGGTTTACAAACGCAGTATGTAGAGAGTGCTTGCTGTACTCATATTGTAGATGTTAAATATCCTTTATGATAATATGATATGAAAGTAAGACGCACAATTTATGCATTGTGTCGGGTTTTCATATTGTCCCCCGCCTTTCGAAGAAAGCAGGGGACTATTAAAATGGGTTCGTCCGTCTGTCTGTCTGTCTGTCTGTCCGTCTGTCTGTCCGTCACACTTTTTGGGACACAATAACTCTCTTCCTAATTGAGCTAGAATGTTCAAACTTGGTGTATGTGTTTATTAGGTCAATGCCTTGATGGAGTTCGAAGATGAGCATTTTCCGCTTAGGGTAAGCAGAGATAAGCAATTTGATTTGTTGATGCTTTGGGACACGATAACTCTCTTCCTAATTGGGCTAGAATGTTCAAACTTGGTGTATGTGTTGATTAGGTCAATGCCTTGATGGAGTTCGAAGATGAGCATTTTCCGCTTAGGGTAAGCAGAGATAAGCAATTTGATTGGTTGATGCTTTGGGACACGATAACTTTTAATTGAGCTAGAATGTTCAAACTTGGTGTATGTGTTTATTAGGTCAATGCCTTGATGGAGTTCGAAGATGAGCATTTTCCGCTTAGGGTAAGCAGAGATAAGCAATTTGATTGGTTGATACTTTGGGGCACGATAACTCTCTTCCTAATTGAGCTAGAATGTTCAAACTTGGTGTATGTGTTGATTAGGTCAATGCCTTGATGGAGTTCGAAGATGAGCATTTTCCGCTTAGGGTAAGCAGAGATAAGCAATTTGATTGGTTGATGCTTTGGGACACGATAACTTTAGTTCTAATTAAGTGAGATTGATGAAACTTGGTGTATAGTTTCATTACAGTAATACCTTGACTAAGTTTGATAATGAGCATTTTCTGCTCAGGGTAAGCAGAGCGATACGCAATTTGATTGGTCGAGACTTTGGAAAACAATAACTCTCCTACTTTGATTGTTAGACTATAAGTAAAGATATACTGTTTGATTGTTCAATACTTTGTAAAAGATAATTTGTGATAAATTTATATGTGTCCTCTAATTATTTTCCTATTTCGGCGGGGGACATCAGCCTCACTGTTGGCTTGTTTTTAATAATTATGAAACAGTCAATGCACGTCTTTTTAGTTATATTTCGGTTCTAGAAAAATCAGTTGTAACCATCATATTAGAAATTGCAAATGCACTTCTTACGCGCGAAAGCATAAGCATACTAAACACGATTAATGGCATAGCCCTTTTGTGCACCACCTCCTCCTATTAAATTTAACCCAAAACCGGAAGCCAAATTCGCAGCGCCCTAAAAATGATTAGAATTCGAGTCTTGTTTCTTTTGATCATACACGTCTGGTTAATCGAGACTAAGGAAAATTTTTTCTGCGTATTTAGATCTACCAACAATGTAACTTCTAAACTCACTAATGCGGCAACTAACAACTGGGTTTTACTGTTAAATAAAAGTAACTTTCACAGTCTTGCAGTGTCTTTACGTTGCCGCGAGAGTGAGTTTAAAAGATAGAGAAAGGACAAAACTACATGAGTTTACCCTGAACTGAGAACCATTACAATATATATTTCATTGGTTACAATCAACAAACTTAGAAATTAAATCGCTGAGTTTTAGCCAAAATTTTAATCTAGTTCGTAACTACTTATTTTTAAAAGTCCAACGAGTAAAGAAGAATTTTTTTCATGGCTTCATTGATAAATAAGTGAATGAATATTGTCGCATGAATGTCTATTTTGGGCGATTGTTTGCTATCTACAGTGCACGAGCGAGCCCATGAGAGCACTTTTCTCATCAACGCTGTTTTGATCCGCGTGACAACATGCTGTTAAAACAGGTCAGTTTATATAGTAAAAATATTTGAGGCCTTGGGCCACTCTACTTTTGATTAAATCAAAAAATGGATAATCAAGACTATTTTTTTTGTCGTACCGACTTTAGTAATGATGATTGAGGCTAGGCCCAAAATTCAATCGCTAAATACTCGGTTCAGGGTGGATCAATTTGAAATTTTCAGCAAATTCCCTTTACATTATCTATTTTTTAACTATTATATGAGAACTACCAGCTCTTTATCTAATCTCCCATAATGTATCTTTAAATATAACACCATTACACAAAGATTATGATTGAGTTTGAATTTCGTAAAAATCGGATCGAAACTGCCCTACAAAATGGCAGCTCCTTTTACGCAAATGGTGTAAAAATATGTAATACCAAGGTTGTGGACCCTCTACAGGTCACAATTTTTATCTGATTCTTTGATAAAACTAAAAATATGTTTATATCCCGAAGATCTAGGTTCCTGTAAATATTCACGCCTATCAGACCGTAACTTCTTGGATTGTACGAAAAATTACTTCTTTTTTTGAGCTTATTCTCTGTCCATCTCTTGCAAAATGTTGACTTATCTATCTTGCATGGCAACCGCTTGTTAAGTGTTTTTACACATAAAGACTTTAAATTTAAAGGCTCAATACCACTCTTGTTGTGACTGAATAATATGTCCCAATCTTTATTCTGGTCAACAAATTGTACTTTTTTACAATATTTCAATTAATTGATGATACAAATTTCATCTTAACACACCTTATTTAAAAATTTTGAAAAATTCAACATAATGGTTTGGAACGTCTAACGTAAACCTTTTCAAATGAAACTTCGATTTAAAAATACTTTCGAACCCTCTGGACAAGTAAAATAAGATGTAATGGATAATTAAACATTAGGACACTTAAACATCTAGTACTTAGATAGAGAGTTTATTTATTTTCTGGAGCTTTCAAGCCAGCAAGAGTGTTATTGTCCCTTTAAGTCTTATTGTGTTTTAAAGTTAAATTCTTTGGCATTATAAATTGACTGATACGTAAATTCTCCAGCCTGTCAATTTCACAGGCAATCAGTCAAGACTGCCAAATATGGCTGAAACATGAGCCCAGCCTAACACCCTTCACTACCCATAGCCAACTGTAGCAATGGTTTGAGGTCTGGAGTTGAGAAGTCGAAGGTGGGCTTGGTAGAAGTAGAACAAACTAATTGAGTATATTTATATTTGATATGATTACAGAAAGTTTGCTGATATAGGAAATACTGTAAAGTTACAGTATAGTAGTGGGCTATATAGAATAAGTGATTGGGCTCATGTTATAAATGCTCACAGTGTACCAGGAGAGGGTGTTGTCAAAGGTTTAAAAGAAGTAAGTATTTTACATAGTTAATTTGTATGAATAATGCCTATGGGTTATATGCTAATAGTCTCATATGAACTTTTATGATTGTTTTGGAATCAGTAGAATTTACACAATAAAAAACATTTGGCACCTTTTTTTTTTCTTGTGAAATTCAAGATGGCCACTAAAATGCAACCTCAAATCATCAAAATGCACCATGATATTTGTTCTTACAGTAGATATTTTCACAAATTGGTGTCCAAATGTGGAATGAATAATCAGTAAGCTTGTATAAATGTAGTAACTTGAAATGTGATGATTATGAGAAGTCATTTAGCCTAGTAGTGATCCTCTGACAGAATAAAAAATTTTTTTTATTAAAACCTCCCTCACGCATCAAATTTTTGGAAAGAATAGTCTCAGACTCTGAATATTTGTTTTGTTGTAATACCTATGTTCATGCCGAAAAAGTAGGACATTTCATATATACTATATAGGTGACATCTTTGACTATTTTTTACAAACCAGTATCAGAGTTTTCCGTGTTAGCAAGTTTGACATGTTACCATATTTTTAATTTTTATCACTCGACTCAAGTCCCATGCACAAGGAATCGAGTCAGTCCAGATACCAAGTCAAACTATAACACTGGTATTACTAAATTTTTTCATAGTAAATTTCTTTTTATAGGTTGGATTAGTAAAAGGCCGAGCATGTCTATTAATAGCTGAGATGAGTTCTTTAGGTAACCTAGCAACTGGTGACTATACTGTAGGTCAGTCTTGAAATTCAATTATTTTTTTTTTAACATCCAATAAATTAAAATATACTGGCTCATATTTCTAGTTTACAGTTTACTTTGGAATTGGAAAAAAAAGCAATGTTTAATGTGAAATTAGTACTGTAGAAGTGTTGATATTATGTTAATCTTGTACTCGTTGATACTATCAACCATTAAACAGCTAAATCTGCCTATTGAAGGTCTTTTTTCTGGCTTCAAATGTTATATAAATTATTATTTAAGTAGATTAGAACACCACAGCCATTTCAGAGTCAAGTACAGTTTCTATGATAGTAAACAATCTATGCTACATTTTGTCAAAACTTCAAAAACTCAATCATAAATTTGTACAGGATACCTAATCTGACTGAAATTTTCAATATATTTATAACTATATTATGTATAATCTCACTTCATCGTAGTAAGGAGTCACTAAACGAGCCAGCACCCTACACACTGGGCCACTGTGGCTAGAATGAGTAGGTCATGCTAATTAGAAACACATTTGAGATAATTCTGCTATGGATTTGATTTCTGCCCCATTAGTCCAGTGTATAGTAGAGTAAATGTAACCTCACTGTGAGACACATGCGTAGTATGTGATTTTGATTATAATAGGAAATTTATATATTTTGTAGCCACAGTTAAAATGGCAGAAGAAAATAGAGATTTTGTTATTGGTTTTATAAGTCAGAAAAAACTATGTGATGATCCTACATTGGTACATATGACACCAGGTATGTTTACATAACTTTCTTTGTTTATGATGAATATTTTGTGTACTGTCTATTTGAGAAGAAATGACTGAAATGAAATAGGGTTTAACATTTTCTGCACCAACCAGACTATTGAAGTCAAGCCTATGGCATACAGTGTGCTATGGGGGATATTTTGCTCAGAAATGGCATTTCTGTGTACTCTTCATCAAATTTGAAATGCCAAGGGTTCATTTATACGCTAACCTCAGTTTTCAATCCCTTCCAATTGACTAGATGTTTTTCCTTGTACACACCCTATGTTCTGCACCGCTTACAAGAGGAAAACATACCGAAAAATCCTGAGAAACTCTAGACCTCCAAGAAAAAAGCAAGGTCGTGATAAATAAAGTCTTTAGATTTGTTTATACCGAATGGTGTTAACAGGCTGCATATAAAAAAAACTTTTAAAAATCTCCTTAAAGTAAAGTTCCAAAATGCTAATTTGTTGAAAATTTGAAAATGATTTGCACATTTATTTCACTGTTTGAAATATTATTTCAGCTTTTGTGAGGGTTCTTTGATTTCAATTTTTGATAAGAGGTTTCTACAAAAATAATGAGAGCATACTAAATAATGTGCTGTTGATTTAAGGATATTCAGAATAATAGTGTGTTATAATAAGTAATATTATATTTACAGGTGTTAAATTAGAATGTGGTAGAGATAGTTTAGGACAACAATATTTAACACCAGATGAGGTCATAGGTCGTAGAGGTAGTGATATTATTATAGTAGGACGAGGTATTGTCCAAGCTCAAGATATCGTCAAAGCTGCCAAAGCCTATCAACAAGCCGGTTATTTAGCTTATCAACAATTACTTTCATGATTCCAAAGAGATGAGACCATGTAAAATATATAACTACTGCCAGCAACAGCATAATGTTCAACAATACACCAGCACTTCTAACAATTAGCTTTTTTTGATTAGAAGAAAATAAACGGAATACATATGATATCATATATCTTATATTAGTGTCAATAGATGAATAACCTAAATAATTAGTTTTCACCGTCTGATTAAAGCACCGATCCTATTTATATATATATCTTAGTGTCAATAGATGAATGACCTAAATAATTAGTTTTCGTTTTCTGATTAAAACACTCATCCTATTTATTTTCATTTTTATAGTTAAAATTTCATTTTTATATATGTCTCTTTAAAGTAAGAGATTTATTACCATGTTTGAATAATCCAGTCAAATGTCTGTGTATCATTGTGTCGCCTATAGGCCGCAATTCTTAACTGATCATCTTGAAACTTTACATACTTATTCCTTATACCCTAGGGATGATCCCAATTGTTTTTGGTGTATGCCTGAACCCCAAGGACAGAGCCACACCCATTTCTTGTATTTGTTAACGTATCATCTTGAAACTTTGCATACTTATTCCTTATACCCTAAGGAACATCCCTATTGTTTGCTGTGCATGCCCAAGCCCCAGGGGCAAAGACACGCCCATTTTTTTTTGTGTGTCGCGTACAGACTACAATTCTTAATTGATCATCTTGAAAACTTTTCAAACTTATTCCTTATACCCTAAGGATGACCTCTATTATTTTTGCCATCTTCATTAGCCAAGTCGGAGCAGAACAGTAGGATGTTAAATCCCATTTCATTTATTTCTATCATTTTTGGTGCATGCCTAACCCTCTGGAACGGAGCCAAGCCCAATTTTTGTGTGTGTCTGTTTCGCCTATAGGCCGCAGTTCTCTAGAGATCCTTTTGAAACTTAGCGTACCTATTCCTTATACCCAAAGGATGATCTCGACCCCCAGGAGCAGAGCCACACCTATTTTTACTTTGTGTGTCTGTGTGTTGTCTACAGGCCACAATTCTTGATGGATCATTTTGGAACTTGGCATATGTATTCCTTATAGCCCAAGGACGGCAACTATTGATTTTAGTGCATGTCCTGACTCCCAGGGGCAGAGCCAAGCCCAATTTTTGGTGTATGCCCTGACCCGCTGGGGCGGTGTCACACCCACATTTTTATTAATATTTAGTATGTAAATTTGGTTAAACAAACCCAACACCTAGCCTTCTTTGCCCCTTGCCATATTACAGTCATTGCAGCCATTTCATATTTCATAGCGTTAGCGATGCTCTTGTTATTGTCTTGCCATCATGTATATATGAATGCAGATACCTGTACCAAAAATTGACTTTCCATTGTCAAAATATTGTCCTTAGAATTGTTGATTTGTTTGTTATATTATGTTAACTATAAAAGTGATTGTATTCTGGCGTCACTGATGCCTATTAGCCCATATTTTCTTGTTGTCAAGCTGAAAAGTGAACAAGTTGCTGTAAATAGTAGATTGTTATCTCATATCATGTTTGATCAAGATTTCCTGCAATTTTTTTAATATCATAATACATGCTTGTGCAATGGCGTTTAATGCTCTACTTTTCTGCTCCATCTGAGCTTGTTTGCAGTGCATCCATATTCTTTTGTGGGAGCTGCTGTGGCTCACTGAGAAAGGCACTGGCTCGCTATCCAGGTCCAAGGTTCGATCGCAGTAGGGGGGTTGGATGGCCGAATGGTTAGCATGTGCGTGCTGTATCATAATGCCTGTCATTGAGTCAACTGGCGTGGTTTCGAATTCCCGGTTGTACTGACAAGGAGTAGGGTCGCCTGTCCAACCTCGTGGGTTTTCTCCGGGTCTTCCAGTTTCCTCCCACTGCTAAAGACCCCTACGCGCAAGCAAATTATTGAAATAAAATTAAACCATATGTTAGTCCCGAAATGACCTAGTTTGTGTCGAGTGGACGTTTAACCCCATTTCTCTATCTCTCTCGATAAGTGTTGGCCGAGAAAGTTCCATGGGATTTTCGGGCATGGTTTCTCCTTTTCAGTGGTGCAGGATGGGGAGGGTCTGGCAAGGAACTGTCTAATCGTTCAGATGGAACAATGCAACCCTTGGTGTGGATGAAGAACGACACTAGACAGTTGATTAGCCCAGTTCAAGCAGAAAAGCAGGATGTTAAATCCCATTCATTCATTCATTCTTTCTTATTCTGTGATTGTAAGTGGTGCCTGTAATTATGTTTTGTTAATGTATTTGCTTTTTATGAAAGGTGTTTATGTTATACATGGTATTTCAAGTTACATCTTAAATATATAAATGATTATTACAAATTGTTAAACAGTGTATTAAATACTTTACATAATTGTTTGACTTTATTATAAATAAACTACTAAAAAATGTTACAAATTAACAGATTGTCCTCTTTAATTACCAGTGCCTTTTCTCTGGATTTATCAGAACATGTAGTTAGTTATCACCCAATAATACATTCTGCAGTAGATATCGCTTGTGTGATATATTTCATAATACATGAATTTGATTGGTCAGTTGAAAAGGAACTACTTTTTTTTATTTTCAAAGAACAGTTCATTTCTTATTAAAAGTAACTTTTTTTTTATTAATAATGAACTATTGTTATTCAATTGACCTTGATGGAAACACTGGGTCAATATAAAGGACTTTGCAATGGTTGAATTGCTGTCAAAAAATGATGTATCACTACGCCATGATGTTCAGTAAAAGTGAAATCTACAGCAAAGAATTATATTTATCTATTTGTGCATGTAATATACAGGTCACAATTCTATGGAATACAATTACTGCTTTTTACTGAGCGACGTTTCGACTAGGCTTCTCTAGTCATTATCAAGCTATGATAAAAAATGAAAATATGACAGGACAATATATACATGTACACAACAATGCTTAGTTAATGCATATCAAAAAATATCAAAACTCGTTGATAAAGTAAAAAAAAACTCGGCAGAGCCTCGTTTTTTGTTACTTTATCAACTTGTGTTGATATTTTTTTGGTGTTGATACTTTTTGATATCAAAAAAGACTGGTAGGAGATTCTCTATATCTGTCACAATCTTTAACAGGAGCATTAAACAACAGTAAGAAAAAAGTGGTAATATCATTATCCTGCCATTTAAATGTGCAATATTTTGTTAACCCTCTTTAGACTAATTACAGTGGCATCTTTTAGAAAGGTTTCACCATTATTTATTAGTAAAGGAAGATGTATATTCAATATTTTACAGATTTACTCTCCTTGGTGATAGATGTACAAATAAGATTTATGCACTTCTGAATTGTAATCCAATTATGGTACATTTCACAGAGCCTGATTTACCTATAGGCTTGGCAGGCTGAGTCAGGATCCTCCGGCCAAGGTGTATGTTATTTTTACAATCAAGCTTTTCTTACACACACTGTAGTCTTAAATAGCTGTCACTATCCTCGGCTTCACTCAATTGTGTCATCTTCCTCTAGTCGAGAGGGTGGGAGGGTGCTCATAAATGGAATAGCCTGGCACCTAAACACTAACCCCAAACGATGACATCTACCAATCTAGAAGCAGACGAGATCATCTACCAAACGATATGTTTTATATTAAATAAAGGGAAGAACTTCCCACTAAACCAAATCCATGGCCTAAGGCCAAATGGAAAGATTGCAAAATCATATTCTAAAAAACAGGAATCAGCTTCGGCTCTCCTATGTCTTGTCTGTGATATCACTTATGTGGAAGCAGACGTTAAACACCAAGAACGAACGAACGCTTCTCTTCATCCAGTTCCATTGAACTTATGTCTGTGGAACCTTTACAGATGCTATGTTCAACAGGGTCCTTGACCACGATTTCTTTTGACAAAAATGGTTGGACAATTTTCCACACGGCCACATTTTTTTTGCTACTCCAAATGTGGAAACCATTATTGAGCATGGCAACCTATATTTAAAAATTGTCAGACTAGATGACAAATATCTAGTCTGGAGGCTCAGTGCGGAGGGGTGTCCATCAAATGGGCACAAAACCAGACCCAGCTGGAGTCTAAACAAACAACAACAATATGATGATGATGAATTAATTTATACATATGACATATATACAATAATTAACAAAATGAAACGACAAAACTGTTACAGCACACAGGATAAAAATTTATATTATTATGAATGTTTTGATACAGCACTGCTCTTAATACCATGTAGTTCTGATATAATTCTACCTCAATAGAATATGCTGTCATATTAAACAAATTTTAATTATAAATAACCGGGATGATTTGTTTGACTATTTAGCTCATATATATATACACAAGCATTTTTTCTAAAATAAAACAAACTGAAGTGGATTAAAATTTTTAATAAATATTAATCTGTCTATACTTTCAGTTTTGTCCAACAAATCCATTTAAATCTTCTATGAAATGCATTATTCATTCTTTTTCTTAAATTTTGAATACAAAGTTGTTTTTTTCAAAGGACCTTATTCACAAAAAGAAAAAAAAAAAAAAAAAATATTTTAATTACAAGAACAGATTTTCACTGTTATCCAACAAAAAAAACCTTTTGTTTAACATTTTGTGAATCCCCAGCTTTATAAATTTTCTTAAACCCATAACTTTACATGCTTGAGTTCATTAATTTTGGCTGTAAACTTTGTTTGTTAAAAAAAAAACAATTGGCTGTTGTCACTCTATATTTGTTATATTTTTTTTTCAATTTTATTTTCTTAATAAAAATTTTAACAAAATAAAAACAACTTTATATAACATTTTTCTGTGTCTACAACTATAAACATAACTTGGTAAACAATTCATTATAATAAAGACTTTAACAAAATTTAAATAAAGAGAGATGCTCTCAACAATATTTGTATTTACAAACATAATTGAGTACAGTATATATAAGGCACTCTAAATCAAAAATGGCATTCTCCTATATATACAATACATGAAATATTAACTTTATTCACAGTTCAAAAATGTGGTAAATGAAATATCATAAGAATGCCAGAGCACACATAAGGCTCTACACATGTTAATACATTTTCTCGGTAAAAAGAGCAACTTAAGAATTTGACCTAAAATTTAAGTTGTAAAGTGAAAAAAAATCTCAAATTAATTTGGTAACCAAGAAACATATCCGTTCCCAAAAATATTTTTGGGGTTTTAACATCAGACTAGTCCTCTCACTATAATAGGCATTGTCAACAATAAAAGATGTTACTATCGCCAAGAGAATATTTTTATTAATTTTTTTCACACAATCATTCATGCAATTTACTTCGATTGATATTTAATAAGAATACTTTTGGGAGATAAACAAACCTCTATAATACCTGATACCTTTTTATATGTGAACACAATTCTGTTTAACTATAGACAAAATATATCTATTTTAAATTGCAAACATTTTATAAACACAACAACTGGACTGTTTTGAGTTATCTACTGATAAAATTTGTATATGGCCAACAGATTATCATATCAAAAATAAACATTCACTATTTATCTACATTTTACATTAATTCAGTTCATAGGGGTCGGGTGGAGTTCTATTAATGTCCAGCTTTTGTTGTATTCACTAAAATAGTATTTCATGTTTTATTTTTATTATTATTATGCACTAAAGTTTATACTTAAAGGACAATGTTGGTGTCTACCAATTTAATATATTTGATAGTCAATGATAGAACCATTTAACCACATTCCAAATATAATTTTTAACAATAACATACATTTTCTTGGTAATGGTTGATCTGTAACAAAGGTTTGAATAATAAAGCTAGAAGTAAAGCAAAGCTGTTAAACTTATATTTGAAATGTGTGTAACCAGTTTTATCACATCGGTTGACACCAACATTGTCCGATAATAATTAAAAATATCTTTACAATTTTCAAAGCATGGTAGTTTTTAGATTCAAAAATATGATATATCCGATGAAGTATAAAATCATATCATTCAACCAATACTCAGAAATTGTTCAAAGTAAAGTTGTCAGTCAAATTTAAACTGTTTTAAATAAATATTAATCAAAGCATTACATCAATGAAATCCTTGTTTAAATAGAATTTGTGAACATTCTAAAGCTGCCATTATGAAAGACATGGGTAAAAATATGCAAGAATTCAATGAAACTATCAGCTACATAAAAATTAAAATAATCTGATCATAATACAGAACATACTGTATGACAAGAAGTTAATGCATTATCAAATGTGTTAGAGGCATTATGTAAGAGCTAAATCTGTCTATTGCATGGCTTCTTTTGTTTGGCTTTATGTGTTATATAAATTATTATTAAGAATTTATTCACGACAAGCCCATAATCAAGTCTCTTGAACATCAGATGGCCATGCTATTGAATGGATTAGAACATCCAAGCCAGGTATCAACATTAAAATGAATATCAAGCCTTTGTTTATTATCGTAGCAATGGTACTTGGCAATCAAGACTATTTTACATTCCAAACTTGGCTCAGAAAAAATAAATTTGACTGAAATTTTTGATATGTTCATTTTGCATTATCTATTTCTAAACTAACTATTACATCAAGAACGGACATCTTTTTATTTAAATCTTTAACAAACGTATCTAAAACTTAATATTGTCTAAAGTTGGTGGTTTCTTGTAAGACGATATCAGTATAACATCATTGTTATGTTGTTAATGACACCGATTAGCTTATTTGATTAATCACCGTTGAGTTTTGCATGGGATTGTGTTGAGGGTGTTATGTTTGACAATACCATTGCTGTACTGGATAACTACTCTGAACAGAGACAATAAAAGTATGTATTGAAGTTAATGTGACCGATGATAGGGTAAATTTAAGTGTTCATTTCTTGTTTGAAAGTACTTAACAGTTATGGTTCACCTATTTCAATAACAACTATTCAAATTAATTTTTAAAACCTTTCCAAACCCCTAAAATAAGGATTTTTTAAACGATTATCACCCGCAGAATATAACCTAGCAGTTTTCAATTGGAAGGGGTTGAAACAAAACTCTTAATTTTAACGCATTTGCTGAGATGCCATATTGTAAGAGCTGGTAGTAAGTAGTATTGATGACGTCATTAACAAAGAGGTACCTAGAATAATTCTAACAGCTAATACAAGTAGATGTCATTATTAGTCATAATTTTTAATAATTTGGACAGTTATTTATCTTGTATTACAACACACTGTAGGATAATCGTCCAAGTTATGAAAAATGTCTGTACAGTTAAATGGGCATTTAAGAAGTAAAAATATCTTTAAATATATTTCATATAACATCCGAAATAACTGTATGGAACAAGTTTACAATATTCTGTATTTAAATCAGATTGATATTGCCATAACTCATATCATAAATATTACAAACTTAATAAATAAAACTATGTTCCTTAGTTCCCCTTTCCTTTACTCATACATGAATAGTTTAAACTATTTATACATGAAATAGTCTATCATACATGTATTTCTATTATACATTTCAGTCCATGGTTTTCCTTATAAATATTACATACATATTACATACATTAAACAGTTAAATAACATACAATGACTTCCTTCTCAAGCTTAAAGTATAAGTTCAAAGTCAATTCTTAATTTACATAGGGGTGTTGATGACGGGCACATCCAAGAATTTTGTTGAGGTGACAAACAAGAGTTTATCCAGGGGGATCCCAGAAAAAAGAAATTGTTTTATGTATGATTACACATACATAGATAATTTGCTTACCTAAAACATTTTCAACCTGTATACAACTGTAAATTGTCAGAATTTTTTCAAATAGAATGTATGATTCTTCACAACCATATATCATCCCACGTAATGGATGAAAACAATCTAAGTTTTATAATAATGAATAATATATTAAAATAACTGAAGTAAAGTTTTGGGCACAATCTATGTGTCATTAACAGTCGTAATATTTGTTAAATTGACAAAATACATTTCAACAAAAGAGAAAAACTAGAAAGATAATTCAAAAAGGCATTAACAAAGATAATAATAATTTTTTTTTCCTTTTTTAAAAATAAAATGTATTTGTGACTTAATGGGAGCATTACCCTGTTAAAGGTCGTAGGTCAACTCTCACTCGTTCACATGAACTCAGCATACCAATGGTAGGGTAGAAGCCACCTTTTGGTATTGTAGTTAGTCGTTTACCTATAAGTTTTCCATTGTGAGTAAAAAATACCTGTAAAATTGAAAATATAATTCATTAATGTTTCTAAGTTTTAAAATATCCAAACAAAATTATTTCTTTAATTTAATTTAATGTTTCTAAGTTTGAGAAAATCTAAACAAATTGTCTCTTTAAAGATGCATTATGTAAGAGGTAAATCTGCCTAATGCAGATCTTTCATTTGGCATCAAATGTTACATTAACCATTAATTAGACTTTCATATACATGACAAGCCCATAATCAACTCTCCAGACCATCGGGTGGTTTTGATTTTCTATGGATTTAAAGACGGTAGGCAGTTAATAATTTAAATAAACAAGGGCCATAACTCTCGAAGCTATTATTGGAAACTGCTGAAATTCAATAGGATTCTTTGTTTTACTAATTCAAATAATACATATAAATTTAATACAGATCATACAATTTTTGTCGTTAGAGTTCACAAGATTCAACAAAGTAAAACAAGGGCCAGAACTCTAGAAATCATTTACAGAAATAGGCTGAAACTTAATAAGCTTCTTCGTTTCACTATTTTAAATGATGCATACATAATTTATACAGATCGGATGATAACGATTGTCTTTCGAGCGTTCACAGTGTTCAACAAAGTGAAACAAGGGCCATAACCTAGAAGTAATTAGCGGAAAATGCTGAAATTCAATAGGATTCTTCATTTCGCTAATTTAAATAATGCATATAAATTTAATACAGATTGGATAACTTTTGTTGTTCAAATGTTAACAAAGTTTTCAATTAAATAATGCATCTTTAATTTAAACATACATTATGGAAGAGCTAAATCTGCCTATTGCAGGTTTTTCTTTAGGTCTGAAATGTTATCTAAATTATTAATTAGACATTAATTAACTTATCCTGACCACAATAAACTCTTGATGTCATTACTAGCCTGTGATATTTACTGGATTAGAACCCGGTCTGCTGCTTCTTATTAAATCAAAAAATGGATAATTGAGACTATGTTTTTTTATCGTATAGACTTTAGTAATGATGATCAAGGCTAGGCTGAAATTTCAATCGCTTCATTATCGGCTCTTAGTGAATCAATTTGACTGAAATTTTCAGCAAATTGCCTTTACATTATCTGGTTTCTAACTATTATAGTGAGAACTGCCAGCTCTTTATTATCTTTTTATGGGTCAATAGTCTGTAGTATCATTTATTAGTTCAATAGTCTGTAATATTATTTATTGGTTAGTTAAGTTCAATAGTCTGTAATATCAGTTAAGTTCAACAGCCTGTAATATCATTTATTGATTAGTTAAGTTCAATAGACCATAATATCATTTATAGATTAGTTAAGTTCAATAGTCTGTAATATCATTTATTGGTTAGTTAAGTTCAATAGTCTGTAATATCATTTATTAGTTAAGTTCAATAGCCTGTAATATCATTTATTGTCTGCAATATCATTTATTGGTTAGTTAAGTTCAATAGTCTGTAATATCATTTATTGATTAGTTAAGTTCAATAGTCTGTATCTTAACAGTCAGATATTTGTGGCATGTTTTGTTCACAACATAATATAATTCCAGTGTGATTGTAGATCTTATTACCTGAACATGAGTACCAGATTCATTGTTTGATTTTTCCCAAGGTTCCTCCTCATCATCGTTATCAGAATCTGGACAAATTTCGTCTTCATTAGAGTTGGGAATTTCATCATCAGGGTCATCTGGAGACAGTTCACTATCCAACTCACTATCATAGTCAGCCGGAAATAATATACCACAGCCCATTATATCGCCTGCAATATATCACAAAAAATTATACTTTTATCATAGTATGGTCCCAGGTCAGATACTGTAATATACCACTACAATTTTACATGTAAGTTGTACAAGAGGGTTAATTTTCATGATGAGTGCAAACATTTATCTCTTTCTTTCTGTTTTGAATCAGGGGGTTAGATGGCCGAATGGCGGGGTTTCGATTCCCCGGTTGTACGTGACAAGGAGTAGGGTCGCCTGTCCAATCTCGTGGGTTTTCTCCGGTTCCTCCGGTTTCCTCCCACTGCTAAAGACCCCTACGCACAAGCGAATTATTAAAATAAAATTTAACCATGTGTTAGTCCAGAAATGACCTAGTTTGTGTCGAGTGGACGTTAAACCCTATTTCTCTCTCTGTTTTGAATCCATCCAAATTAAATACAAGTCTATACTTTCTGCAATAACTGACATAACATATTTACTCAAATCATAATCAACTTAAGGAGCTAAATCTCTAACTCGATATTGTCCATAATATTCGAAATTAGAAACAAGAAATGGAATTCAATATTGGTCCATTTCAATCTTTATTGATGCTGTTATCTTGCAGTGAAAATATGGGATCCTAATATCCAATATTTAAGACACCATGGACATTTTAAAATCAGTACACCAGTCACGTACCCTATGTTTTCGGGCACCATTTGTAATAAACAAAGACAAACATATCCTACAAGACAATGCCGAAGTTATTAATAATGGCTGATTCACAAACGACAAAATAATAATTTAAAAACGTGTAGAATGGACTTAAACGGTGGCTGTTTAATTTGGACCGTTCGCGTATTTCACCGAACATAATTGATTAGAAATTACAATTTTTTTCTTTTAAAAATGACTATAAAAATATAATCATATTATATTAATATGTGCTTTTAGACCCAATTTCATCTATTTTAAGGTTCAAAAGATTAGAGCCATATGCCCTTTAATTATGAATTTATGTTGATCATTGCTTACCCTTATGACATTTTGGTCCAAATGGATCCCCAACTCCTGATCCTAAAAATATTTTACCATCATCTGAAATTCACACAAATATAAGACATGTTTATGATGGATCAAATAGTCACAATTCACAGATTTGCAAACATAATTAATAGAGATCATAATTAATATTTTTCAACTTTGATCGTTCACTTATGAAATTAAATGGGGTTTTCTGTGTTAATTTTTTTTTCCCAAGAACACTGTACCATTCTTTAGCGACTTTTGGTTGTTGCCAAGTACAAGATTTACTAAAGTCATTTACCAGTACTTTAAAATGTAATTATGGAGGTAAAAGAGAGAGAAAGAAAAGGGTTTAATGTCCGCTTGAAACAAATTAGGTCATTTTGGGACTAACATATGGTTCAATTCTATTTCAATAATTTGCTTGCGCGTAAGGGTCTCTAGCAGTGATGGGAAACTAGAGAACCTGGAGAAAACTCACAAGGTTAGACAGGCGACCCTACTCCTTGTCACGTACAACTGGGGTATTCGAAACCACGCCAGTTGCTCAATGACAGACCTTATGATACAACCCACACGTGCTAACCATTCGGCCATCCATCCTACCCCACCCATGGGGATAAAAAGACGATCAGAGACGAATAGGGACCGTACACAGATTTTTGTCATAAATTTATATTTTCTTGAAAGTTTCTCTTCTGATTTTTATGATGTTTTTATCAAATTTTATGATATTTTTATAATGTTTTTATCATAGTTCATGACATTTTATGTTTTTATCATTATTTAGTATTATGACCTTTTTAATATAACTACACTGTCAGTAAATAACTTATCTCCGGTCCATGAAGTAGTGTTCAGTCAGTGTTATGGGGGTAAAAAGATGAATAGGGACCTTACACAGATTTTTGTCATAAATTTATATTTTTATGAAAGTTTATCTTGGAATTTTATGATTTTTATCAAATTGTATGATATTTTTATAATGTTTTTATCACATTTCATGACTTTTTATGTTTTTATCATTATTAAGTATTATGACTTTATTTTTTATATAACTGCACTGACAGTCACAGTAAATAACTTATCTCTGGTCCATGAAGTAGTGTTCAGTCAGTGTTATGCGGATAAGAATGTCCCACCAGTAGCACTGGTGGTATTAATAGTCGCAGTCATCTTCTCCTATGGTCATATACCTACAGGGAGCCACAGTGGCTAGGTTGGTAAGATGCCGGCGTGGAAGTAAAAGATCCTTTGGCAGTTGGAATTCGATATAAAAATTGGCCTTAGTGTCGCTGTCAGGGCAAAAATTTCCATCATAGCACACTGTATGGCATATGCTCGTCTTCATTAGCCCAGTTGGGGCAGAACAGTAGGACATTAAACCCATATTTCATTTAATTTCATTTCATTATCTGAACACTGTCAAATAGAAAATGAAACAGAGCAGCAAGCTGGGAGTCATAAAATGCCTGGATGATTTTCGTATTCAAAACCGAATTTATTAGTATAGAAATTTATTATTGGGAGTAGCAATTTATGGTTGATTTTCTATTTTTAAAATTTTTTTGTCTGATTTTATAAGAAATAGTGAAATTTTATATTTTTTATGATATTTTTCCATCTTATGATAATTTTATGAGAAATGGTGAAATTTTATGAAAATATAAATGTATTTATATTGTATGGTCCCTGGATGAATGACCCTTTTATTTAGGTTTTAATATCTTTGTAGTGCCAAGGTACTGAAATAATTCTGATATATAAAATAAGTGTGAATATTACCTGCATGATAAGCTATAGAACCTTTATTCCAACCTGGATGACGATATGGAGGGTAGTTCTACAAAATAAAACATTGCTCATAAATAAAATTTATTTTTATACATTTTAAATAATAAAATCAATCAAATAAAAGCAAAAAATAAAATCAGTATATTCTACTTCAATTTGGCGACACTTCAAACTCAATTTTGAGAGTAACATAACGCTAAGGTTTGAAAGTAAAAGAAATAGAACATGCTTTTATAAGCAATCAATAAGCCAATCATTTAAACTTTTTTATCCCAGATACAGACACATACAACTGACAAAATAAAATTTATCTTTATTGGAAATAAATGTTAATAATCTATTGTTTCAGTTTTTATTTCGCTTCAAACAATAGCAAGGACCATTAAGATTAAGTCTGGGGCCATTCTAACCTCTTTTCGGTCTGATATGGGGTCTATCCCTCTGTCAATTTTAAATTGTTTCATTGATTTGAGATTAAATATTGCACAAGTTTATGGAAGAATTCTATTGAAAAAATAGAATAATAACCTGTCTTGCTACACCAATAGCTATATAACAATTCTCCCCTGGATCAACTATCTCAATTTCAAAATAATGAAACGTTGTATCAAGTGGTGATTTAGCCTGAGCCAAGCCAACATCCAATATACTTTTACCACGACCAGCATACTCAATAACCTACAACATATAAACAATATATAATCTGACTTTCATTTAAACTTTCAAAACAAACATTATATAGCATATAGCCAGTCTCATTACTAATAAAAATAATGTCAGATGAACCCATTTTAATACTTGAATCTATATCAAAGAGATTAATCTCCTCTAAATACATGTTATACAATTGAGGGACAGGTAAACTCTACATGAATAAAATCATTGGCAAAAAAAGAGCCAAAGGAGGGTTATTGATTGTAGCGATACATATTACTGAAGTGGGAGTGATTTAAGTTCTAAAAGTTTAGGATATACATATATCTACCCAAGTGATTTGACAATTGTCCATTTGCTGCTCAAAGAAATAACAATGAAATGAATGTTGTGAATTTTGTTCATTGTACGTTTTTTTATTTGTTGATGCATGTAGGATGTGTTGTTTGTTAAATGTGTTAGCATGTGTTAAACAGTATGTAATAAGGCTGACAAACTGTTGTATCTTGGTTGTTCTATAAATTTTATATTACATTATTATTATGAATTACATACCACACCATTTAATCTAACATCGTGTAATCTAGACCATTCATCTTCACTACAGTCAACAGCCATTAACATTATATCATCTCTATACCATTCAGCATCTAATGACAGTTTGACTTCACCTTCACTATCAAAACCAACAGCAGGATGAAATCCACCAGGTAAATATGGAAATGCTACAGTTCCAATCTAATACAAATAATTATAGAAAGTCAAATTATATTCAAAATTAGATTATTTTGTGAACAAAAAGAAAAAGATTTCTAAAAGTCTCCAGGAAAACCTGTTTACCGTTTCAAACCATGTGTAGTTTGATTACCGAAATGAAATAGGGTTCAACTTCCTACATGGATTGGGATAAAGAAAATGGGCATATGCCATACTGTGTACTATGAGGGAAATGTTGCCAGGAGCAGCGGCACTGCAGCCTACTCTTATTTCTAATTCCATCTGTCAAGGGTTCTTGTACGTGCATGCTAATCTGTAAATGGAGCCTTAGGTTTTGTTGTCCCTTGCCAGGCCTTCTGTCCTGCACCACTGACAAGGAGGAACCACAATGGAAATCCTGATGTACTTTCTCGGCCAACACTTGGATCGAACAAGGGACCCCAAGGTTAGCGAGCCAATGTCTTACTGAGCCACCAGGGCTCCCTGTTGGATTATCAATAGCTCAATATTTGCTATGCCAGGTGGCACGGTAATCTTGACATCAATTTCCACAGTTCAAGACATTCATGATTAAAGTAACGATGCACGATTTGCATTTTTTGGAAAATATAAATCAACGCTAATATGTTCACAGATTGATTATTTAACATTTAATTCAGAAAACAAAACACCAACACTAGACCATCTCTCGGCTTGGATTCAATCAGATTTAAAACAGGCCCATCAATTTGGTTCATGGTGGGCTTGTTAAATAGATCTTTCGAATTTTATTTCATGATATCTTTGTAAATACTGGACGGAATACTGGACTGGTATTCCTATTAGAGATTTAAGTTCACAATACTGTAGTTTTAAAGAGATTCTATAGCACTGGAATCACACTCAGGGTTTTTATACGCCCACATTGAAATGTGGTCGTATATTGTCGTCACCCCTATCTGTCCGTCGGTCCGTCCAGCGTCCACAATTGCTTGTGGACGCTCTAGAGGCTAAAGTTAATATCTGATTGACTTTAAATTTATACACAGTGTTTAAGGTCATGAGACGAAGAAGCTTATTGATTTTCAGCGATTTCCGATAATTACTGCCAGAGTTATGGCCCTTGATCACTTCAAAAAAATCTTGTGGACGCTCTAGAGGCTAAAGTTAATATCCGATTTACTTTAAATTTATACACAGTGTTTAAGGTCATGAGACGAAGAAGCCTTTTGATTTTCAGCGATTTCCGATAGTTACATGTACTGCCAGAGTTATGGCCCTTGATCACTTAAAAAAATCTTGTGGACGCTCTAGAGGCTAAAGTTAATATCCGATTGACTTTAAATTTATACACAGTGTTTAAGGTCATGAGACGAAGAAGCCTATTGATTTTCAGCGATTTCCGATAATTACTGCCAGAGTTATGGTCCTTGATCACTTCAAAAAATTTGTGGACACTCTAGAGGCTAAAGTTAATATCCGATTTACTTTAAATTTATACACTGTGTTTAAGGTCACGAGACGAAGAAGCCTATTGATTTTCAGTGATTTCCGATAATTACTGCCAGAGTAAAGGCCCTTGATCACTTCAAAAAATCTTGTGGACGCTCTAGAGGCTAAAGTTAATATCCGATTGACTTTAAATTTATACACAATGTTTAAGGTCATGAGACGAAGAAGCCTATTGATTTTCAGCGATTTCTGATAAGTACTGCCAGAGTTATGGCTCTTGATACTTTGAAAAATCTTGTGGACGCTCTAGAGGCTAAAGTTAATATCTGATTGACTTTAAATTTATACACAGTGTTTAATGTCATGAGACGAAGAAGCCTATTGATTTTCGGTGATTTCTGATAAGTACTGCCAGAGTTATGGCCCTTGATCACTTTGAAAAATCTTGTGGACGCTCTAGAGGCTAAAGTTAATATCCGATTGACTTTAAATTTATACACGGCATTTAATGTCATGAGACGAAGAAGTCTAATGATTTTCGGCGATTTCTGATAAGTACTGCCAGAGTTATGGCCCTTGATCACTTTGAAAAATCTTGTGGTTTTCTGATAATTACTTAATTAGTTGTTACTCTTAATCAGCTTTTAATGTATTATAAATGTTTAATTATCGAAAAAAGTAAAAATATGCGACAACTCTTGTTGACTCCCCGGACGATTTAGCTGCTGTGGGCGTATGTTTCGTTGCCTGGCAACCTATCTTTAAGTTTTGCACTCCCACAATTAATATCATCTGAGCTTTCTAAGATACATGGACTAAGAATTGTACCTTAATTATTTTTCCCGATTTCATGACAGACAAATGTAGATCATTTTTTTATAGGTTCATGTACATTACAGTACCTACCTCTTTGCCATTTCTTGTAAAAAAAACTTTAACAATTTTTGGTTGTTCAGCACAACCTTCTAATTTTTCAAATTTAATACCACAGCCTACTCTATCGCCAACACCACACTTAGGACCAAATGGATTACCAACTTCACGAGACTTGTGTATTCTAAATGAAATAATATTTCACAATTAATTCAATGTATTTTTTAATGTTAATAATTATATGATGCCGAATTTTATTGGTGACTATAAGCAATCAAAATATATAATAAGTATCAGAAAAAGTTGCAATATAGCCTATACTTCTGTAGGGCATCGCTTGTTAACTTTCAGGCCAAAATGATACATGCACTGCTACATTTCCAGAAAACAGAAATTATCTACTGATAGTGATACTCACTTTCCATCTTCTGTGTGAAAACCAATAGAAAAATATCTTGTTCCAGGTAAATCATCTAAACTATATTTATATGGTGCCAGTCCGATACCTGAAATACAATGGAATGCTGACATAGTAAGCAAAAATTCAATGAAGCTAGGTTTACCTTTTCTGGATTTGTCAATATTGACAGGTGATACCATTACAAAATGTCAACATCAGGCCTTAAATTTTTGAGGTTGTTCATTTTTGAAAATACATGCAAACTTGCAAATTAAATTTATTTTTCATGTTTTTAGTCAAATTCTAAATATAACTGTGTTCAAAAGTTAACCTAAAGCAGTGCTTACCACAAGTCATTTTTCTATTTACATAAAAAAATAAAGCAACATAACAATGTTCATAGTCATAAAAAATAAGTAAAATTTTTCAATGTTTGTAATATTAAGTCCAAAACACCAGCTCTGTGTAGCTTTTTATTAAACTCTCTGATCTTCATACAATACGGGTACTGTGATGTAAAATCTCTAAAATGTTTCAATTCTGTACAGTATTTACAAAGATATTTGTTATTGTTAAAGATGGGTTCCCGCATACAAACTGGGTGATTTAATGGTATATATGGACTAAAAACATATTCAAACTAATTAATTTGTCATAACTTTGCTTCAAATCCTTCTCAAACATTGTATTTGCGAAGGAATGTTCTTCTATAAAAATTCGATCAAACCAGGTCATGTTTACGTCACGTGACTTACCTCCTCTCTTGGAAGTCAGAGGGGAATTCATTGCATACATAAGACGATGTCGTCTTTAATCGCTTACTATTTATTACAAATATCGAATCCTAATTAAATTCTCGGATTATCCACTACCCGCGTCTTTTTCATTTTTATCTCAGAAAGTGTTGTACGTCTAACTCTTCATAAAGTTTATCAACTTGTACATCAAGCACTCAATGTTCGCGTGTGACCTTTGACATCACACATGCAGAAATTCTTAATCGTCGGGCTGTTGATTAAGGGAACCCTTGCATTTTTGTCCTGTATATGCTCCATGAGTGTTTTTCGGGGAATCCAGTATTTTTCTAGTAAGATTGGCTATCTCTACTTTCCATATATACCAAAATTACCATACTTTTATTGGAAATAACCACCCGATAAATACTTTTCTGGGAACCCATCTTTAAACTTTCGGCATCCTCTGGAGATAATTTAACCAGCATATATGTCAAAACAAGGCAGCACCTGGTATAATCTTCACTAAACTGTTTTGATGGACCTATTTTTAATCCAACTGCATCCAAGTCATGAGAATATCTTGCCTTGACATTTTGATTTTATTTCATTTTCAAATGTTCAATAATCTTTGAGTACATTTTAGTGTGGATCCAAGAGGGTAACAATAACTAATATAAATTACAGTAACTTACATATTGGTGCACCAGATTGTATTCCAGAATCCAGTATCTCCACTTCAAAATAATTGTCCTGTGGTGTTAAGGGTGCGGGAGCTATATATACACCAACATTATTTTCATCATTCGCTTGATAACTGTATAAAGAATGACATAAAACAGTATGCAGAATAAAATATTCAGTTAAACATACATGTACATTATGCAAGAGCTAAATCTGTCTATAGCAGGTCTTTCTTTAGGGATGAAATGTTATCTAAATTATTAATTAGACATTAATTAACCTATCCAGAAAATAATAAACTCTAGATGGCATCGCTAACCTGCGATCTTTAGTGGATTGTGAGCCGATTTACTGCATAACTTTCCATCACTATTAAATGGATAATCGAGACTATGGTGTTTATTGTACAGACTTTAGTAATGATGATCAAGGCTAGGCTGAAATTCAATCGCTTTGTTCTCGGTTCATAGTGGATCAATTTGAATGAAATTTTCAGCAAATTGCCTTTACATTATCTAGTTTCTAACTATTAATAAGTATTATAGTGAGAACTGCCAACTTGTTATCGAATCTCCCATAATGTATCTTTAACACTGCTTTTATTCTTAATAAAAATGACTTTTTCATTAACAACTTCGTAGGTTTTTCAACAGAGCAAGTTGAGAACAATTTATGAGAGTTGGTGTAAAATATTTCGATGCAGTCCAAGGACCTTCTTCATCCTCCAGGGTGTGGACCAATAACATTTCTTCAGTATTAAGTGGGGATCACGTGGCTAAGACGCTGGCTCGCTAGCCTGGAGGTCGGGTGTTCGATCCCTGCATTGGCCGAGAAAGTTCATCCAGATTTTCCGGCGTGGTTCCCCCTTGTCAGTGATGCAGGACGGAGGGCCTGACAAGGACAGCTGTCTAGTCCTTCGGATGAGACGAAAAACCAAGGTCCCGTGTATACATTGGAATGCACGTAAAATATCCCTTGGCAGTTGGAATTCGATATAAGAGTAGGCGATAGTGCCGCTGCCCGGGCAAAATTTTCCTCATAGCACACTGTATGGCGTATGCCCATCTTCATTAGCCCAGTATAGGAGCAGAACAGTAGGACGTTAAACCCCATTTCATTTCATTTCAGTATTAAGTGTAGGGATACAATCATCATACTGGTACAGGAGACAGGTGGGGTAGTTGAGGGCAAGAAGATGTTTTACACCAATTGCTGTGGATGATTAGAATAGTACACTGAAGGGGTAGTGAAAATAATTGATTAAAGATCATGAACTGCTACTGATAGGCCTTGTGCATTTAATTTAAAGAAAACAAACAGGAGTCATTTTTAATACTTCCAATATTATCTAACCATGAATAATTAACTGTTTGGGTTTTATATAGCATTAAAGACATAAGTTTTAAGTATCAATTGACATATAATTTTATTTGTTCATGAACACCGGAAACAAATATTGGCTCCTCAAAGTATAGGTACAGAAATGAACACCATGATTTGCCTCCAAGAACATAGTTGCAAAACTTTGTGAATTGTCCAGTGGAATTAAAAAGTTTTAATCCTTGTAAGAAAGGGCACTAATACTACATGTGCACTGTATGATCATTTCTCCCATTTGTATTCTTGTAACTGAGTAAATTAGAAATTATTGTGGTAACGAACGTACATATTTTCTGGTAAAGGACGTACAAGTGCAAATTGCTAACCCATTACATGAGATATGTAACCTTCAAATAATCGGAATGATAGATAGTTAACTCATTTAACTTAAGGGAGCAGTTACTTTTCTAAAAACATTACTCCTTGAATAAAATATTGTGACTTTAAAATTTTGGCAACGGACGTACATCATCTAATGATCTATGAAACCCCAAGTGATTCAGAGAATTTGGGCAAATGTTTTCTTTATACGGTCATAATAACAAGAATGGGTGATGTTAGCTTTAAATATGAGTTTTTGAACAGTTCCATAAATAAATATGAATGAGAGATATAAAATCTAAATATTTGGTAACATGAAATTCTGCGAAAAGTAAACAACATACATCTATCTATGAAAATCCAAGAGAATTTTTGCAAATCTTACTTTTTAATGGTCATTATTAAAAGAATGGGTTATCTTGGCTTTAGATATGAAGTTTTAAACAATTCCATATATTTATATTATAAATATGAATGAGAGAGAAATAAAAGTAAATATTTGGTAGCAGACATACATTCTCATAGCGGTATTTTACAATGTTGGTTACATTTTTCTACAAAAATATATCATTTTTATATTTTAACATATAAATATCATGTTTATATACATTGTCAGATAACTAATGACAAAACATTCAGTATGATTCAGAATAATCAAACAAACACAAAGTAAGAAAATACAATAAAATTATAAATTCGACATTTACAGCGTAAACCTTGACACAAGACCAAATGAAAATAAAATCAGAAGAGTTCCCACCCAAATTTGAGTTTTTCTTTAAAATATAGATTATTTATCACCATAAAACACCATTTTTGTCCACTTAGCCTATCAGCTAATTAAATTTTTCACCTAATTGTATACCGGTACGTCACCTTACTTTGGTGTGGAATTCCCCCATAAATAAAGAGATCATGACACATTTAATCATTCTTTTCAGCAAATTTTGTGCTATAGTTTATCTATCATGCTTATTTTTTTGTTGGCATGTTACCTTAAAATGTCACCATCAACGCTGACCCTTTCACTTCGTGGATGTTTTGGCATTTCTTTTGGACCAGCTAAAACTGCCTGTCTGTTAGGAACTCTACAAACATTCAGAATTTGGTTGCGAAGAAATGCCTCCATTAATAATAATATTATGGATTGTTTGTGTATACAGCTGAAGTCAAACAGTAGCCTACAGTACAGTAAAAGGAATATCCTGAAATAAAGAATAATCATAATCAAGGTCTTGAGTCTTATTTTAAAGAAAATTACTGTCTGAACCATCATAAATTTTAAACGGATTTCTTTGATTATGAACAAACTACTTAACTTTGGTTATTATAAACTTACCTGTGTGTTTGAAATCCACTCCCGTTAAAAAAATCCATTGCACAACTAATTATCCCAACGAATAAAAAAGTTCTCTCTTGAAAAATTGAACTTCCACAAATTTTCGACACAGAAAAATACCAATATGGAAGCTGATTACGTCACTCTTCGGGAGATATCATTTCGTATAAGGGGTGACAGCATAGCAAATTTTAACGGTTTTCGGCACTTTTACGACAATTCAAGTTTGGTTTACGAAAAAGCTACAAATCTAGGCTCGGCTTTGAGTCTGGGCGTTCACACACATAACTGTCCGTATTCATTTATTTTTTTACATTCTAGTAAAATCTCTGCAAATTTTATAACTTTACCTTTTTGGAATTATTTGATTATCGACTCGGATAGGATAATTTTCTTTTGAACACACATGCGGCACAAAAACAATTACATTCTTTTTAACGGCCTTAAATATTACCTATGATTATCTTTAATATGATATATAAGTATTATAAGCAGCACGCTTGTAAATGAAGAGCCCTGGATAAGAATGATCTAAGTAACTTTTTCAATGAACCCCAGTTAATGGCGCCATCTGGTAGCAAACTGAATAAACTTTCTGTGGAACAATCTATTTCAGGCAAAAACGATCGGAGTCACATCGAGCCAAGGCCCTTCTGAAATGGCCTCCCGGACAAATATGTCCATCGTACCCTTTATTTGACCTTAATTGGCTGAAAAGTGGAAGTCAGTTGTTGTACTGTTAATTATGATTTGTATTGAACATCATTTTGAAGTTGTAATTAAACCCACTCGTTGTTCTGTTCGCGTCAAGCATTCTCGTCCAAAAGTATGTTTTGCCCATAGAGGTGTATACATAGATATATACACCTTCATGGTTTTGCCTTTTATGCGAAAAGACAAAAATGGGACTTCGATCGTTCTTCCCCATGGACTCTTCAAATGTTATTGAAGCGGTTATTATTTCAATTTGATACAAAGAATGCTATCAAATTAACAATACACTCGGAGACTTCGGAGATGAGCTTCATGATCCTGGTTAAATTATTTATAACATAAAGAAGATAGGATATTTTTAGTTTATATGACTTTATTTTTACAAGTATCCGTGCAATCAGTGATATTTTCATTGTGAATAAAATTTGATAGACTGGCGATCCATGGTTTCAATCTAAATCTCCTATGTAATTGCCTTCAGTTATATTTTTTGACACCCAAACTCAAACGATCGTAATGAGTGCGCTTTGTTTTTATTGCAACACGTGATTGTCAAATCATCTGTCAAAATTAAACTATCCCCGCAACAGCTGAATTGGTTTAGCCCAACACGTAACTAAAACATTGTTGTCTTCCTCTCAGTCGAAATTAAAAGTAAATAGTCAAATTTGTCAAGAGAGAACTTTTTTATTCGCTGGGGTATTTAGTTGTGCAATGGATTTTATCGCACGGGAGTTGATTTCAAACCTGAGCACAGGTAAGTTTATAATAACCACATTTAAGTAGTTTATTCACAATCGAAGAAATCCGTTTAAAATTTAGGATGGTTCAGACAAATATTTTAGTAAGTCAAAATTCAGCACACTCAGACCAAAACAAGGTTTTGGCCTTTTTGAATGAAAATATGTAGATGCTATCATTCATATGCTGTCATTCAATGGGTCTATTAGTATTATTAGGCCCTACCTTCTATACTTATTTACAGATTTAGCCTATACCCATTCTGATTCAATCCATTCTATATTCTCAGTATTCTGACATTCATTCATTCATTGGTGGAGACTTGTCTAAAAATAGAACCCGAACAGAAATGTCCAGTGCAAAGGGAAACGATACATTCAAACATTCAGAATAAACATAGGACATATCTGATCACATTAGTGGAAAAAATATATTCCTACTTACAGTTGTGCTACATTATAACCGTCTCAATACTTAATTTTAATATCATCTCTGGAGACATTTACCCAACAACGATTTGTAGATCTGTACTAGATTCCAAAGTACGCGTAGAAACCAGCACCGACAGTGAGTTACGCATCAAACGTCCAACCCTGTTGGCGGTTCCACTCGGCAAACCTCGGCATATTCCTTTGTGGAGTTTTGGGAAATTGGACTGCGGCGTTTGTGCTCAATCAGTCCGTGAATACAGCAACTTGAAAGTTATGGTGGCTGACTGGTGTCATGTCGTGATTTCGTGGTGTCGCCCTTCATACGGCGACAACCCGACAACCCGACATCACGACATCGCGACATTATAACCCGACACCACGATAACCCGACATCACGACATTTTTAACCCGATACTACGACATTTTCACCCGACAGCACGACATTAAGAATGTCGTAATGTCGCGTAAAAATGTCGTTTTGCCGCGTAAAAATGTCGTGATGTCGGGTTGTCGTGATGTCGGGTTGTCGTGGTGTGATGTCGGGTTGCCGACTTTATTTATCAATGTTGAAGCGGCCACGAGATCAAGTCAGCCCTCACTATCTCATCCTTCACTAAGAATACTTACCCTTCACTAACTGCGTATCAAGCTGGCCCTCACTGCCAAATTACAGGTCTTAATACGAAATTCCAGATATCATGCTACATATCAGTAGAAAGCACGTTCACTGTTCTTTTCAAATATATAAATAATTCTCTGGCACATTTATATTTACTTGCCTTGAAAAGTGAAAAAGGGGGGGGGGGGGCGTATAAATAAAAATTCGGGGCTTAATCCAAAATTCCGTATATCTATACTGAAAAGTAAAGTTAATCCTCTCTTGAAATGTATTTATTATATTTTCGGCGGAATGCATATATACTTTTTAAAATTAAAATTGATACAAGTTTGGTAGCCTTCACTGGCTGAATTAAAGAGAGTGGCGGGGTGGGGCGAGTGTTTAATATCAACATACGTGTCTTAACCCTTTCACTGCGTATACCCGGTAGTACCGGGTATTATAAAATGTCGGTAAAATGCCCGTACCCGGTATTACCGTGTACTCAGTAAAGCCCTCGCTAAAATTAGTACCGTAACTGCAAGTGCCATCTATTGTATTTTCTATACACTAGAACATATTTCCACGTGTTTCAAAGCAGCAAACCGTAAAATGGCGGAGTGCATTGTGACAACGTAGACGATGCACTCTCGACGAAGTCGTGAATGACGTGTTGCTGACCAACATGTGGACAATTTCGAGGCGGGTGATACACATAATTCGTTTCCAGTTACTTGATAATGATAGTAGTCAGGACAGTGATTGGTATTATGAAGTGTGTGATTTTTTGCGCGACGTTCCGCCCATGGCTAGCTATGTCTCCCGTGCATGATGAACAAGCCCAGTGTGAACACGATAGCCCTGTGTCTGCAGTAGATTCTGACAATAATTCTGATGTTGATAATAATGCTGACCTGCTGGATCGTAAAATACGTAGGTAATTCCTGATTCCCGAACGTGTAGATCTATTGACTGACTATATTGATAATGATATGGGACTTGGGGATGAAAGTGAAAGTGAAAGTAAAAACAAGGTATTGCAATCCGCACGTGGTCATGGCAGCGGGAGACGTGATGCGCGTGTTCGCGGCGGCATTGCTCATGGCTGCTATTGATATTTTTGTTCATTTTATATATCTTTATCAAAATCCAGTAAAAAAAACAATATCTTTTAAGTATTTCATGGAGAAAAATTCGTTTTCGTGTTAGCTTTAGTGTGAAATGAGAAATCCAAAATGGCCGCCATGACGTCACGTGACTACATTATTATGCAAATTTCCAAAATTCTATTTTTTCCTCTTAGCCCAACCTCATGCCCATCCCAACAGACAAAAAGATTTTTCATAAAAGCTTCCATAAGTACTGCTTGGCATTCAGTTCCAACCTCCCTTTTTTCCTCATTAAAGGGTCTAGCACAGGCAGTGGATTTACGTCTAGCATTGAAAGGGTTAATAAGAAATTCCAGTTATTGTGTCATTCATCGGGGGTGGGTGGCTGAATGGTTAGCGTGTGCGCGCTGTATCATAAAGTCTGTCATTGAGTCAACTGGCGTGGTTTCTATTCCCCGGTTGTACGTGACAAGGAGTAGGGTCGCCTGTCCAACCTCGTGGGTTTTCTCCGGGTCCTCCGGTTTCCTTCCACTACTAAAGACCCCTACGCACACGCGAATTATTGAAATAAAATTAAACCATACGTTAGTCCCGAAATGACCTAGTTTGTGTGGAGTGGACGTTAAACGCGTCTGTCTGTCTGTCTGTCTATCTCTCTCTCTCTCTCATACATCGCCAGAAAGTAGGTTTCTATGGGTCTTTAAATCTACTTATTATTTTCTGGCACATTCACGATTACATACTTTAGGAGAGATAAAAGCATTTTTATTTTGAGCAAAGAAATGGGTTACTAAAAATAGACTACTTTCAATTCATTTCATTTATCGAAGGCTTGAATTAGCCCAAGCCGAGCACGTCAATCTGTTTCACAGAGAATTACGAGTCTCGTTTAATATCTCTGTCATAGATAACTGCCTTAACACGTGCTGTCACAGCACGCGGTGTGAATCATTGGCTGAATGGCGCGTCCATTGGTTTCATAAGACATAACTGCTTCGGAGAGAATGCTGCATTTTAGTCATTTTAATACCCATTTACACTAAATAGGAAATAATTTTTACCTACAAATACGTCAAACGCCTTTATTTGTTTTTCCAATATATACAAAAAATGTTTTAGAATTTAATTTGTCGCAGTAAAAAAGTTAATATTTCTAGCTCATTAAGCCGCATCAATGTCATCCTTATCAGTGATTGTCGCGGCCAAGCAAATATTCACTGCGGATCAGTGTGCGAGCACGTGAGTAAACCCAAGTCATGGTCATCCAGCGAATTTGGTACTGAGGGCCAGCTTGATTCGCAGTTCGTGAAGGGTAAGTATTCTTAGTGAAGGGTGAGATAGTGAGGGCTGACTTGATCTCGGCAAGGGACAGAACTCTATTATTCATGGCCACTTCAACATTGATAAATAAAGTCGACAACCCGACATCACGACATTTTTACGCGACAATACGGCATTTTTACGCGACATTACGACATTCTTAATGTCGTGGTGTCAGGTGAAAATGTCGTAGTGTCGGGTTAAAAATGTCGTGATGTCGGGTTGTCGGGTTATAAATTATAATGTCGTGATGTCGGGTTGTCGCCTTATGAAGGGCGACACCACGACATCACGACATGATACCAATCAGCCACCATAGATAGGCCTAACGTGATGAAACAAATAATGACGATGCTCGAAAAAAAATATCGCACATAAAGCAGAGTGGCTACTCTAAGAGTGGCGCTAGACACTATTTATTACACTGATTTTAAATGTTTTATATTTTTATCCATTATTCAATTTAAAGAAATTTCGATTCATGAAAAATGATCGATTCCCTGTCGCACAATGAGCGTAGCGCGTATTCTATACTGGGTAATCGGATCTAAATGACGTCAGGCTGCATTGACGTACGAGTGGACAGGCCTGTCAGCCTAGCCCAATTTTGTTTCAACTTGATAGCTTAATTTGTTTTGACGTTGTAAATCATCCATAGCTGCAGAATTGACCATGAAACTATTATACCAGTAACCACCTATGACAAAAGAGGTTTAAACATGTATTGTTCTTATTACGAAACATGAGTGTATTGTGCAGAGGAGAAACACGCGGTAGCTTAGTACTAGGGCCTACTACTAGTAGTAGTAGCTGTACACTTTAAATAGTAGTACTAGTAGCCTACTACAGTAGTACTATACCGGTACCGTAAAAACAAAACCCAGAAGACAAACCCACTTACAAGACACATTGCGTGACATGGCAACAAACAATAAGTCAATGATACGTCAAAGTCAATGATACGTCATTGATAAAAGTACAATCAAATCAAGTAACTGGGCCAGGGGGCGCCCGTAACCCCAAAGTCCCCAGGTGATAGGCCTACTGCCACTGGCTTCACTTTGAAGGGTTTTATATATTTTAGTCAAAATGAAAACAAACCGACAGCAAGGGATACAATTATTACAATCCTCGAAAAAAGGAGCATTTTGACAATTGCCATAAACTGAGTGTTAAATTGTACGATAAACGTGATGACTTTGACTTTCCGATTGTTAACTTTCCATTTATTAGTAGTAATATTCGAATATCGCCAGCTTATGGAGTGTTTGTGTCTCAGCTAATTCGTTACGCGAGAGCTTGTTCCTTTTATTGTGATTTTTTAAGTAGATCGAGGCATTTGTCATCTAAGCTTCAACTACAAGGATACTTGCGCACTAAACTTATTAAAACCTTTAAAAAGTTTTATGGCCGTCATATTGATTTGATTGGTAAATATAACGTGTCTCTCTCGGCTATTATTCTAGATATATACTATTCAAAAAAAGTAGGGGATATTTGATTTTGGGGGCATAATACTAAAATATGCAAATGACTACGAAAAAAGTCACTATAGAACTTAACATAAGAAACATTACCAGTTACATGTGACGTCCAAACGCACCAATAGCTACCGCATGGAATGCAGGTGATGCTTGGGATCATCATGGGGGTCCAACCCAGTCATTGTGGCATTGAATTCCAGGGTGGAAACATCAGTTTAATTGTTTTAGTGACCAGAAAACAAATTTTGATATGCGTCGGCTTACCCAAAATGAAAGGTTACGTGCCCTTGGCATGCTACAGATCGGCACAACACAGGCGGTTGTGGCGCGGACGATGAATGTTTCTCAGTCTGTCATAAGCAGGCTATGGTCCAGATACCGTGATACACAATCTGTACAGGACAGACCACGCTCAGGTCGACCAAGGGCGACAACTCAAGCCAAGGATCGATTTATCCGTACCTTGGCCTTGAGAAATCGTGTCATCACAGCAAATCAGATCAGCGCTCGTCTTCAAACAGACACTGGTGTGAGAGTGAGTGGCCAGACGATTCGGAATCGACTGCATAGGGGTCACCTTCGCGCCCGACGTCCTCGCGTGATCCCTTGTTTGAGAGA